TGTTTTCTGTGTTTTTGTTTGTTTTTATGGAGTTACCATTTGTTGTGGGACCAAAAGTTTTTCTTCTCTATAAAGGTAATCATGCGAATTGAAATTTCAAAAGATTCCAAACGTTACGTTAACACTCTTTTTTCATCCTAACTAGGAGTTTTGCAGAGACGAATTAGCTAGCGATTGATTTGAGGGAACTTAGCCTGTATTTTTGTTAAGGAGATGGCTAAGTGTTCGCTGTTTGCTGACTTCTGCTTAAGATTAGAAAAGGTAAATTGAAAAAGAAAGGAGATAATGCTGCATGAGGAAAAACAAACACAAAAGAAAAATGTATTTATTTGATGCTTGGCACGTGAGGATAGACGGACTGTTTCGACCCTGTATTAAGTTTGAAAAGAGCGAAATGATTAAAATCAATAAAATTATCCGCAGAGAAACAAATTTCAACGATCTATTACGCGCTTGCGCTGATAGAAATACTACCTTGCTATTGTTCGGTGCCTTCTCCTGCGCCCCCTAAACTGACGTATATTAAAAAACTTACACGTAGAGATGGACAAAATATACAGACAAAAAGCATGTGGCACTCGCCATTTTCGCAGTATCAACTATTCGTAAATTAATGTTTCCATTATAGGTATTCTTGTTCATTCTCAAACCCCAATCGGGGGATGGAGACCAAAATTACTGATAGTCCTCTACACCTTACTTAATGGAGGCGTATCTTATTACATTTTTGTCTCTGAAAGTCTGTTTACCGTAGAATATTTATGAGAAACCGGAATGTTTTTTCTTTCGGTCACCCGAAATGTATTTTTTAGTCATCACTTTCTTTTGCAGAATCATGATTTTGGCCAAATTCATTTGTTAAGCAAAACTTTCATGTCGTTCTTTAAAGTCGTTGTATAATTTTGCCTAACCAATTCCAGTCAAAAGCATAACGACGTCATATTTTATGGAGAAAATAATATTTTTGATTATGAATTAATCTGTATGGATTTTCAGTTCATAGGTTGTACTTCACTTTTGTATAAGACATCTATTTTCCTCTTCGTTCGCAAACGTGGTTCTGGAGTTTTATTCCGACTCAAAATTCTCTTTTAAAAAGGGGCAACTTTAAATGACAATCGAAAACTTTGCTGTTAAATATATAAATCGATCGATGAACGTGAGCAAATAGTTCTAGATTCCTTATACAATGCCTTTGCTGTTTAATATCTACTCCGACTGATTCGCTGTATACGAAGAAACATACCAGTTTCTTTGTTTTTCGTTTTCAACAATTTTCATCCTGATAGCATAATTTATAGGAGCTATACGACTTACCTCGTGGGTCCTGTCAGTTGCAGTTCTGTTACTAACATCCCCCGCAAACAAAGCTGACCGTTTTTTACTGAAGCCCAATGGTCACTCCTAAAGGGCGCTGTTGCGTAATTTATTCAATTTGGAACAGTTCGGCAGGTATCATTACACCCTTTGTGGCAACTAATGTACTTCGTATTTCGTATATTATTGCAGCACTTTTCCTACGAGATCTTCAGGCCATCTAAAGTTCAACTAGATGAACTTTCTTTTCAACATTGCATATTAAATTTTTTTTTGTGTATGTGTAGGTGCAATTATATAAAAGTAAGTTTTCAATATCTGTCATTTAAATCGTTGAATTGCGTGTGATTTGACGTGACAACCAGCGAAACCTCAAGATTTTGAATGCAGTTGAGGGATTATACATGTCAAATATTTCACAGCGCAAAATGGTAAATTTGTAAAACTTTTATCTGTGACACTCTCAAGTGGACATCCGGCCAAGTTTTTTCAAAAAATGACAAGTCAAATCTTTTAACTTGGCCTGAGTAAACGGAAAAGCCCATCATGAATGCGCAAATATTGATTAGTTCCACCAACAGCTTTTATTAGAAGATTTACAATTTTAAGGGTCTGTTCATTTGGGTAAATATTTCGTTGAAATAAGATAAATTTTCATGTTTGACGTTGCAAGAGTAAACACCGAGTTGCATTTGACATCACACAGGCATTTACAGTTCCGTTAATCTTGATGCTTTAACTTGATAATTCTCTTCGAACGAACAGCGTAGATTATTGTGGATACAAACTTGTCACCAAAGTCGCAAATGCTATATAGATGTGCCATTTCACAAAATTTGGCCAAATTTAGCCTTTAGAAAGAAGAAAAAAGTCGAATGAAACTTAAAACTTACGTTCAGAATCTTTGAAATGGTAAATACAAGGGAGGGCACGCAAAAAAAAAAATGGAAATAAGAATTATGAAGCGGATTGCCCTTACGCCTGAATATTTGTAAACTGCACAATTTAAAAAACTTCATATGTCTTCGTTAGAATGCATCTACTTGTATGAAAGCGAGAAAACAGTCTTGGACATTTTGCAGGAGGCCAGGTACGAAAAAGGAAAGGAAAAATTCTGATATTCTGTTATATCGGATAACAGAGGAGAAATTAAAAGCGTTGCATTTAAAATTTTTCTCTTTGTGTTTCAGTAGATTTGATGTAACCTCTTAAAAAAAAATGCAACGAAATAACCGAATTTCTTTTGGAAATGTATGAAATGTAATATTTCGTAAAATGAATGGAATAAATTATATATGGTCTGAGAATGATTCATTAAATGACAAACTGAATTTCGCTGGAAAATAACAGTTATCGAAAATTGCAGAAAGAAAAGCCGAAAAGCTCTAGCAGGGCCCGTACCCATGCCTCCACGGTACCACTCGAGACTTCTTGGATGAGAGGCAAAATTGATGAGCAAAGAAAAGTAATTACATCGCAGTTGGCATGGTAACAGGAGGATGACAAATGGCCTCAAATTTTTCACTAAAGTTTAAATGAAAGGGAGCACTCAACTAATGAATGTTATATTTATAGATGAGTTTTAAACGGATGCAATCGAAAGAGGACCCCTTAGCGTGCCATCTTGTATTTGTTCGATTTCAGCTGGTTATTTTGACTTGTGTCATTTGAATTGGATGTTATTCTTCAAAATTCTGTCAAATAATCTTTACCAGTCGACATTACGAGACTGCAACATATGCATCGCCCTTAAGCTCGTAATTAGCAAGTGACTCAATTTATCGGCCGCTCTCTTACTTGCTACATAGAATATTTAGGATTTAACTTGATATTTATACTAAGACCCCTGGGAATCTTGACAGATATCTCCCTTGCATTCAGTAGTTAATAAGTGCAATCTTTTAAATCTATTGCGCCCTCTCTTTCGTGCTAACTTAGCCTGGGTCGAGAAATGGAGTTGAAAACACTCAAGATTAATAAAATAAGACCTGTTGCTCAAGTTTTCTATCGTTTATCTCGAATCGAGAAGAAACTTGAAAGCTAAATTGGCTAGCTATCATTCCCGTCTGCTTGGCTTTAATCATAAATTTTAGTTGCTGATGCATGAAATTAATAAAATCAATACATTTCTTTGTTTTGCATTAATTATTGAATAACAACATGAACTTTCCAGAGAACCAGATCAATCCTTACACTGAACACTTCTGTCTCGCTCGCTTCATTACTCTGCGTATCAAATATCACTTTATAAAAGATGTACATTTACATTTTTCCTCTTTCTTCTTACTGATAACCTCTCAAACATTTACTGTAAACGCTATCACCTGCCCATCGTACTGTTTTGTCCAATATTATTATGTTGGATGGCCTGTGTTATATTTATCTCCGATTTCAAGCGTACAATCATATCAATACTTTGCATCAGAGACATTTTTCACAATCATCCACAATTATTTATTTCTTTTTCAGTGTAAGGCATGAATTTAGCAATTCTTCTTAAAGTCAGATTTCCCTGGGCTCATCAAGAGAAAACCAATTCAGTTTTTACATTCCCTAATGGCTAAATGAAAAGGATTGCGAGCATCAATTTCCGCTGCTTATTAGAGTTTACAGCTACCTGAAAAATATTGCATCCTTAGCCACCATTTAAGGGTTTGAGATAAAATATACCACATAAATTTACGTAGGTTGTTGTTCGACATGGTAAAAAAGGGTAAAGCGTCATCATCTGTGTGACATAGTTTGTATCATTTTGCTGTTATTGCGCAAAGATCAGAATTAAGTATTGCTGGTTTACAGGTTTAGAGAACGTGACGCCGCTACATTCACAACAAATGATATATCGGGCTTATTGATAGACAGCTATCTCCGAAAAAGTTCTTCTAAATGCATCAGATGTGACTCAACCTAAGGTTGAAAAAAGTGTGTCCGAGAGACAATCTCCATAAAAAAGAAATTGTTTTGATCACATGTTATTACTTATATTGGATGAAATGAAATTTCATTATCAGTCATTTCCACCGTTCGAGAACGGGAAGTTAAAGAAAGGGGTTTCACTTATAGCTCTCACGACTTTCAGGATCACTTGAGTTTACAAGTTAATTTCCAAATCAAACAAATGATAAAATTTAAGCACAACTTATGCATAGGGACTGTTTAACACCATGAAGATTTATGTTGCCATAAGTAGTATTAGTTTTGAGCAAACATGACAAAGGCTTCCATAGGAACAAAAAACGCGTTTCCGAAACACTTGTTCATATACAATTACAGCTGAAGAGGAACCTTTGAGTTAACGTTATTATTATCATCTCTTTTCATCCTCGGGTTATTTGACAGCCAAGAAACTACGTACTTTGCGACTCCCACGAAAAATTGTAAAGGCGTCGTGTTTCCGAAAGGCTCCACTCTAGTACAGAGTCAATGCCTGCCTTCGGGCGGCCAAAATAATTGAAATAAGAAATTGAAGTGCCCATTATTTGTTTGCGCCAGCTGCTAAGGGACATGATCTATTGTTAGGTATAAAAACTTGATGTAAAAAGGTGGGTCACAAAACTTTTACACATATGTTGCTGCTTATCAAAGGTTGATTCTCGGTTATGCTTGGTTTTTGCTGACAAAAGAGAAAAGAAGCTAATTCTCAGATACCGTCAGACTGGGATGTGCAAATTGGAAACTTCTAAATGTTCTCAAATATAAAAGAAAACTGTTCTTTGAATTGCTCAGATATGATAAATACAACGTCGAACAACGGTCTATGTCGTCGTTACACCGCATTTGCAAATGAAGACATTCCGCGGTTATTCATCATCCTCAATTCCGCCGTGAACATCATTTCGATGATGGTATCCATTTTGGCAAATAGCCTGGTAATAGCAGCGGTCTGGAAAACGCCTTCCTTACGCTACCCTTCAATTTTACTTCTCTGTGGTCTCTCACTATCTGATGTTTTTGTTGGTTTGATCGTGGAGCCATTTTACGTCACCGTGGAATTGTTAAAAATTCATGGTTATCCAAAAGGAGATGATTGTACACTGGAAACGGGATATTTTGTGATCGCATTCCTAGTTTGTGGAGTTTCGTTTGGAAACGTAACTCTTGTAAGTATGGATAGATACATGGCAATCCACTATCCACTGAGGTATGATACTATTGTTACTATTCCGCGGGTATACATTCTCATAATTTCGTGTTGGGTTCTCAGCGCTTTTTGTTCCAGTATTTTGCTATGGAATATGATCATTTTTCTGTATCTGGTGACAGTTGTTTGCGCAATTCTCCTGATAATGTCAACATTCATCCATATCAAGATCTACCGAATCGTCCGCCGCCATAAAAGTGTGATTCAAGCTCAAGAACAGGCAGTCCACTCGACAAACACCGAGTTGAATATGGTGCGTTTTAAAAAAACTGCCATGAACACGTTCCTTGTGTACTATTTCTTATTGCTATGTTACCTACCCTTCGCTGTAGCTTGCATTCTACAAATTTTGACTGACGAAAAGACCAATTCACCTATCCTTTGGAAAGTGGCCACCACAACAGGGAATTTTAACTCAGCACTCAATCCGTTTCTTTATTGTTGGCGACTCCCAGCTATGAGAGGTCCGGTCACAGCTTTGTTTAAGAAGATTTTCTGCCCTCTAAAAATCTCCTCATCATGTATTTTTGGCAACTAGACTGCTCATAGGTGTTTCACTTCAAGAAATGGAAAAGGAGAACGATTTCTTAGGACTTCCGACATCAGTCTCTCGAACAAATTGGTACATTGGATGCTTTACATCTGAGCAGTTTAAACCCCGTGGCCTTAAGAGGCAAACCGCATTACGTCGAATGCCAAAATTTAAAAGTTGATTTGATGCTCTCGAGCGCTGATGGAAACTTATGATAATACAAGATTCACTTGAATCGGAAAACTCGAATCCCCAAGAGAAAGTGAATTATCCAATAGCCTGGCCATTGCAAACTTTAAGTCTAATATGGTTTGTAAAAACGAGTCAACTATACCTCAAATTTGTATCAAAAGTATTTTATTCCTAGACGCCATTCGTTCAGTTCTACGAAATAAAGGTTTTCCAAACACACATGATATTTGTCACGGATGTCTTGCCTTGCCCTTTTTACCTCGACCTTTGACGAGAAAAGCAAATTATTTGAATTTGTAAGATAATGTTGGATAATCATGTGAAAATTAAAGGCCGGAACATATTATTGTCATTAATCAAGAAATGATGGATGGTTTAAATCAACTGATATTAATGAAGATAACTAGGAGTTCTTCCGTTTTTTTATTCGATAATACAAGATTCACTTGAATCGAAAAACTCGAATCCCCAAGAGAAAGTGAATTATCCAATAGCCTGGCCATTGAAAACTTTAAGACAAATATGGTTTGTAAAAACGAGTCAACTATACCTCAAATTTGTATCAAAAGTATTTTATTCCTAGACGCCATTCGTTCAGTTCTACGAAATAAAGGTTTTCCAAACACACATGATATTTGTCACGGATGTCTTGCCTTGCCTTTTTTACCTCGACCTTTGACGAGAAAAGCAAATTATTTGAATTTGTAAGATAATGTTGGATAATCATGTGAAAATTAAAGGCCGGAACATATTATTGTCATTAATCAAGAAATGATGGATGGTTTAAATCAACTGATATTAATGAAGATAACTAGGAGTTCTTCCGTTTTTTTATTCGATAATACTAAAAAGATAAAAGAAAGATCCAATGATAGAAATTCAAAGCATTGCTCTCCAAAACCATAAGCTAAACTTCTGCTTCAACAGACTTGTTGAGGTTAACACTAAGAAATTCCTAGAAGTGGCTCTCTATTTACAACCGCGCAAGGGTACACTTCCAAGGGAAACCAATAATATTTCTTGTTCTTATGCGACACTTGAAAGTCAAGTGAGGCCAAATTGGAGTTTCGATCAGACGCATTTTCAGTCGTTCCGATTGCAAATAAAAGGGTATCACAGTGACATTTACACGAAGCATTTCCACTTTTTCTTCATTCGGTCACATACTTCACATACATCAAAACATAGAGATAAAAACGAGTCAGCCCTAAGATCGTACCGTTATGAGCTGATGATAATGAGACAATTTCAACTGTTTTTGCAAAAAAAGGTCAGATTAATATATTTTCAAAGCAGGAGTCATAGTTTGAGAGTTGAATAGTCGCTGAGCTGTAAGAGGCTAAGGGTAACTAGGACTTTAAATTGGAACTTCGAGTCTATGAGACGCATTTAGGCGACGAAGGAAAATTCAGATATTGACTCATTAAATTCATATCCAGAAGAATGCGATTTATGGCTTTGCAACTGCAAACTTTTGAGTTAATGCTCTCTTGAAAAGATGATCAATGCGCTATAAATTTCGGTTAGCACCAGAAAAAAGCCACAATTCAAAGCCTACCTGACGCAAGAAATGTTTCCATGGTAACAGAGTGCTTCATTTTCAACAATCATTCACAATTGTTTTTTTCCATTTGATCTTTCATGGAGAAAATTTTCTGATGTAACGTACAACAATGACACATCTCAAAAGGGACATTTTCACTAAGTGCAAATTAATGGCTGATGAAAAATTTAATATCCCTCCAAGACAACAATCTGAGGATCCCCGATCGCATTCACGAGAACTTAAAGTTCTAGTAATATTTTCCTATCAAACGAAGAGAAAATATTTCAAATTTTCAGAAGTTTCAAAATTAGCTACAGGATTAATCATTCTTTCAAGCCTTTAAACGTTTGGCAAGGTGCTTTGGACCACTAAAAAGAAAGTTATCGCAAAAACTTGCTGAGCCTTTTTGAATTATTATAAAATACAAACTGAGATATCCACTATATAAGGGTACCATAGAAACGGCTGTAGCCTTGTGATATATTCATTTGTCACGTCGAAAATTTTTTTTTATCCCGGTAAAATTCATGAATATTAAATATGTCATGATTCCAGATTCAAACAGCTTTTTTCGCGTTTACGTTAGTAGACTTCCAAAATATTGTTTCTCTTTGTTTAGTTCTGTCACGAACACGCAAAGCTGACGAAAACGCAACTTCGCTTTAAGCGTTAAGATAGGAGCAAATTTATCTACTAAGTGAGAGGGCTTCCTCTATAGTTTCTCAGATGATCTCTCGCTTTATATACTTTAAACTCTTTAAAAGCCCTCTCTTAGGGAGAAGGGTATTGCTTTGCAGAACTAGGGGAGAGGTCTTAAAAAAGAGAGAGGACTAAAAAAACATTCACCGAGAGGTGCGATTTGAGAAATTGCTTTTCTCGTCAGCTCTCACCGAGTAATAACGAATACCGTCTTGAGAATGCATTTCTTTAGTTGAAAGTCTGCTATATTTAACACGAATACTACTACAAGATTTAAATGCAAAGAACACTCCGACATGCACGCCAAACTAGTCCGCATGCATAAAAAAATCATGGTGTAAACTTTTAAACAACATCATCGTTACATTATTATCTTGCGATGTGTCTTTATTTTAGAGTTTTTGTTTCGGGGAGAGGAGAGGAATGGCGTATTAAAGAGAGGCTGAATATAGCGTGTTTAGATCTCACGATGTTCGCAGCTGTGTTATAAACATTTGATGCAGTTTTCCCCTTCGTCGACTGTTCTTGGTCAAACTGATCTGCATTCGGGCTTTTGGACAACACCGACACCAAGCTCGAGGAACAGACAAACAAATCATATCATCATTAAAACAACTCGGCCTCGTATATGTACTAACAAGTGAATTTCGATTATTTAATTGTTTTGGTAAATTGTGAATGATAACTTTTCCTTAGACAACTCAGGGATCGTAAACATGGCAGTGCTAAACAACGATCTGCGCCGAAATGTAGTCGAGTCCTGCATGGTTGATCATGAAAACGTTCCACACCTCTTCATCGTCCTCAATTCCACCGTCAACATCATTCTAATGATAATATCGATCCTAGCAAACAGCGTGGTGATAGCAGCAGTGTGGAAAACGCCATCCTTGCGCTACCCGTCAATTTTATTACTTTGTGGTCTCGCAATGTCTGATGTTACTGTTGGTTTGGTTGTGGAGCCCTTATTTATTGCCCTGGAATTGTTATTACTTCGTGGTTATCAGGATACCGATGTTTGTAGGCTGGAAACGGTGTTTATTTTCAGCGCATATTTTGTTTGTGGAGTTTCCATTTTAAATGTCCTACTAACTAACGTAGATAGATTCTTAGCGATTCACTATCCACTGAGGTATGACACTATCGTAATTGTCCCTCGTGTTTTTTCCCTCATAATTTCGTGTTGGCTAATAAGTGCTTTAAGCACGACTTTATGGGTATGGCATAAGACGGCATTTGAGTATGTGGTTAATGCTTTCATGATAGCGTTTGTCAGCACATCAACAGTCATCCAAATTATGATCTACCGAGTAGTTCGCCGACACAGAAGAGAAATCCATGCTCAAGAAGAGGTAGTACGCATAACACATCATTTCAATATGATGCTCTTCATAAAAAGTTGCATCAATACAATCCTTGTGCATTATCTCTTAATATTTTGTTACTTGCCTTATCTCGTAACTGGGATTGTGTATTCTGTTTCAAAGGGGAATATTAGATCGCTGATAGTTTGGAAACTGGCGCTCACAGCAGTATTCTTAAACTCGGCTCTAAATCCTTTCCTTTACTGCTGGCGACTCCAAGCCATTCGGAATCCTATCAAGCTTTTACTCAGGAAGATTTTCTGCCCTAACAGTGACGCTTCGGCTTTAAACCGTAGTGTATAGCAGGTTAAAGCAATTTGATACTGTAAGGCTTTGTTTTATTCAATTTTATCTCATCACGAACATTTCCTCATTTATTGGGGGTTTCTTGGGAAGCTGTCAAAAGACAATCCCTTTTCTTAAAACATCATTGAAAGATAGAGATCCTTGCTTATTTGATCTCAAACAGATTTCAATAAAATCGTTCGAAATATTTTTGGTTAGATGCAATGCATCGGTGCTCATTTGCATCAACTTGTTATAGGGCATAAAACGGGGACTAAGACAAAAATCCTATTTTACATATATATGTACATAAATGATAACAAATACGGCTGTTAAAAAAGTTGAGACATAAAGCAAATGATATTAACCATATAGAGAGAGACACATGACAATGTAAAAACATTAATAGGTTAAAAACTATTTTCGTCTTGAGACAAAAATGATTATATCTCTAATATCGGCGAATTCTCAGAACAAATATGTCTGTTAGATAAATTTAGACACGAAATAAGTGACATTAGCCGTATGAGCAAAGATTCATGCTATTGATTAATGCTATGAAAAATAATAAAATCAAGAAATAAAGCCTTCAAAAAGTATATTTCTTGTCGGAGCCTTTGTCTATCTCAACGAAATTTACCTGACTGTCAGAAAGGAAAAGGAATAAAATCCCAGCTTGAAACATCTCTTTTTCCCTAGTGCGCCGCTAAGCTTTCAAGAAATAATTTTTGTTTGTTTGATTAGAGTCACAAGCACACAAAGCTTATTAGGGAAACGCCAGTTCGCCTCCGGGAGAGGGTCTTAATAAGGTACGATTGAAAATAAGCCGTGTTGACGATAGGCGGTTACATTTTATGCCGTTAAATGGTTTACTGTTAATTTTTTCGGAATGACAGTTTTTCATCAATGGCTACCATTTTGTACATACAGTCGAACTTGTATTAAGCAGCATCGTATTAAACGGTCACCAGCTGTATAAAGTGGTCGTTTTTCAAAGTCCCGAATTGTTTTCCCCATAATCACGGAGATTTCTGACGCAGCTTTGTGTTTGTCATATCATTTTACAGTTGTAGGTTTTACATAAGCGACGTTTTAGGACGATACTTTGTGTAATTAATTAAAAGGGAATCACTCAAACAAAAATAGAAATGTTTCAAGTTAATTTTAATCAAGTTTCTCTCCTCGAAGTCCGCAAACATTGCCATAATTCGAAGCGGCCCTACATATGCAAACATTGTTATGGTAACTTATTTGGGAAATGGCTGAAAGCAAATTTCCGAGTTGCTTTCATGACCCAAAATTCACTCTTAGCAACCATCACTCAATTACTCCTTCTTTCCATTTCTTCTTGCAAGTCCTGTTCAGTTTGAATTCCTGTATGGGGCTAGACTGATAGTTAAGAATTGGCCAAAATTTTCGCGGTCTATTATGAAATAACGTGTATTTGACCTAGGGCTAAGATCTGGGACCAGAAACTATTACTGATGGCTGAAAATCGATCGAAATTAATACTGAGTGCATAATGTCTCAACCAAGGTTTAAACAAATCTTGCGCATACGAGGCGTTCGAATAAACATACTTTCGAGGGTGACAAGCTGTCTTACATTGCAATATTTAGAGACCTTGTTTTTAAACCTTCTTGATCCGGAATTTGAATACTCGATCACCGAAAAAGAAACCATGTTGATGAACTTCATTCTGGAATGATGGCTTTTAAATGGCCTCTAATTAACATGCCGATTTCTGCTCAGAAAAAGGTTACGTGGCGGATGAAAAGGGAAAAAAAAATGCCTTTGAAGAATGTATCCAAAAAAAATCTAGAGAAAAAGAAAAGGAAAAAAAAACTCGCAACTGTCTGGAGTTGATCCCTCGACCTTTTGCTAGCGGGGAGAAGCACCAAGTAAGCAAGTGAAGTGGCCAACATTCATTTTGACTTTTACGTTTGTTCGTATCGTTTGCAAGTGGGTGCTTTAATAATAATAATAATAATAATAATAATAATAATAATAATAATAATAAGGATTTATTGACAGTATTTCTACATGGTGGCTCTACATCCGTTTTTTTGTGTCCGGTTTGATGCAGCAATTTTTGGATGAATTGGTAAAATGTCATTACTGCACCACTAGTTTCATTTTTGACCTCCTGATGTTTGCAGCTGTGTCCTAAAGATCTCGTGTTCTTTTCCTACTCGTTGGCTATTGACTTTGTTATTGTTCTGGGACGAAGAAGCGTTAAGACAAGACATGTCAATACAATCATTGCCAACTACCCATCCCAGATAAGTTTCAATTGAGAAATCACTCTTTCTTATCATAAAACATGATGGAAAACTTCCCCACTAACAACTCCGGTATCACAAACAAAACGCTTAACGACGGTTTATGTCATCGCTACACCGCATTCGAAAATGAAAACACTCCACATCTCCTCATCGTCCTCAATTCCACTGTGAACATTATCCTAATGATAGTATCGATCATAGCAAACAGCTTGGTGATAGCAGCAGTGTGGAAAACGCCTTCCTTACGGTATCCTTCAAATTTATTTCTTTGTAATCTGGCATTGTCTGATGTTATTGTTGGTTTGATCGTAGAGCCATTTTATCTCACCGTAGAATTGTTAAAAATGCATGGTTACCCAAAAGGGGATGATTGTACATTGGAAACGGCATTTTCAGTGATTGCATTCCTAGTTTGTGGAGTTTCGTTTGGAAACGTGACTCTTGTAAGCATGGATAGATACATGGCAATCCACTATCCACTGAGGTATGACACCATTGTTACTATCCCGCGGGTATACGTTCTCATAATTTCGTGTTGGGTTCTCAACGCTTTTTTTTCTACTATTTTTCCGTGGAATGAAGTCGTTTTTGGGTATCTGGTGACAGTTGTTTGCGCAATATTCCTGACAATGTCAACATTTATCCATATCAAGATCTACCGAATCGTCCGCCGCCATAGAGGTGTGATTCAAGCTCAAGAACAGGCAGTCCATTCGACCAACACGGAGTTTAATATGACGGGTTTTAAAAAAACTGCCTCAAACACGTCCATTGTGCTCTTTTTCTTACTGATATGTTACCTGCCTTTCACTGTAGCCTGCATTCTACTAATTTTGACAGACGAGTCACCTATCCTTTGGAGAGTAGCTTCCACAACAGTGTATTTAAACTCAGCACTCAATCCGTTTCTTTATTGTTGGCGACTCTCAGCTTTGAGAGGTCCGGTTATAACTCTGCTTAAGAAGATTTTCTGCCCTTTTAAAACCTCCTCATCATATATTTTTGGCAACTAGACTGCTCACGAATTTAACTGCGGTGTTTAAATTTTAAGCTTTATCTTTGTAAGCTGGAAAAGGTATTTTTAGTTTGTGGAGTTTCGAATTTAAATGTAACATTCACTGATGTGGATAGATTCTCAGAGGTTCATTATCCGCTAAGGCAGGACACCATCGTTACCATCCCACGTGTTTTTTCCCTGATTAGTTCGAGTTGGCGTTTGAATACTTTTTTTCGACTTTATTCCTGTGGCATATGACAGCAATTTTATATCTGGAAACAGCTTTAATCGCAACTTTCCTCAGTGCGTCTTCAGCCATCCAGATAAAGATCTTCCGAATTATCCTTAGCCACAGAAGGGAAATCCAAGCGCAAGCGCAAGAATCAAAGTGCTCTGTGAGCAAATTCGTGAATTGACACATGATTTTTTGGATTATGTTTAATGTTATTTGGTTTAGGGAATTTTGTGGTTGATTGTAATGTCTAGAGTACGAGCAGTAGTTCAGTGTTCGCAGCAAAGAAACAAAGTAACGTTGGGATATGAAGGCATTACAATTGAAATGATCATGCCATTACATTTGACAAGGGTGGATGATGTCATGTGTTTTAAACGTATATCATTTTTGTTTCTGGTTCAAAAGAAAAGTTTGGAAGTAAATGTGGGTGAAAAGAGAAATTTACTCTCTATCATTGTAAATATTAGAAAACCAAGGCAATACTGTCTTAATGAAAACATTAACGATTCCCTCTTTATTAATTAAACTAGACCCTGTGAGCAGGGTAACTGGGATACCTGGATGGTACTGGATCCTTGGAATCAAGTGTAGTGATACTACGGGTGTCGGATTAGTATACTGAAATAGTGAGCTCAAGTCTGGCTAAGGGCATACACCTATTTTAAAACATAGGCATGATATGCATGCAAGAGTTATTTTTTGTAGGGTGGGTGGATTACTTGTGGTCTACATTCTTACAAAAGGAAAGAAGAGTATTAACGTGGAAAAGAACGAAAATGTCGAATTACCTCACACACAGGTATTTTGTGGTAGATTATGTGTGTTGTGCGAATAAATGTAACCAAAAGTAAACTGTATTGGTACCACAGATACCTGTTAGTACAAAATGCAGACAGCAGATCGGATACAAAATATAGACTGGAGACTGCAGAGTGGGTACAAAATGCAGACTGAGAATCTGAAGAGTTTTTACGTCTGGTAAATAATAACATGTCATCTTACAGCTTACCGAGCGTCACGCAATCGCTTTTCCTCGATCAGCCTTCACGATTATTTGCACTATTGTGGAAAATTCCTGGCCCATTTCTTGATGAAAATCGATCGTAATATAATTTCAAGCCTTCAATATACTCTTCTTATTTTGTGCGCGAGTTGGTTTGTGTGATGTCTGTACAGATTTTACCAACGTAATAAAAGTAGATGATGTGAATAACAGTGATGGTAAAGCAAGCTTAAAACGGCAGAAATCACCAGAAACTACAACGGATACACAGTTCGCGACTCAATCCGGTCCAAAATTACCGCTCAATAACATCTTTTAGTGTGGACTGGCCGCGAACAATACGACTTGTGTATGCGTCTGTAAGTATTTCAAGCGTTTGCGCTATAACGCTTCAGGTGATCGTAATCCAAACACGTTGAAATACGAAACGACCGACAAAAGAAAATCTCGTGCTCGTCACGTGACCCGGACCTGTCCATGCATGACAACGTCAATCATCATCAAGATAACACGTGATCAGCATGTGAACATCTTCACCCTCATTGGATCACAGTTAGTTGTCATGGTGTTGAGGGCCCAATGAACTCTGGGTACTATTGCGCAATTTTTCCATTTTGTGGCGGAGGAAAAAAAAAAAAAAAAAAAAAAAAAAAAAAGACAAAAAAACAAAGGCATTTTATGACTGGGCTACCACAGGTATCCCAGTAATGAGACAAACGGGAACGAGTTTTGAGTGATATAACTAAGCCAAGACTGCCACCGTCATTTTGGATCTCCGCCTGGGTAGATTTTAGTCACGTGCTAAGCAACGTATAATCAAGAACAAGATAGAATTTCATTTCAGGCCTATTTATCAATTTTGTGGTGTATAAATTTCGCATTTTAGTACGTAATATTTATTTTGAATCTTCAAATTGTCTTGAAACTTAAAAGAAAATTGTTCTTTGAAAATTCACCGAAAATCGGTAGCTAAAATTGTTTGTTTAGGTGTTATTTGATTTTCGTGATAACTTGTAATTTCGTCAGTCGCCGGCTTCTTTTGTTGCTTCACACAGGAAAAACACACGATACGAAACGTAATGATCGATTCTGTCCTCAATCTCACGCCATAACAGAAAAAGCTTTTGAACATCTGTAAACTCCGAGCGCTTCGCAGTAAGTTATATTTTCAATGAATCTTCGGATTTTTTTCAAGTTCAAGGATTGTAAATTACAATTTTATGAAAAACGAAGGTTGTTCTGTTATTTCATTCTGAATCCTCGCATGCATGCCAGTCGCTGGCGCCGCGTGTTGAAACTAAAACGAAAAAAAAAACTCTTTTAAGATTATCATTGGCTCCTTTTTCACCCCACCACTATTCTTAGCAACAAAGGTCGCCATTTCGTTTGTTTATTGCTCGCCAAAAACTATCAAATGCACTCAAAAGCCTAAAATCGAAAAGAAGTTTACAGGAATCGATCAATCGAGCGAGCGAGCGAGTGCCATTCTCCACATCATATCTACAACTCGCTCTTGCACGTGCGCGCAATTCACGAGTTAAAAAGGAGTAAAAAAAAAACACATCAGGTCAATATGGCGCGCTTTATGAAAACTTGTATAAACACGCTCCTTGTTAACTATCTCGAAATGTTGTTACTTGCCTCATCTCGAAGTTATAACTTTGAAAACTAACTCAGAGAGTAAGGTTAGTTCACCCAGTGTTGATAAACTGACAACTACTGTGATATTTCTTAACTAAGCTCTGAATCCACTCCTTCACTGTTGGCGACTCCCACGACTTAAACGGTTGGGTTAAATACGAAACGGAGTTTTTCGGTAATTACAGAAAGTGAAGGTTCATTCAAAACCTTGAGCATCTATTCTCTATAACTGTTGTTAAATGAATATATTAAATTCTTTCAAATTTTCCTTTTTTTCCAATTGTGAGCAACCAATTCAATTTTCAAGATGCTGCGAGGATCATGTTGCCAATTGATATATGGAAATTTTGAAACTGGAACTGAGGGGAAACATATATGCATTTATCAAATGGAACAATCAAAAATAGTTCAGTCCAAGAATTTTGAGTAAAATTATGGCTTTCTTAAATTCAACTTTATTATGTCATAATATTATTTATTCCTTTAGTAGAAGTTTCTTCAATCGATGTGAAAAGAAGATCCCCTATACAATGTTATTGACAAGATATAGATTCTTGCTTATTTGAACTCAAACACATGCGCATACGAATGTTTGATATGCTTTTAATCAAATATGATAGCGTAAATTCACTAGAGTAGCATCGTTGTTTTGCTGGCATCAAGCATCTCTTGCTTTGGGACGTCAAGGGGAAAGAGAACTGTTCTTAAGACAAGAATGACTGTATTTCTTATGTCGGCTGATTCCCAGAAAAATATGTCTGTTACATAAATTTAGTCATAAAGTAAACTATAATCAGCAGCTGTTCACCTATAGATTCAGCTTTTTATTCCTTTAATAAAAAAGTACATTTTTGTCCTAATAGGTCTCCAGAGAAAATAAAGATCTCCTAAGGCTGTAAGAGTGAGTTAAGAACCAAAAAGCTATCTTGAGGGAGAGGGGGAAGTAGAAATAATGAAATGTAGAAATTCCAGATGAGGGGAGGGGGGTTGTTCGAGAGGAGGCTTCATAAAAAACTGTCTTAGTTTCAACTGAGAGTCATTGTTTTCCTTCACAAATTTCGGCCAGCTTTAATGAATACCACAAAAAATCTGAATATAATTCGTTTGAAAGGCGTACGTTATTTGACACAGACTCTAATACAAGATTTAAAATGTAAATATGGGCTGATCGAGCCAAACCCTAATCTAGGCTGAATGTATCACAATTTTACGGTATAGTGTAAACAGTTAAATAATAATATTACCACTGCTTCATTATCTTTCAATTTTTCAGTTTTTGAGTCTTGCTTGGGGGAGTGGAGAGGGGAGAATTATTTTATAAAAAGGGCTCAATAAAACATTCTAGAACTAACGAACTAATGATGTTCGCAGCTGTGTCATAATGATCTCGTGTCCTTTTCCTACTGAACGTAAGACGAGGCATATCAATACCATCAATACAAAATGCCCATCACGTATTTTAGTTAAATATTGACAAATCACTCTTTTTTTTGTCATAAAATATGATGGAAAACTTTTTCACGAACAACTCTGGTATCGTAAACAAAACGCTTGACGACGGTTTATGTCATCCCCACATCACATTCGAAAATGAAAACACTCCAAATCTTTTCATCGTCCTCAATTCCACCGCGAACATCATCCTGATGATAGTATCGATCATAGCAAACAGCTCGGTGATAGCAGCAGTGTGGAAAACGCCTTCCTTACGGTATCCTTCAATTTTGTTTCTTTGTAATCTGGCATTGTCTGATGTTATTGTTGGTTTGGTGGTAGAGCCTTTATTTATCACGGTGGAATTGTTAAAACTTCATGGTTATCCAAAAGGAGATAATTGTAGGCTGCAGACGGCATTTATCACCATTGGACGTTTAGTTGGAGAGGTTTCGTTTGCGACCGTAACTCTTACAAGCGTGGATAGATTCCTAGCAATTCACTATCCCCTGAGGTACGACACCATCGTCACTAACTCTCGGGCATACTTTATCGTTATTTCGTGTTGGGTCGTCTGTGCTTTTTGTTCTAGTTTGAACCACTGGAGCTGGAAGGCATATAGGTGTGTAGTAGTCGTTTTCATGGCAGTGTTTCTCGGTATATCTACAGTCATCCAAATTAAGATCTATCGAATCGTCCGCCGCCACAGAAGAGAAATCCAGGCTCAGGAACAAGCAGTACACATAACACACCATTTCAACTTGGTGCAGTTCACTAAATCATGCGTTAACACGTTCCTTGTGTACTGTGTCGTATTACTGTGTTACTTGCCGTTTTTCATCGTTTGTATTTTGAGCTCTATAGACGATAAGGTAATTTCGCCGCTAGTGTGGAAACTGGTTCACACAGCTATGTTTCTAAACTCAGCTCTGAATCCGTTCCTTTACTGCTGGCGACTCCCAGCTATAAGAGGTCCCGTTATGCTTTTTGTCAGGAAGATTTTCTGCCCCAAGAAAGTCACCACGGGGTAAAACTGACGTATATAACAAGAACTGAAGTATATAACAAGAGAAGATATTCTGCAAACTCCAAGCAACGGTTTTTAATAATTAAATACAGTCGAATTGTATTTTCATGTAAAGTTAAAATCTGTTTGCTCGTCAGTTGAAAACACGGCTTGTATAACGAAAGCACTTTGATATAGGATTAGTTAAACAGAGGTGTTCAGTAAAAGTTAGACCTCGCAGTCAAGATTATCAAAAAGCAAAAAAAGGTTATTAGGGCGCGTTTGTAATTATCTCAGTCATAGAAAAATGAAAGGGCCAGACAAAGTCTAGAGCACTTACATGCTAGTTGTCCCTTAATACGATACTAGAAAATCTCTGACTCTTCTGTATTAGTAATTTGAAATTTATTTAACCAATTTACCTACCAAAATGTTGAAAAAAAAATTTAAAAGTCAAATCATGCATTAAATATATGCATGCACTGATAAAAGGAAAAACATTGTTTATAATAATTCTTTGAGTGGTGAGTCATACAGAAGCTCACCAAAACCTATTTTCGTTTCATTGATTATGTTACACTTCCTTTTTCTTAAGAGGAGATCTTTCTCATTACAGAGTAATTGAACATGTACAAGTCCTTGCTTTTGTAATCTCAAACACATTTTAAAGACTGCGCGAGGTGGAGTTTGTTTTCAAGCATTAGCATAAGTTCATCAGAGATGCATTGCTTTTCATTTCGCATCGTGCGAGTCATGATTTCGGGCTTGAAAAGAAGACCACTTTTTGTGACAGAATACTTAAATTTGCTGATTCCTTCGAAAGATTTGTGTGCCATAGATTTGGTATTTGGTAAACATTTTTAACTTAGCCACTGAAAAATCATTTTTAATGAAAGTTCGTTAGTTTAATGGTACTATGATCTAATAAAAGCTGAACAAAGAGACAGCGGACTGGGGCTAGATATCGCATTCTTGTGGTCGTAACGTCCTATATGTACTATGAACTAAAAGTGCCCCCAGAGTATTAGCACACCGATTCTACTGAAAATAAAAGGTTTTATATAAAGAAGTGTAAAATCTATCAGAATAAAAAAAGGGTGGCTTGATCAGAATTTTTCGAATCATTGGTGCAAAAATCTAGCTTTGATCCTCACTTTAAGATAAGAGAAGGTGTGGTCCTTTCTAAGTGGTTTTGCTACGTTTAATCAATAAACTGCATATTTGCGTAGTTTACAATCACGACCGGCTTTAGTAGTCCAAAGTTTTCTCTTTCATCTCAACTCTCAACTCTCGGCTCTCTTTTTCGGAGCCTGGGTACGACATTTCGGTGAGCTACTGCTTGGTTATCTTTGCCAACCTACTCGTGGAATTAAATATTTGATCATATTAGTTGTTTTCCATCGTAAGATCTGCCAACTAGCTTTGTGACCTTTCCCTCCAGGCTTTGACATATCCAACTTTTACAGCACCTTTCAAGATTGCATCACTTTGCGATAAAACCTTCCGCTTTCATTATGACATGCGTTTTAGGTCTATGTAACAACTGGTCCAGATTTAAACAAAAGAAACTTTCCGAAGTCCCTCTACGATTCGTCCAAGCTTCTAGATGATATTCGCTGAAAGAACCATCTGCAAGTTTCCTGATGATGTTACAACTGTTCCCGATTAAAAGCAAAGAAACTTTCTGAAGTCGGCTCTACGATTCGTTCAAGATACTATATGATGTTTGCGCGAAGAACCGTCAGCAGATTCCTTGATCACCGACCTTTGATCCACAGTACGTAAACCAGTAGATAACATTGAATATTACAAAAAGTAGAGGAAAGGCAACCCGTGAATAGCTCTCCAGTGATTTGTAATTGAACTGGATATAGTACAATTTGGCCTCTTGCACGATAGACTTGCGCCTAAGGGTGTGTCCCCTCTCCTCATTACTGCGTAACGTTACAGGAAGTTGTACAGTGCTCGAGCTAGAAAAGCTTCCGTTGACCATTCCTTCTTCAGAGTCTTGAGATTCTACTGGATTGCCAAATTTGACTAGCTTACACGGCTGAAATTAAAAGAAAGGAGAAGAAGAATTGATTAATTCAAAATAACACCATCCTTGGATTAGGCAAGGAAAGGTTCGCTGAAGAAATTACCCCCTTAACAATACTGTTATCCAAATCCCCACATAAGTTCTTTCCCATGCTAGTGATTCGTTCTAAATTTAGAACGAATGTTACTTATGAGAAGATTTAGAATAAGGTTCAGGTAACGAGAACGGCAAAATTTACCTCTGATCTCTCCTTCAACTCTTTAAAACCTTACGTGACAGGACGGAAAACGCGTGGACTGTAAGTACCTCCCGTTGTCCCATACAAAGCCTTAGAAAACTTTTCTAAGGCTTTGTATGGAACAACGGGAGGTACTTACAGTGCACGCATTATCCGTCCTGTCATGATAGATTTAACATTCAAAAGGAAAATAAATAAACTTCCAACACAAATGCAAATATTTGCCATTACTGCATAAAAAGGTGGAGAGAAAAAATGCAACTCTTGTCCGTCGCTGTTTGTGTAAAAGTATTTCTCCACCTGTCCGAAACACAAATATCAATACCTCATTGAGATCGGATTCCTGGTATTTGACCAATGCGCAGTGCACCGCCGCGTACTCCATCAGGCTTGCAAAAACGAACACAAAACTCGTGATGACGTACACATCAAGAGCAGTTGCGTACGAAACATTTGGAGTTGCACCTCCTCCATGAAGGTAGTTGCCCATGGCTAGAATGGTGATGACTCCGAGAGAAACACGAGCTGGGGTAGACTCGGGATCAATCCAGAATGAAATCCAACTAAGAAGTACGACTAAAGTTACAGGCAGATAAAACCCATAGACATAAAACATTAGGCGTCTCTTGAATACAAATGTTGCCTCTGGCTCTGAGAAAACTCCTGGAGAGAAAAAGAAATGTGAGTATACTTAATTGATCACTCCCCGAATAAGGCTTCTCAGGGTGTAAGAAAATTGAAACAGGGCGAATAAACGTAAAAAACCCCAACTGGCAGGCGGCAGATGTTACACACTCAAATCACCAGATTAATTAAACACAAGGTTGTATTTATTCGAAAACTCCGAGCACATGCTTTTCTCTTTTTTTTCCCGACACCCTTTTTGGTTCATGAACTCAACAAAACATGTCACGCACTCTACACACTTCCCCGCCGAAAATGAAAGTGTTCTTCTAAATATTACAAAACTATTTATCAGAGTTCTCTGCAGCTACTGTAATTGTTGTTTGACGTTGTCTCCTTCAGCACCTTGCGTGCTTTTGATTTTCTTTTTTTTTTTTTTTTGTTTGGGTCTTATAAGAGGCTCCTCTCAAGCCCTCGGGTAGTAGACAGGTTGGAAACAGCATGGCCACACCCAGAAATACAGGGGTATTCCCGGATGAATAGCTGTGATAGCTGGAGTTTGAATGGCGTTAACGCGTGAACTGCTGAATACTGGCTCAGCCGACTGGTACTGTGGATTTCCCAGGGAGTTGTAAGTTAAGATCTGCGGCGGTCTCCTTTGGCGCTGCGGCCGAGTCCACATGTCCTGCTCAGCAATGTCCTCTCCCCCTGATCCGTCATTGTCAGCACTTCCTTCATTTGCAAGTTGTATTTCGCTGGATGGCCCATTGGTGCCCTCAGTAGTCGCAGAATCCTCAATTGACTCTGAAGGCAAATCGCGTCCTGGAGACACTGAGTTTGAAGTTCTTACTTCAGTAGGTATTTCCTCTACAAGGTCCACACTACCGAAATCATCATCATCTTTCCCCGAATTCTGTAGGTCATTTCCCGAAACAGACAAAGGTCGTTTCTCTACTGCTGTTTTTGGGGGTCGCGTACCAAATCCCAGGTTTGGGGCATCTGCTTCCAAAGCGTCACAAGGCAGTAGTAAATTCCGGTGAAGCACTCTTGCGCGGCCACCTCCACTCTCGGGCTTAACTTTGTAGACTGGGCTTTGAGCCCCCATTCGTTCAACCACAACGTGGATAGCGCACTCCCAATGGGATCGTAATTTTCCGGGTCCACCGCGCTCTGTTAAGTTTCTAACTAGCACCCGATCGCCTGGCTGAAGAACGCCACCTGAGACTCTCTTGTTGTAATATTGCTTGCCGCGCTCGGCAGTCTTCTTTGCATTCTGTTGAGCTATCCGGTATGCCTCCTTCATATCATGCTGCCAGTTTTGGACGTAAGTGTTATAATCTCCCTCTGCACTCTCTTGATTCAAATTGAAAATCAGGTCGATGGGCAGGCGGGGTGTTCTTCCAAACAACAAGTAATACGGAGCGTATCCTGTCGCCTCATGCTTAGTGCAATTGTACGCGTGGATCATCTTGTTGAGTGATTCATCCCACTTTCGTTTCTTCAAATCTGGGAGTGTTCGCAGCATAGACAATAGCGTGCGGTTCATCCTCTCCACTTGCCCATTCCCTTGAGGGTGGTAGGGGCTGGTGCGAGACTTGGAAACGCCAGACAACTTATGTAGTTGATGGAAGAGATTGTTCTCAAATTCTCCTCCTTGATCACTGTGTATACGGGCTGGGAATCCGAATCGTGGTACAAAGTCATTGTAAATCTTTTCAGCCACCGTTCGTGCTGTCTTGTTTCGGGTTGGGTAGGCCTGTGCAAACCTTGTGAAGTGATCTACTATCAGCAAAATATATTCAAATCCCCGTTGGCTTTTCTCCAAATGAAGAAAGTCTATAGACACCATCTCAAAAGGGGCAGTCGTCGTAATGCTCTCCATTGGTGCTCTAGGGGAGATTTGGGGCTTCTTTTGCTGGATGCAGTGACACTTGTTGGCGATGAAATACTCGATTTCCTCTTGCATGTAAGGCCAATAGAACCTAGATCTCGCTAAGTCCACCACTCGATCTGCACCCAGATGACCCATTTCAATGTGAAGTTCTTGGTAAACCAACTGTTTAAACTTTGTAGGTAATACTAGCTGCAATCGACTCTTAATTTGGCGCCACAGGATCCCGTCCGCTGATATATGGAGTTTATTCCATGCTCTCAAGTAGCAAGATGTTGTACGAGTCTCATTTTTCCGCTCTCCTCCTGATGGGGGATATCCCCGTTTCTTGTAGGCCAGGATTCGTGAGATGTCGGGGTCTTCCCGTTGAGCCCTTAATATTTCTTCTAACGTAAGTTGGCGAAAAACCAAATCTGTGACGCCCGGTTCTGCGTGAGCAATGCCAACTCTTGCTGAAACTGCTGCCACCCAGGGTGTGGCGTCTGTTTCCTGATGGATCACTGCTTGACTTGTTGCACAAATTGCGTCCTTTTCCATTTCTGCAATACAGGTTTCCATGTATGCACTGAAATCTAGCGGTAGGCGGGATAGTACATCCGCGTCAATGTTAGATTTGCCAGGCCGATACTTGATGTTAAAATTAAAATCTGCCAGTTCTGCCACCCACCGGTGCCCTACTGCAGACAACTTAGCTGACGACAGAATGTAAGTTAGTGGATTGTTGTCGGTGTAAACAGTGAAGAAGGTGGAGTAGTACAAGTAATCACGGAACTTCTCAGTTACTGCCCATTTGAGGGCAAGGAACTCCAATTTTCCCGCGTGCATGTGGTAATTTTTCTCTGCTGGAGTTAGTGTCCTAGAGGCATAACCTAGAACTCTGAGCTTCCCGTCCTGTTCTTGATACAATACAGCTCCAAGTCCCTCTTGCGAGGCGTCTGTGTGAAGTACAAATGGCTTCGTAAAGTCGGGAAATGCCATCACTGGAGGAGAAGTCAGTCGGTCGACCAGCATGTCAAGCCGCTTCTGATGTTCCTCTGTCCATGTTACCTTATGATTATTAGCCAATAGATCAGGGCCAGCCATTAGATCGTACAGGGGCTTAGCTATGCGTGAGAAATCCTGGATGTATTGCCTGTAGTAACTCAGGAACCCTAGCAGTTTACGCACATCACCCACTGTTGCTGGTTTCTGTTTCGCCAAGTTGTGTACGGCAGCCGTGTCCTCTGGGTCTAGAGAGTAGCCATCGCCGGAAACAACCCGCCCCAAATATCTAACTTGTCGTTGGAAGAACTTGCACTTTGATGGCTTTAACTTTATCCCATGTTCCTGCAGTCGACGCAGGACTTGTTGGACATCCTGAACGTGTTGCTCAAAGGTCTTACTATACACCAAGACATCATCCAGGTAGGGAATACAGATGTTGTCACGTAAGCCATCTAGACATTCATTCATGCACCTTTGGAATGCCGCCGGTGCATTCATTAGCCCAAACGGTATTCTATTCCATTGATACAATCCCCAGGGGGTCACGAATGCAGTCAGGGGGCGGCTTTCTTCTGTCATAAAGCCTTGGTGGTAGGCCTTCCCTTGGTCCAGAACTGTAAACCATTTGTTGCCGCCTAGGCCATTTAAGATATCCTGTATACGGGGAATCGGCTGTCGTTCTGGATATGTTTTCTTGTTCAATTCTCGATAATCAATACAAAGTCGCAGACTTCCATCCTTTTTGCGAACACAGACCATGGGTGAGGAGTAAGCCGAACGGGACTTGCAGATCCAATTTCGATTAATCAAGTCTTCTAAGTACTCTTTCACTTCCCCATAGAGTGGCTTGGGGATGGAGATATAGTTCTTCTGTACTGGCTCATTGTCCTTTAACTGGATATCAAGCACCAAGTTCTCCACGCAGCCAACCTCATCGTCGTTTCTTGCAAAGGCACCAGCTTCTTGCCGTAGCATTTCGTGGACGATCAATTGTTCATTGTCTTCTAGCTGACTCAAGTCAACTGGTGGCTCCCATCCATCTTGTTCCTGACCAGGATGCAAGGTAGCTTCAGGGTAAAAATTCTCGTCTCCTCGAGAGTACGAGTCGGGAGTATTTGGAATTGGTAGAACTGACTTTACCAGGTGTATCCGGCCCAATTCTGTTCTGCGCTTTAACAAGATGTTTCTGTCTGTATTGTTTTGGACCACGACGGCCACGTGACTAGAGGTTCCCGGGGTTATTTTAGTAAGTTCCTCGCCCAATTCCAGTCCGTCTGGGAGCTCGCTGTCTTCCTTGGGCTCAAATATTACTGGCATCCCCTCTGGAACTGGTCCGAGGTGAGTTTGACACTTAACTGTCGTTGCCTCTCCTTTTGGCAGCATAACATCTCTCTTTCCGACTTTAACAGCTGCAGTACCGGTATCCTGTGTTCTTGACTGGATCAGATTGATCAGGGTACCTACGCGAGTATGATGAATTGAAGGGAATGACTGCTGAATGATGTTACTTGCCGCTTGGTGGTTTCCACCATGTTGAGCGAGGACTTCTTCTATAACATTGAAGCCAATGATTGGGTACTCTTGTTCCTTTTGTCCCACCAGTACTGGAACTGTCAGCTCATGAGCAGTTGTATCATCTCCAGCCAACTTAAACCCGACCTCAATCCAACCGTCAAATGGAATGTTTGTCCCATTCATCGCTTCCAAATTCAACTCTTCTCCTGCTCCCAACAACTCTTCAACATTTCTTAACACCTCCAGCGGTAAGTGAGTTTGTTGCCACTTCCTTGACACAACACAAACCTGGGAACCTGTATCCCATAATGCCTCCACTTCCTTTCCTTGAATTAGGCATTTTACCACGCACCTCCGTCCCACGATTTTCGTCAGTCCGAGCTGCTGCCTTGGCGTCAGGTGGCAGGGAAACGTCGTGTTCAAATCATCGCCATCATCTCCGGCTGCTTTCTGTTTCTCAAGTTCCTGTATAGCCATGCAAACTGGTTTATGCACAGTTCTGTATTTTACTTGACATTCTTTTGAATAATATCTATTGATCTTACAGGCTCCGCAGCGGTTAAGTGGTACATGGTCTGTGCTTTGTTTTCCACACTGCACGTAACGGGACTGATTTTCTTGCCTGGTCACACCCTGTCCCATGGGCGTGACCTCTGGCCGTTTCCCTGAGATTCTGCCGGAGAGCGTCGGCTGAATTGGGCATTACACTCGCGTACATAATGGCCACTCGCCCCACACCTGAAGCAATGGTTGCACGGCCATCCATTCCCACTTTGTTGGCAGGTCCTACACAGTGGGGGTTGTCTCATAGGCTGTTGTGTGAGGGGGTTTGAGCCCGGAGTGGGGCCCGAACTCTCTCTTTGACTGCGGCCACTTCTGCCTTGAGCTCCCTTAGTTCTTTCATGAGACCTTCCTCCACCCCATTATTCTTTGTCTCCTGCTTGTCCCCTCCCTTTTGAACAGCATTTACCTTGGGGGTTAGCTGTGAACCGAATTTCTGTGATCGCTCCAGTTCGTCACTGAAACACACATTTAATTTCTCGAATAGTTCTTCATCGCTTATAAATTTCTTTTCCAAGTAAGGCTTCATTTCGATCTTGATATTCTCACTTTGCAGGCCAAGGGAAAAGCTATGGACAAACATGCCATGTACTAAGGTAGGATCATATTTCAGGTCCGAGTCAGTTTCTTGAGATGCAAACAAGATCTTCTGTTTCAAATCGAGAAGGCGGATCAAGAATTCTTGAGGTTTTTCCTTTGGCTGTTGGACAGTTGAGCTCAACTGATGATATAGTTCGGTTGCTGTTCTCTCCTGATAATGAGAACGCATAATTCTCCTCAATTTGGCCAGTGTTAAATCTACCTTACCCTCCAAATAACTTCTTAGGCTTAACGCCGGATTTATCGCTTTTATCACAGCCTCTTTAATTTCATCCTCTGTATAGTCGTTCTTTAAACCATTCTCAATTTGATGCACTAGCGAGGAAAAACTCAAACGATCCTTCTGCGACGCGTCGCCAATCTGGCCCGAAATCTTGAAGTCGCGTTTGAATTTTGAAATTGACACCACGGGATTTTGCTCTATTTTGACGGTCGCTTTATTATTTTCAGAAGCTTTCGGCGGTTCCGTTTTCTGTTCCGGTACAAATTTTCCCTGCATACTTAGAGACGACGACAACACTTTGAGCTTCTCATTATCTAATTCTTCCGTTTCGAGGTATTTATTTAGAGCTCGGATAAAAACCAACCTTCCCTTGCTCTCAGGCGGTACAGTAATGTTCAGCCCACTACAAACTTCTTTAAGCCTTTCCTCGCTCAAGGAACACAACGCGGCCTGAATTTCGATCTGCAGACTCTCGGTATCCATCATACTTCCAAAAATAATCTTTCGTACTCACCAATAGTGCAATCAGCCGTTCACAAAAGAAATGCGACACTTTACGTCAAGATCAGTCCGCCGTCGACAGCAATCGACCACAACCAACTCGCGCTCGACGAATCAACCAAGCGTGCCAATTACTTTGTCCTTCACAACCCAAGGCAGTTCTTCGTCGATGATAAGCCTCTTCGGTCGAATCCTGGCGGGGTCGCCAATGTTACACACTCAAATCACCAGATTAATTAAACACAAGGTTGTATTTATTCGAAAACTCCGAGCACATGCTTTTCTCTTTTTTTTCCCGACACCCTTTTTGGTTCATGAACTCAACAAAACATGTCACGCACTCTACACAGACAAGTGGGCTGCATAAAAAGTGCGGCTAAAGAGTTGAACACGATAGAACCGTGACAGAGAGTAAGTAGTTGGTACATGGTTAGAACCTGGGGCTACCTCACAGGAAATAAAGAAAACAAAACTACCTTCTAGCTACCAAACACTTATTCGAAAACAGATTAAATTACTGAATTTGGAGACGAATCAGGGTATAAGGCTCTGAGTGCAAAACTTGCTCCACTCGTACTTGCCTAATCACTTTATCCTCTCTTTCATCTACTTGGTCATACAACCGCAGAAAATTTAGGAAGTAAAAAAGATTAAGTCATGATTTGATTTTCACCAGAATTTTATTGGGAAGAGGTAACAACTCCCGCTGCCTATTCAGAGCAAAAAGACAAAATGTAATTCATCTCAAACCTGTATTGTACACTCCTTTACGATCCTTGCTCACCACACGGTTGAGGTCGTATTGAGGAATCTCCAGCTCTTCGGGAACAATCACTCCTTGGCCGTTTCTCCATCTTACTAAGACGTTATCCTCTGTCTGTGAATCTTATAAGAGTAAGAAACACAAACATTTCCATAATTATTATGTCCTGATGGCCAGAGTACTAGTTATCATCTGTAAGGCCCCCTTTTTCTATACAAAACGTGTTCATTGAACTTTCCGTCCTCATTAGAAAACGGAAACGATGTTTGCTGGTCACACTGCGTTGGCTAAATTTGAGAATGCAACAATTGCCTGGATATGAGCTTGCACATGACAAAGGCCTTATTTTTCCACAAAAAAAAATATGAAAAGCATTTGTGCTTACAAGAACCAACGTAGAAATGACAGGTTTGACGATCCATAGGAAATTCGCGGAAGTTCATTTGACATGCCAGCACGGTTGTAATTCTGTAAGTAGAGATAAATAAAATGCCACCATGTATTTAGTTATCTTTTATTTTTATTTTTGCACAAAGCAAATAAACGAACAACGCATGAAGGAACCTCAAAGTATTCCAGGGGTGAGAATGTTCCATGAGTGAGATGCCACAACACTGTTTGCATAGGTAATAACATGCAGATTTCGAGTGCTAATTTTGTGCTAATAAGCACGAGTAAACTTTTCAAAAACAACAAAATTGCACGAGTCCGTAGGGCGAGTGCAATTTTGCAAGAGAAATTGCAAGAGAAATCATGTTATTTCTTGTTAATAATGTACATAAAAAGCATCACAGAAAGTCAAGACAGACAAAAATTTGGAGAGCGTGCGCGCGCTATTTTTAATTTGCACTCGTGTTACACTGACACCCGTTTCCACCCAATCAGAAGCACTTAGCTTTTTCTTGTACATTATTATTACTGACCTTGCACTCAGCAGAATACTCCCATCCGGGCTGACGCCAAACAACACATTTTGCGTGGGTACCATGTGAAAACGAGCATCTTTACTGTTCCTGAAATATAGGTCGGGCTGCCAAACGTATTTGCTTAATTCAGGGCTTAGAATAACTCTCTGATTTATTCCCTTGTCTGGCAGTGGTTGATAAGTGAGACGGGAATCTTTCCAGCGTTGTCTAAAGAACATGTCCAAAGAAAATTCCTAGGAGGAGAGGAAAGGTTGTGTTAAGTGATTTCGTCAGCCGGACTTCCATGTGATCCTATGTCGTGTAAATTGCATTTTCGATCATCCTTAAAATTTCTTTTGCCTGTCTTTACTCGTCTAATCCAGCTTCCAAAACGAAGGGTATCGCGGAATCTCGATAGCTGACTCTGGAATTTATTTCCTTGACTTGTTTTTAGGGATATTTGGTCAAAATGAAAATGAGAAAGGGCGGGAAAAACCCTTCATTTTTCCTTTCACAATTTTCGGAAAAATTTTGCTTACCATATCTTTTTCGTCGATAGAGCTCACACTTGAAATGTATGTCTCAATATCGATCACAACTGGACCTCCTGCAAGAAAGAGGAAAGGTAAAGAAATCAACACCGATCTGTAGCCTATTCAAAGCAACATCAGTTTCCCCAGCGCTGTAGGTTACATTGTCATTTGCCAAAAGGAGGCGGTTGACGACTTTTCGCTTTGTATAATGCTTTCTTTGTCATTTATCAAGTCGAAATTCAGACTGATAAAGTACTTAAGTAATTATTACAGTAAATAGAAGAAACTCTCAGAGTTCTGTTCTTTCCCGTTGTCTTCACCCCTCCCTAGCAGCCGCTAAATCTCGGGCGTCATTTTTTTATGCCTTGGTCATTCTCAAAACTGAGACTCTTGAGAAAAATGGCTCAAATTATTGTTACCATTAGAATCTTTCATGAGATTCACTCGGATATGTTGCTTACCGGTCACATTCGGTCTCACGGATCCATCATAGTCCTTATTTTTTATCCAAACAAGAAGATCTTCAGCACTTCTATTACAACTTTTCTGGCATCTGATAAAACACACCAATAACAAAATCTTCATCATCATTATCATCATTACTGTAGGAAGGAGATAGTACCATACAGAAAAGAAATCTCTAATTATTAAGTACAGAGAGCTTTTATACACAAACAACCCCATTATGTGTGGCCACTTCATTTCACTAACACGAGAATTTAAGGGAGTAATGCCCTTACGATGAGCATCCGATTGGAGGCAGCTTTCCCAGTCTTTACTCGATTAACGCTCAGTTTACCACCCTTTCTGTACCTCTCATTTCGGCTATAAGGAACGATTTCCTGAGCAGGTGGGAAAATTTTTTTAGCAGGTGATATATAAAGTAGCTGTCCTCCACCCCCTCCCTTCCCTCCCCCAGGACACAGCCCCGTTGAGTCTTGCTCTGTCCCTTCGATCTCATACTAGCCTATGAAAATATAAGACCTCTACAAACATGACAAATTTTTTTCAAGAGGAACAAAACAATTTGTTCTATCTGAAACGAGCAGGTGGTGCTAATTAACTCCTTTTCCGCCCTCTTACACCTCAACAAAACCACAAAACCGCACTTTTACACGTCGAGGGAATACAGTTATTCGCGATGAACTGACGGTTTTATTGAGCCAAGTGCCAGGATGTTAAAGCCTTTAAGAATTTTAAATGTGAAAATTCTATACTCATAAATGTTTCCACACGTGAGGTTTAGTAAATAAAGCAGAATTGTAGTTTAGGCTCATGCTTCGAAAATATTAGAAGCACAACTATTCTAAAATACCAAACACACTAAGAAAAGCGCATGTCCAAATCGAGATAGGTTAAAGCATTTTTGCTCAGAAGTTTAACTTTCAAAAATTTTTTCATATTCTATAATTTGCGTCGCATGTATGAAAAAAAAATTATTATTTAGAAAAAATTCATATTCAACTGCGAACACATGCGTTGATCCGTCTACGAGAAGAATACTGGAAAGGAAAATCTTCCTATTTTTGCTTTTTATTAGCTGTGAAAGCAACGTATTATAGGGGAGCAACAAAACTCGTTGGTAGAGTTTGCTTAGAAAACAGCATTAGCCTTTTGGATGACCTTCTAAAATGTAAACCCTTTTATTTCTAAATTTGTCTCAATGCCCGGCAGCCAGAAAAAGAAATTAGCTGTCCCTCACCCCTGTCCCAGAAGTTGGAAATTTTTACAGAATTTCCCCTGAACAGTTCTTTAAATTTCTTAAGAGTATCAAACGTTTGTTTAGAAAGGTCAAGCGACTCCAAAACTTGCTTTGGTTATTTAGTGGACGAATTTTTCGAGCTAGTGAAAATCGTATAATTGCTAAGTTTTCGACTCTTGGAAAATATCCCTGGCCTCCCGGGCATTTATTCCATTTTAAGAGCGCGCCAGACTGCGGGGCATTCAGACACTGCGTTTCCTTTTGGGTGCAAGTTCTTCATTTGCATCCATCAGGACTGATTAGTCAGCTTCGTGAAACGTGCGAATGGCAGAAACGCCTGCAGTTCAACTCGCCTATTTCGTATGCTGGTTTAAAAGCACATTGGAATATCGGTTTGAAGTTTGTTGAAAATTGCGGTATTAAACAACCTATTGGAATGGAACACACGAATCGAACGAAGGACACGCGAGGATCAATCATTTAAGGAGCGCGCCTTTCGATAGTGCCTTGAGCTCTTGGCACGAACATGTGATAAAACTATCTTGTATTTTAGGATAAACTTGTAGAAATCATTAAAAAATCAGATTTTTATTGAAACAATTATTCATACGTACCCTTCCACTGCGAGCCGCAGTAAACTGGCTGAGAAGAAACAGATCAAAATAACACCACAAGGAAATTTTCCTCCAAAGTTTATATGCAACTCTGAGTCAAAGCGCATCCTCTAGTGAATGGTTTTTGGGCTTCACTCGAATACCTAGGGAAAATATTAAAATGAGAGGCGTACAGATGGCTATAACGTGGAACGTCACGCATCAGCTCTCCAAAGGCTCAACTTTAATGGCCATTTTTAAAACACTCTATTCAGAACATATCGATTAAGTATCCGTCTTATAGACAGTACTTTAACTCTTGTTGTTATAAACCTTACGATTTTCGCAATTATGTATTGGAAGCAATTGTTAATTACAAAAACGATTATTAAACCCCAACCGACAGATTCGCAGATCGACGAGTATTGAACCTCCTTGACAAAGAAAGAGCAATTGTTGTCGTCTGATCTTGTGCATGATGTCTAGTATTTTTAAAACAGAGGTGCAATGCTTGCAGAAGAGAGAAGTTCGACGAAAATGTCACTTACTTGTCACCTTCAGAAGGTCTTGCAAATATACTCCAGGGTCAAAGAAAAGCAGGGGTCCTAGTTGTGATGTCGCAACAGATAACCATGCTGATAACATTAAGAGTGTGAACTGAAACTGTAACTGAATAACAAGCTTCAGAAATTTTTCTTCTTATAAACCCTTGCTAATCCCCTCCTTGCATTCAAGTGCGAAATGTTTGCTAAATAACGTTTTCACACCAGCAGACCTGTCTTAAAATAAATTATATTGCATCGTTTGCGGGAAGTTGTGACATAAAAGGAACCTATCATTTATTAATGCCAAGAAACCGCCAATGTCTCACTTCGAGTCGAAGTCGCGCATCCAGTTATGCCTGACAGCAATGGGACGTAAATAAAGGAGATATTCATGAACTTCATCAACGAATAATGAGAACTAAGAGTTACTGTTATGACTTCGAAGAGAACGGTCAAATTGTTTTTTATGTGCCCAAACAAACTCGCTATAAAGTTTAGCTGTCTACTGTTTACGTAAAAGTAATTTGTTCGAAAATTAGGCGCAGCAAGACGTAAAATAAACTGCAGGTGTTCGGCTGACTCGTAGACAGATTTGACTGAATATATATTTTTAAACCCATTGGCTATGTGTTTCGAAAAACTAAATCGTGCTGTAGTGCTTTGACTTTCGTGTGGTGGTCGTTATTATACTCTAAAGGATAGGCGTCGGGTCTATAAAGTAATCCTTGATTGTGAGGGTACGTTATATTTTCAGAAAGAAAACAATTCTCATTCGTTAATTTTTCATAGATGTTGCATGAGCGAAAAAAATTAACAACATCACTAGGTAAAAATTGTTGTAGTTTACTAAACAAGAATTTAGCTGTGTGGAGAAGCGAGTGTTTTTTAAACATATTTTCATGTCAGATCTGAGGGACACAAATATGTCACAAAACTGACTACAGCCTGATTTAGACTCGTATTATTCAGTTGTAAAATGTTAATTTCTCTAGTTTATTGAAGGCTAATCTGCGGTTTTTGGTTTGAAGCTAGTGACGCTCGTAACTGGGCTGGCATCTAAAAATATTAGAAGTGGAACTGAAATGACGGGTTAATGGATTTATCTTTAAAAAGTCTTATCTAAGCCCATCCAAAGTGTAATATCCCGTCTATGGATCATTGGTGTTGTTTGAAACTGCCAACTGAATCGACATTAATTGCTTTTTTCAATTGTAATTCAAGGTTCATTTTGAAATTGTGTGACATCCTAAAAAGTATGTTTTCGGTTGTTGTTCATTCAATTCCCATTTGTTTAAGTCTTTTGGAGAATTGTTAATAAGAGTTTTAAATGAGTGGGTGGGTAATTGTAATTCAATGAATTGTTGAAATCCATGGATAGTAAAATAAATTGTTTTGTAGGTGTTAATTAATGTCAAGTAAACGGTTTGTAAATGCTGCGCTGTGAATTGGTTGGTTATTTCTACCAAATTTTTGGAGGACCTATTTTGACATCAGTTTTGTAAAGTGCAATCGAAGTTAATCTTAAATTAACGGTTTCCTTTCCCAGATATAACAAAAGTATTTTGTAAATTATGTATAGAATTAAAATTCGTTGAACTTTTATCAACAGGTTTACAAGGTCTTACAGCAAGTGAATAAAAAAATATTTTCCGAGTCGAGCATGAAAACAGCATGATGGTGTACTCGTTAGTCTAACTGGTAAATCGTTCCTGTCCATATCTTTCATGCAAATAGTCCCCCTTGCATGATTTGGTAACACACCAATTCGGACACATAAAAGCTAGTTAACCTTCTATTGAGGAACGATATGAAACTTATAGCTTTCCTTGCCACACTAAATTGAAGACAGCAGGGAGAGAGAGACGGGGGGGAGGGGGGGAGGCCCTAGTTTCGTTTCACGCACGAACTGAAGAAAAATTCACACGACACGTGCATTTTAAATAGCAATTCACACTTCACGAATTAAAAAGGGAAAAGTTCAAATCTCACCTTACCTTGCCTTGTTTTAAATTTCACGCGTCACGTATAAATCCTTTTCCACTCTCCAAATTATCAATATCGCATCACATTTTACATAGCGCGATTTAAAGGTATTTACTGAACTAACCGAAAAACCAGAAAGCCAAAAAAGTGCAACGAACATAAACAAAGACTATATGGGCTTAACGAGGGCTAACGCCGAAAAAAAAATAAAAAATGAATGTATAAAAAAGCTCAGTTTTAACTATGTGTTCTAGAAACCATTTGTTAAGCAATGATACTAAAACTGCATAGCGTCGAAAAAGACACCAAAAAATTTCCCTCCATACTACTGAAGTACAGTGGCCCATAGTACGGTGGCTCATAACAGAGGACATGCTATCCCGGCCAGTTTTTAAATTCAATTTTATTGCGCAATAAAATCGAAACATCGCGCGATAAATGATAAATTATCGAACGATAAATGATAAATTGTCGCACGATAAATGATAAATTATCGCGCGATAAATGGGAAACTTGTTGGGTGCCACGTGATCGGCTGTCACGCATGTTGTTTCTGTGGACGAGAATGGCTGCAACAGTTGAAGAGGTATGTTTTGAGGTCAATAGTTCGTTTTGTTTTCGTGAAAAGATCATCGAGTAGTACTTTGCCATACTTCTACGACACATAGCTCGGTGAATCAGTACAGTAAACCTTGATTTTGCGAAATCTTACGAGACAATTTCAGAGATAGCTGTCAGCGTCTGAAAACAAGTGTGGATTATCTAATCTTTCTGATAACATAGCAGGTTTGTTAATTTCTAGATGTCACCTCTTCATCGCCAACCCCGTTAAGAAAGTACTCTTCAACTGTTGCAACCGTTGTCGTCTCGTCCACGGAGACAACGTGCGTGACTGCCGATCATTCGGTGGCCCATAGAGGACATGTCACATTTTTTTATCACGCGAATAATGGAATACATCGAGCGATAAATGATAAATTATCTCGCGATAAATAATAAACTATCGCGCGATAAGTGAAAAATTATTGCGCGATAAATGGGAAACCTGTTAGGTGGCACGTGATCGGCTGTCATGCACTTTGTTTCCGTGGACGAGATGCCAATGGCTGCAGCAATCGGAAAGTTCTTTCTTAGTCTAGAAATTTACAAACCTGCAATGTAATGAGCCCCCGTACTCGCTTCATTCATGGTCTCACCTCATACCATTTATTCAAACCATTTTATACGATGGACACGGTCATAATGAAATGTATTCAACAACAGCATTTCCTTTCCGTTACCCTGAAGTCCATGCCACAGTTTTTTTCTCATTATGTATTACCGCCATTTGGAAGCATGGATAATTCAATTGCGTAACGCCGACCATGGAGTTACGGACACACGAATCGTGTTATTGAGTGCCAAACATCGTCAACTTCGATTTTTTAACGCTATTTTTTGATGGCTTTACGAAGAACAGTCTTATGTAAGTATATCAGCCAACCAGGAAGCGCACGGGCTGTTTGGATAAACCCCGCACGATGTGAAATAGGAAAATATTGCAGTCGACTATGGAGGAGCTCTGCTGTAACGAGAGGTATCCTGCAGTACGTTATTTAGTGAATACTGGATCATATCGTTAATTACTAGACGTGCTAGATAACAAAGATTTAAAAAATGAAATTCTTTCTAATATAAGTTAAATTTTGTTATTATGAACCTTGTGCAGAGGAGGAAAATTTCACGTTGTGTGACGTGATATCGGCTTTGGTGAGCATCGATCATGAACAAAAATCAAACATTCTGTTCCCTAGCGAGGCATGGTTAGAAATTTAAATTCCCATTCAACGCAAGGGTTCAATATTTGATCTAGGCAAACTTAATACTATCAACTTCGATTGTGAGTGCCTTGATGTTTGTTACAGCAATGAATGGTTAAATTTTATCTTTGTAGACAATTGTTAAGTGCAGCATGGTCACTTAATAAGATTTTAATGAAATTTCCGAAGAATGAGAGGAAATTAAGGACATTAAGAGGAAACCGCGCCAGAGAATTGAGAGAAAGTGCCTTTGCTTATAAAACTGAGTGGCTGTTTTCCCTCTTTTTCCAGTAGTATGATAGATCAGTTTCGAGACTGCACATTTATGCAAATTTTGGGCGAACTGATGCACGCAACATTGTAAAAAGAATGCATCTTAATTTCCTTAAGGAGTAATTGCCTTTTCTTTGGCCCTCACTTTGGAGTACATTTTCACAGATAGACATGTGGGATATCTGTGAATGACCACAGTGGCCACTTTATCACGACTCGACAAAAATGTACAGTGAAAGTTTTTTCCCACGAATTGTGATGAGCAACCTTGCTTTTTCTATGTGAAAATCAAACAAGAATCTAGTTTTCCAAACAATCTTAATCGGTTAAGATCTATCTTATTAGCTAGCGCCAGATTTTAAAATAAATTCTCTCAGATTTAATTTTATTCCAATAATAACCCTGTGGACGCTTGCAGTGTCGTTTCTTAAATGCTGGATTGGACTCTGGACTTGAGTTTTTTGGAACTAAGGGAAGCGTGTGGCTAGTGTACATACGCGTTAACATGGAACGCTCTTACTGTCAAATTTCTCATCTTTTTGGAAGTTTTAGGAAGACGGAATCCATTCACATGGTATAATGAGATGCTTGAGAAGTATCCAATACGAACAAAGTGCATTACTTCAGGAGGTAAAAAAAACTGAGAGTTAATTAAGGTTTCAACTCTAGCATGATTACTATAATGGGCCTTCCTAAATAAGTTAAACTCACATGAATTCTTTTGAGTAAAAAATTGAGACTTCATTCCCCTCCTCCCCCTGCCCCTATCATGTAACAACCTCAGATAAAAACCTATCAAACATACATCAATGTAATGTCAAGCAGTGATGTTCATCTCCCTCATTACTTTTACAGTGCTGTATGGCGTGGGAGACTACATTGCCCAAAGAGCCATGGCCAACAATGAAAATGGTTTCAGTGATAAGGTACATGTGATATGTAGCCCTCTACCGATTCAAGCACTTAATGTAAATTTTAAGTAAATTGGCTTAATGCTAGTGGAATTTTTTTTTCATTGAGGCTTTTGTCAAGAACTCTTAAATTTAGGCATACTGGCTAGCTTCAAATTCTTACTTTGAATTACTTTAATGATTTTCTTACAGCGTCTTTTAAGAGCTGTTATTTATGGTTCAGTTATCATGGCCCCTCTTGCCCATGTGCATTTCAACTTTTTGGAGTGGTTGGTTGTAGAAAAGGTAAGAAGTTGATTTATTTACTCAAAATTTAACCATAATTATAGTATTAATTTTGTGGGCAACAGGGTAGCCTAAAGGTTGGTGCCCTGGACTCCAGGTTGAGATGTCTGGGTTCACCATCAAGCTGAGTCATTGCATTGTGTTCTTGGGCAAAGCAAATAACTTTCACAGAGCTTTTCTCCACCTACAATTATAAATGGATAAAGGTGAATTTACAGGGAAGGTTGATGAAATGCAGGGGGGAACCACCTTGTGATGGACTGGCATCAGGGGCAGGGGTAATACTCCTAGTCCCTTTGTGTTAGGGAAACTGGAGGAAGCTTCAGCTGCATGGGTCTCTTGACTCAAGTATAGACTCAAGTACAGACTTAAACGTCATGTCAAAAATTCAAATACACTGTCCAATAGGACCACTTTTGTAAAAATATATAATATTTGAGGTGAGAGGCTTTATCCTGTACTCTCCCCTCCCTCCACACCCAATTTCTGCCTTTTTTAAAAAAATGTTAGACTCTCAACTGAACCCTCATGCACTATACAAGTGGGAAGGGTGGAAGAGATGAATGACAACACTCCACACCCTCATTCAGGAGCTTTATTTTGTAGTCTAAGAGGATCTGTATTTGTAGTTAACACTCCTGGACATACCCAACATTCCTTACTAAACTATTTGGATAATCTGTCGATCTATCAGAATAAAGTGATCACATTACATACACCAGGAATAATAATCCACTTGAATTAATTCAATAATTGGTTAATTCATTACTTGAGTAATTGGTTAATTGGTTATTGTGTGTAATACATCATTGATTGAATGATAAGTTTTTGTTAGAGGAATCCTTAGAAGGTCAGCTGGTTGTCAGTTTCCAGTCTGTGGACAATTTGCTTTCTTCTCTTAATCTAGATAGCTGCAAGAGCTTCCCTTGTTCCTTTTGTGAAAATGTTCTTTGATCAGTTTGGGTACTGGGCTCCAGCTATAACTGTTGTGTATCATGTGAGGTTAGTGCATCAGCCTGACTTTACACTGAGACTTTTGCTACATTATTAATTTAGTGTTATAATTCATCATGTATTTTTTTTTCTCGCGCGCGATTGGTCTAAACTCATAACGTGACTAAATATTCCCCAGTTAAAACTAGGGAATATCCGAAAATATACCCCATGTAATATTCCCAAATTTTCAAGCCTACGTCCACTACGATAAGTTTTCTTTTTAAACGTAAGTTAAAAAACAAGAAAGCATTTTGTGGTTGTTACAGAAGAAGGGACATGTTTGTTTGTTCATAAATACTGAAAAGTGAACATCCCATGGAGCAAACGGTAAGCTGTTCTTAACGTTTTTCCCGCGCGTTGCAAAATATTTGAAGGATAAGAAACACATTAGCCTCCATTTGGCACAAAAATATACTGATTTATTATCCAACTGCACAAAGTAGCGTACAAATAACGCGCCAGTAGAGTACAAATATCCTGCGATATTGTACGGTTTTTTTGGACAGTTGGTTTTTCTGTACTGTAAAAAACCTGTTTAAGCAGTCGACAGCGCGCGCTAGCTTCTCTATCCGCTTTGCTTTTACCACCGTGTGAGAAATGAGCTGAAAGACTCCTTGTTTGTTTACTGGCCGTTAAAATACGGCATAAGTCGTTAAAATACTCAGCGATACTACACACCAAAACGTCTAATAAAATATATATCTTTGATCGGTTCCTTGAGCTTCGCTCACGGAAGACTGTTCGCATCTTAAAACAGAATTTCCCTGGACAAATATCCGTGCATATTTTGGCGCTAAATGAAGGCTATTGTTTATATCTACGCCTCTTCAAAAGGGATGATGAAACTATTTGAAGCAATCAAGAACGTCTTAGACATTTAAACTATGTATTACCACGGTACTTACGGTAAAGTGAGCTGGATGAAAGTTGAAATGAGCCTTTTTGTACAATTTTCTTACAGTATGGGAGCAATGGAAGGCCTTAGTTACAATGAAACAGTAGAAAGGCTAAAGAAACTTTATTGGCCAACTCTTAAGGCCTGTTGGATTATCTGGCCCATAGTTATGGTTAGTATGGTGTTAACCTAATATTATGGTCGATCGTAAGAACAAACTCAACCAATAAAGAGAAAAAAAAAACACCCATCAGCCAACCAATCAGGACCTTGGGAAATACAAGAAGAAGCTGAATAAGAACAGGATCGTTCTTTAAGTAAACAGGCGCGAAACCCGGTTATGTGAAGAGAAACGGGAGTGTCCTGCGTTCTTCCCTCTTGTTTGAGAGGGAAGAAGAGAAAATTTAATGCGTTAATTGAGGAGATTGAGAAGGTTTCCTTGAATTTTTAGCGCAAAAATAATGCGGTTTAAGTTGAATCCGTCCGTCTGTGTGAATTGAGAGCCTTTTGAAAGTAACTTTGCAAACCTCTGCCTTCTTGCGTTTTCATTTCTTTTCGCGTTTCTTCGGGCTTGAGCCAAATGCTTTTGCGCTTTTTGCAGATTGAAATACCCCCAGTTTCCCTCCCCACCTCGGTAAGCAATCGGTTTAAAGGAATAACAGTGCAACGTTATAAGAAAATTATCATGTGTGTCTTTCTTATCATATTTTTCTTTCCATTCCTTTTTGTAACATATTTTCCTTCTCATTCAGGTGGTAAATTTTAAACTTATTCCAGTGGCACATCAGTTAAACTTCTGCCTTGCTGTCAGCCTTGTCTGGGCGACTATTTTAAGTGTAATTCGTGCTCCAGACAGCTCGTCCTTAAGCAAACTTGAAGAAATTGAACCTGCGTGCGCAGAGGTTCTTTCTGTGTCACATTTACCCGTTGATGGAGCCCAATGAGACCTGGTGACGTCACAAGGAGACTAGATTTCCAAGACTGGTTTGAAACGAAGTCATCATTACGAACAAACTTTCTCTTGAGAACACTTTATAATTTTCTACCTTTCACATTAAAAAAAGGCGAATGATTTTTGAGTTCAGTACTCTCATTAACCTAGAGTCCCTATGTTTGAAACCGCAAGCGAAAACAGTTCTCATTTCCGTGAAAGCTCTCTGCTGTGGAATAAAAAATTATTAGATATTCCAACTAAAAGTTACCAATAAACTAAATACTCAAATTACTCGTTTGAATGCTCTGAGTGAGTGATTGAGTGATCACCCATATTTTTCGCTGAATGTTTGAATCAGGTCTCATTTACAATGACACTTTTGTATTTAAGGATTGGTAACGTAAGCAGTGACACCAAAAGGGTGTTTCAATCAATCGATACCTTCAGCGGTTTTTATCAATAAGCCACTTGGGAGTTTTACAATTGGTTAAAAAATCGGGCGACTCGACGTTTTATTTAAGGCGACATGACTCATGTTCCGGGTATGATAAACGTCGTATATTTTTATCTTGAAAATAAATCCTTGCAAACGCTCTCTTTGGGTGGACGTCTATTTCAGGAGTGGATCGTGAAGCAGGAACTCTGTCAGTCTAGCGAAAAAGTGACAGAAAGAAGTTACTGAAAAACGAGGTCCAGTGAATGTAAAACGTGCTGCACCTGTAAAATTTTTTACACGCAGAGAGCAACTATTTTAATCAAAATGTGACTTATACTCAGAAAAATCAGAATCACCGCAGTACTGATGTGTGAAACTTTACAGTTCACGCTAACGCGTGTGATACAAATGAGATTTTAACCTCTTGTACTCCAGTAATTAAGTGGTATTTTCCTCCTTGCAACAACCCATAGTAGACTGGGACTGGCACTGATTGAGCCTGCGAAACATGCCGCTGGGAAGAATATAAAATGGCGGCGTAGCACCAGCGCAAAATGACCTTTCTTCATCGCTTGAGATTTATATCGTCACCTTTCAATTATTTGGCTTTTCAGAGAATTTCTTCCATACGTGGAGGTATTATCTCTAACAATACCTAGAAATGCTTGCTGACATTCTTGGTACCCGTTTCACCTCGAAATGTTTCTTCTTTGATATCCGTACAGGAATTTCTTCAGCCTGGCCTCTGGTAAAGCTCCCGACGAGATATTTACGGCTATGGTTTCCTGTTTTTAAAGCAGAAGTAGATATTACTGGTAGGCTTAAATCATTGTGCTTTTTGATGGTTACTTAAATACTAAAAAATCATGCTTCAGCAAATATTGAAATCTTAACTGGGTTGAGCAAACTCTTCTAAGCTCCCATGGCCAAACCATGAAGATGGGCTTCCACGATGTGACATTTTTCAGCTCCCATCCCTAAAATGGCCTCATTGTATTTCTTTAACTATTTCCATCTTTACGTTAGCATTCATATTCTACACGGTGTCCACTTTACATTTTCTGTGGTACTGACAAGGAGAATTTGTTCGGAAATCGCGAACTTCTTAAATTGGTTACCGGGGGTAACATTTCTGTCGTTCCCATGACCTTTACATGTGATTCAAGGGCGATGCTGCAAGGAGAAAGTATAAGCCAAACATCCATAGGATTAAAGGGTTTAAAGCCATGTAAAATCCTTCCTTCTGAAACCACTGTGCATGTCTAGTTATTTCTGTGTTTTCAGTTTAAATTTTGTCCTCTGTTGTTAGACTCCAACACAACTGTTATCTCTTTACCTATACCTTTTTTCTTTCAAAGCTGACTCCTGGTCAAGTGGAAGAAAGTATGTCAGTGGTTTTGAAGATATTGAGGAACTCCATAAGTAAGCATTGCTACATCATACTAAATACCTTAACATGTTGATGGTGTTTGAAACAAGGATATGCCCTGGCAAAATACAAAGCTTTAAACAGCTTTCCTCATAAATAGTTTAGAATGAGGGAATAGGCCATTTTGAACATGGAGAGGTGCATGCAAATCTTTCACAAATTCTGAAAAGATGGTAGTAAGATGACATTAAAGGTTATGAAAAAGGTTGCCTGACCACTAGTAACCAGCTTTGTAAGCTTGTTGTAAAAACTGACTTAGCTTTCATGAACCTTTTACCATTAGGTTGAAAAATAAATTTGGTGAAAAATGTTTTTAATTCTATTGGATTACCTCCTGTAATAGAATGTCATTCAGCTAGACAAAAAAAAAAAGAAAGAAAGAAATTACATAAGAGAAAGTAAACAAGTTAAAAAAAGGAACAAGAAAAAGTAAAAACAATGGTTGAGTGAGGGATGTTAACCCTTAAAGCAGGAAAGCTAAGACTTTAAGTTTGAAATTACACTTTCACACCTTGCTTTCTTATTGTATTTTAAACCCAAATGTTTGCAATAGAATATATAGGTTAGGAAGTTAGGTACAACTGTATACATGATCTCTTTTAGAAATTTAGCCTTGATTAGGTACTTTTATATCAACAAATCATGGTTTATTGAGTGCAATACTTAAAATTTGTTTGTCCAGATCTATAAAGACTGGACTGGACTGGTTTATTATTAAATCACATCGCAGTAAAATACTGAATTGCGTAATTATTTACAAGCTACTAATATACAATTATAAATAAATAATAGAACCAGATAACTGGACTTCTTTTTACTTTTCACTTTTCTAGAAAGGTGCTTTGGTTAGAAGATGTAAAACAATTCAATGTATAAGAGTAGTGTCACTTGCTCTCTTGCAAGCTTCTGTTTGTTCTTCACTACCCAATGGTTTTTCAAGTGGCCTGACCATATTACTTCTTGTCCATTGAACAAATGACCCACTTTTTAAAACTGATCTGTGAAAATTGCTGATTACTATTGTCTTTGTCTCTTAAAAGTGCCCCTGAAGAAGTAAAGAGAGTGTTTAGTCTTCAAAATGCAAGTCAGGTAATGTTGCAAAACAACCTTGTTTTGCATATAATTCTGGTACTTAAGTTCCCATGTGTTGTGGTCATAAAGAGATTTTCCTTTTTTTTTTAATTCAAATTTTTTTGTGCTTTTCTAATTGTATCAGTGAAAGTATCTACAAAATAAACACTGTTGTAAGGCTAAGTTAAGCTATTAATGTAAGCAGCTTTGGTTGGTTTGATTTGTTGTTGACCAATGTCAATTCTGATGATCTGAAAAAACTGCCTTTGTATTGTTTTTCCTCTATGCAGTGGGAACACCGTAAAATTGGTCTAGGAAAGATGGAACAAAAATATGCAGATAAATATGAACAAAAAAGTAAGTCTTCTAGAATGGTAAATTAGTGTCTGAGTTGAAGCTTCAGATGGGAGAATATTTGGCTTGAAGTTCCTTAGGTGCCACTTTTAATCTTTCCAACAGACCAAGATTTAGTAATGTCATCTGAGATCTTTTAATGAACAGATGTTCTGGCCTCTAAGAAGTCTCAATTACCCGAATTTCTTTCAGTTGCAAAGTTGACCATTCAAATTGAGGCAGTGAAAGCAAATAATAATGATGGAAGGAGAGGAAGAAAGGTAAAATTTTGTGTACTTCTACTCTCTAGGACTGAATACCAGTGTGAGGCAGATACTTTTGCTAGGAAAACATTCATGGCTGGTGTCAGGAGAAGTTACCAAAAAACTTGGTAACTTCTCCTGACACCTTCTCTCACTCTTGACAAGGTTTCCATCTCACTTAACCCTGTAACTCACATGAGCGACCGATATAGAATTTCTCCTTACAATTCAATACATCAGGCAGACAAGTGATGAGAATAAAGAAAAATATCAATGGGGGGATTATTAGTTGATCCAATACCAAAATCTGCGATCTGACCCTGTAAAAATTGTCTCTAGGCAGTGAAAGGGTAAGGTGGACAAGTGTGTTTTTCTTGAAATCCTACTTGTAACAGAAGACATACACATCCCTGTATACCTCTTAAGGAAGACAACATCAATGAATTTTCTTGCGCATTTAGTGATGCTGTTTACAACCACAGGACCTCTGAGAGGCCTTAAATTTAATTCTTCATTCCCAGGAGTAACCAAAAGGCATTTCTCCTTACTTTATAAATACTTTTTAATGTAGAAAGGTATTGAAAAGAAAAATTAATGTCCAAAAAAATGATTTAACATTTAACACTAAATTCTCAGAGCTAAAATTTTACAAAATGTTTGACAGACAGTAAGGGGGATCCATATTTAGATACTGGGAATGATAGGTCTTTAAATTGTGGAAAAGAATTCCCTAATTTTCCCTTTCTTGCTTAGCATTGAGATGAGCCTATGCAAGGTCCCTGAGACTCTGTGATACGAGTTTTGTTGCCTGTGTGTGGTGCTTATGTTTGTTGCGATTTGCCGTGGTAGTCAATTCTTTGCCAAAACTGAGGGGAAAACGCCGTGCCTTTTTACCACATTTTACCTAAACAATTGAGGTCATTAAAAAGACATTAGATACGTTGCGATAGCAGAAGATGTAATCCAAGTTCTTTTTCCTTCGTTTTTGTGAACTGAGACGAATTCGAGCGACGCAAATCTCTATCCATTTTGAGAAAACAAGTTTTGCTAATAACGGATTTATTACAATCTGGCCTGAAAGTTCAAAGCGGGGACATTGCTGAAAATTTCGAACGGGCAAGGTTAGCTTATTCGAACAATGGATTTGTTATTATGATTCACCTCACCAGCTCAAGGAGAGCTAGGCGTCTAATAAAATGATTTTTTGCTTTTTAATTCAATAAGCTATAGATGTGATGAATTCTTTTTTGATCTGCTTGTTTTTTAGGACATAGGGAATAAAGTATTTCTTTCTTGGCTGATTGCACAACGAAGAAAAAAACTACTGAACCTGAAAAACCTTCGTTTTGAGCGCTACCTGGAACTAATAAAAGAACTTGACATAGCTCCACTGGAGAGCCCGCACACAAAGTGGAACAAGTACAAGTTTAGGCAGTTTAAGATGGGTGTAGAAATCAAGGAGAAGAAGCGGCCATATCTACGGCGTGTATAACGATGGAAATAAACGATAAATTTTCGTTATAACGTGTTCCTTTCGTTAACAAGGCGGGGGCATCCATGAAGACCCTTTACAATTTGGAGTTAGAGGAAATGATAGAGATCATTTTTCTATGGTTGATATACAAAAAACGAAGTAATCACAACGGGCGATCAGAGCTAAGGTTGATATCACTAAGAGCCACTCATTACTCAGAGTGAATAAAAACTGGTGCGTTGGAAGACGCGCGTAAGCAAGACTCGTTCTTGTTTCGCATTTATATTGTCTGGTTTGACTCTGACCACTGAGTGTGAAACATCTAATTTCCTTTACCATATCACCCCTGAATCAAAAATTAAGGTCACGAGAAAAAAAGGAAGCGATCATCATTTAAGAGTAGCTATTGATTGTTAAACAAATTCTCCTTGTGAGCACCTAAGGGAATTTATAGAGAACAGTATGGAGAATATACATGCTGAAGTAAGGTTCAGTTTTGCATCTGAGTGATTGAGAGTGATGCGGTCTGAGGTCGACACTCGCCATGTAAACTGCGAGTTCAGCGATTAAACAAGAAAGCAGCAGCCTGTCTCAGGGTTACGATAATGAATATGTTTAATCAATGTGTAAATCATACGGCTTCTAAACAACCAATAACCTGATTAAAATGACCACTTTTCGTCCCCGGAAAGGACTCGATCCCGGCGTGGACTTCGTTCATAGTAATTAATTTGCATTAAAACTGACTAAAGATTTTTTTTATCTTGATTGACACAGTTCTTATCAAATTAACGAAACAACAAAAAAAGGCCACTGCGCTCACTTACGAGGAAATCACGATTTACATTGATAGTGATTCTAGGCAGGCCGTTGGAAATCTTCCATGTGTTAGTTTGCTTCACACTTGTCACACCTGAAAATTATTCGCAGCAAGGATACGCAAAGCAATACAAGGAAACCATCGTAACTGTTTTTAATTCTCTATTGTTTCATAACCTAATATTAACGTTTTAGTTCCTTCGAATTTCTTAGAACGATCTAACAGTAACAAACACCCATCATGCCAAAAAACATTCGTGATATTCTAAACCCATTAGTAAAATTTTCTACATGGAAAAACTCTATCAGTGTTCGAGAGAACCATCTTCTGAGCCAGCGGTTTTTCGACGATGGTTCATTGATCACAAGTATGATATACTTTTGGGTTGGCATACAGCATGTACGTGTTGCAACCTCCCAACATTTCTGACCATTCTATCAGAGTAATAAACAGTTTCAATTCATTAATTCCACATTAAAGTGTAACTAAAGGGGTCGTAATAGTCCTTCTTAGCCCTGTTCAACGTCCTTATTTGGCAAGGAGTTCTTGAATGTAAGGATTATTTCTGGCCAATACTTGTTCCTTTAATCTCGCTACCTCTTGTGAGGTTTTCTCTTCTGTCATAGACTCAACTGGCAACTTGGCAACTTGACTGAGGAAATCTTTGATTATTTCTTCGCCATCCTTGGAAACAGACAAAAAGAAAGCAAAATGGCTCATCGTGACCAATAAAGGTACGTTTAATTTAAAGATGAATTATCACACGAGATGATATATTAGAAATTGGAAACTATCTTTTAAGCACCTAGGTGCGTCACGAATTAAAAGCACAACAGAGATCTATGTCTTATATCACAAAATCCACTCTACCACGCTGTTATGGGCGCATTTCGATAAACTATCTGAGTGTCATAAACCAAAATCATGGTAATCTAACGGCTGATTTTTTAATTAAAAAATTAAAAAAAGGAGTCAACGAGAATCCCAAAGATAAACTGGCAAACGGCCTGAATCGCAGGTCAGTGCGAGTGTCTAAAAAACGATTTGTTTAATGCTGTATCTGATTGGTTGAGAGACTGTCTAGAGTCCTATAGAACCATCGCAGAGCGAAGTAAGATGAACAATATTATCCACGATAAGTTTCCACACTTACTTGAAAATTGCTTTACTAGACTGGAAGATGCAGTGACATGCCTCGTTAGAGGAGTAGCCTCTCAGTATAAGCAAGCTGGTACACCGAATCAGCCTTTGGTTCAAAGTTTTACAGGCGTTCTTTACCCGACCCGACCCGACCCAGACCTCCCTCACTTTTTCCCTCCTTTTAACCGAACGCCTGCAACATTGGAAGAGGACAAGATAACCATTTTCTTGTACCCACCTGCTTCACCATGCGCCGTCTCTTGGCTGGCGATGTGCCTGTATCAGAGTCTGAAATAAATCCGCCATGAAGCACGATTATAAATTAGCAGTAAAGACTCTGGCAAAAGTCAGCAGTAAGTTACATAGTTAACGAATTCACTTCCGTTAAAATGGGTAGTATCATTGAAAAAAGAAAAACCAGACGGCTAAAATTCAGTTCCTAGTTCAAGTTCTCTTTTGCAGGATCTAGTTGGTAGAAAAATTGATGAAAAATGCAAAAAGCAATCGACACAAGCGTGGGAAAAGTGTTGGAAAGCCTCGCGAAAATCTAAACCTTCGACCAAGCGACTTCGTGTTTTAATACTTTAGCAACTGAGCTGCTAAGGACTAGTTGACGAGCTTGGTCGTATCTCAGTTCATACGTGACATGGGTTCTGAAAATAACTTGGATCGGCAATCTCATTGTCAATGCTGGTACTAGAAATTTCCCATCCCAAAACGTATTTAAATGATTGCTATTAAATTCCTCAGAATTTAAATTATGCAAAACGTTTTAAAAAAGTGAAACATATAGCAAATACAAATTTTTTTGTTTCATCTAAATCCACTTTAATCGAACTTGGAATCTAACAATGCATGGTTGTTAAACATCATTCGTTAGGGTACGGAATGGATTGAGTTGGACTACAACCCATCCTCTACAGGGGCTAGATCACTCTGTGAGCTTGCGCTAAGTCATTCCAGATTGGGCCAAATCACTATTTTCCCTGGAGTGGAGCGCGTTGTTGTAATAGCCGACAATCACAAGGTGTTTTGGTCACGTACTGTCGAGAATTATTCGAGGAAACTGCAATTCAACAATTAGACAATTCTCGCTTTAATGGTTTACTAGATTGTATGAAACGAGACGGCAAAGACTGTCAACAGCCCGTTGTTACTAGTGTTTTCTCCTTTCTAACTGCGCAAGCGAAAGTCATGATCTAGCCCCTTTCACTGAAAAACAGTATCTCTTTCGGACCTCTTCGAAGAAATGCCACAAAATCGAATATATCTTCTCACCTAAAACTCCATCACCCAAGGACGCCGTGCTGCCTTGAAAATCTTCTAATTCCGCTGCTTTTTTCCTGGCAAACTGTAAAAGAAGACAACAGTAACGTAGTTTAATCACAAATTTTCATAATCAAAATAGTACAGCCTTGGAAAAGTTAAATGTTTGTGCTAATTTCCAAAACATAAAAACTAGCAAGGTTAATCAGGTAACACTAATTACCAGTAATGAGATCTAATTAGTGATCTAATTAGTGATTAGAAGACAACAGTGACTTAATTTAATCACAAATTTTCATAACCAAAATAGTACAGCCTTGGAAAAGTTAAATGTTTGTGCTAATTTCCAAAACATAAAAACAAGCAAGGTTAATCCGGTAACACTAATTACCAGTAATGAGATCTAATTAGTGATGTGCGTCACATTTTCAGAATAATAAAGACACCTCGTTCGATTGTTTAACATATAATACGTGCGGGCACTTTGCGAGTTGTGTAATGTTTTTCCCAGCCCCTGAGGGGCAAGAAAAAACACCAGCAATAGGCAACCAACACTCCGTGTTGTTTCTTTGTTTGTTTCTTGCAATCTCGTAGTAAATTTCGTTCTTTGGCATAGAGCGTTTTTCGATTGCATGTCGTAAAACTAAAATCAAGTAATAACAACTGAGGAAATATCATTAGGAACCAAAGAAAACTCAAAGAAAAAAAACGTACGTTGTTGGTTTTAGTGTCGCATTCAATTGACTCTGAAGTTGGAGCAGGTTTCTTTTCTCAAGAAAAATCGATGTACTGCGGAATTACAAGCACCATCGACCTTTTTTTTTTCAGTGTAATTTATAACAGTTGACGTCTGAAATAGACCAAGAACAACTTTTTCCCCTATGATATCCGTCGTGCGAATTGCGCGAAATCCTTGGCAAAATAACCCAACGCCGCTTGAATTTTGGGAAGTAAGGCACGTATCAGAGATGCAAATGTACCGGTATTGAAACTCAGTTAGCGGCGGCTAAAGTCACGGTAATTAGTAATAGTTAAATGATTATTGATTAAGCTTCGTTATGTGCGTCATCAACTTCAAAACAGCCATAAAGAATAACAAAACAACATTTAATTTCCTCCATAATCAATAAGAGTAATTAAGAAAATTGAAAGGTATCGGTAAAACGTGCGTATTTTCAAAACAACATGTCACGTTCCACCCAATCAGTAACATGGCGCTAATCAGTGATGATTTAACCCAATCAGCAATAACTGTAAAGGAAGTAAGCTAAATTAACTGTATGCATCATCAGGGGCACTTTCAAAACAACCTCACGATAAAAAATAACTAAATGAATAAATAAATTTCCTCCAAAATCAATAAATAACAGTAAGTAATACGATTAAGATGTATCGGTATAACGCGTCACGCGTCATAAAGTAAATTAAAAACAGGATAATTAAGTGTTATCAACTGAGTCGATGACGTAAATTGGCCACCGTACAGAGTTTAAAGGCTGACGTTTCGAGGGTTAGCCCTTCGTCAGAGCCCTTCGTCGCTCTGACGAAGAGCGAACGCTCGAAACGTCAGCCTTTAACCTCTATACGGTAGCCAATTTACGTTATCAGCTCAGTTGATAACACTAAATTACCCTATCATATTCTCCCAACGACGCAGCACCACAGTTTCTTTAGAAATTTACCCCCATCCATTAATTTCAAAACAATTTTAATCAAAACTCAGCCAGTTATTTATAATATTCGGCGCTAATTCCTAAGCTTAACCAAATCAGCAATGCCCATTTTTGTGAAAGTAGAAATCAGAGGCGACGGTATCAAAACAACTTCGCAAACTAAAAGAAAACAGTTATTATTTACCCATCAAATCCTTAGGGTGACCAGCATCTAGTTTCTCCTTACAGTAATACTCCTAGTAATTCATTACGATCATAAGAGTAAAGAAAATGATGGCTTACTTAAGAAGCTTTGATTGTCAAACGAATTCTCCTTTCAGTATGAAAGAAGATGTATAAAGAAGAGTGCAGAGAATATGGATACTGATGTTATATTGTAAGGGGTGAAAGAGTACTCTAAATAATGCTAAAGTTAAAAAAAAAAAAAAAAAAAAGAACGCTGGGGCAATCACAGAGCGAAGTAAAGCAAAGGCAAAAGAAGCCCTACACTACGTTGAACAATCAGTTAAAAATTGCTCAGAAACACAACATCAAATTTTTATCATCACCGGGCCAATAACGAAAAGCAATAAACAAGATACTTAAAATTCATCATCGAAATGAGTCGTGATCTTCTAAGTTATAATTAGCAGTTTAGGTCACTGTAGCTACCCTATAATCTTGACACTAAAGAAAAGGGTTGGTGTTCCACGAACAACATGCGTCACAATCCTATTTAACGATAATTTTAACTGGAGACGTCAGTTTGGAGACACCAATTAATAGAAATGACTCACAAGCAGTCCTACACGCGATCGTTGCGCACGTCTCGAAGCAACCCATGAGTATAAATTGCGGAGCCCACGGATGGTTTGGATGCACCTTGTTCGTAGCTTGGTACTGGTGGTAACATATGATGGAAGACGTGAAACTGTTCAGTACGCAGACAAAAGTTAAGATGACAGAGATAGAGGAACAGAAAGAGAAATATTGCTGTTACAAAGGCAAGGCCAATCTGTTACGTTCTTGTGATGGCAAACACAAGGGGAAGGAGCCTGAATTCTCCGTCAAGCACCAAGGAAAAATCGAAAAAGAGGCTGAAAATTCAGAAAGACAAAGCGTAATGGAAAAGTTCATGAGGAGCAGGCTGTATCTGCGCGGAGGGAGTATGTCTGAAGAGGATGAAATGTTTGCGCAACAAGAGTTGCACGCGTTGGACATAGACGATTTTAAACCTTTGAATTTCAGTGAGATCTTAGATAAAAGATTGAGGGAAAGCAACAAAGGAAAGATAGTAACTAGTATGAGAGAACTCTGCGAATATCTAGAAAATAATTGAAGGAAAAAGAGTAGTGATTGTCTTTGTGAAAAAATATCAATATATCGAATAAATATTAAAGTCTCGCAAAATAGCTCAGGCTGTAAGGGCGTTAGAAGTGATTCAATTGTTACGAAATCTTAGATGATAACTAAGTCCGCCTAAGCGGATGACGGGAGGATTACCTGGATGAAAACGCTAAACGAACCGCGCTTGTGGTCGGCACGAAATCATAGCGGCTCCAAAGGAGCCTAAGCAGTTACCGCTGTAGTAACAACGGTTGTTACATTTGTCCGCATTATCTTTAGACTCCTGCGAACTAAAGAGCTTGTGTTTCACGATTGCAACCGTATTAGGTGATCTGATCGAAATAGCGCCCACCAGGTCATTCAAACATCAATATTGCTTATATTTCTTTCTAGTTTTCTTTCATTTTGGTTCTTGTTTCCCATTCTCTTTAACGAATCCTTAAAACACAAGGTATTTTCATCAGTTAAACAGCATCTTGTTCAAGAAGGGAGACTTCCTCATAAGAAAACAAAAGAAGTACAGAAGTTTCAGAGCACGAATTTAATGGTTTTTTGCTTGGGATGGCGGTACGACTAGATTTGAAGAAAACACCGAGAAAGGGGAAGAGGATCGGGGAACGGTTCGCCGTGAACAAGAGTTAGGGACTGAAAATACATGACATCACGGAAAAAGGTCTGAAAACCAGTGTTGATCAAGCGCTTTTCGAACCTAGTCGTTATAGCAATCAGCATGGGCGACAACAAAGTTTTTATCGAAGGGATTTTAACTTGATCTTTTCCTTCAAAAAGTGATTTACGCGAATATAAACTGCAGGTGTGAAAGAAATTGGGTCTTAGGAGTGGCGAGTGTCTGAGAACTTATTGAGGGTTATAAGACATTTGAACCTACTAAGTCCACTTAGCTAAATCCACCAATCACAGAATTGATTACAATTGTAAAAAATCTCTTTCGTTTTAAATTTTAAGTAACAACTTTTCTCTTCCTCTCCCCCCTTTGTATTCACGTGCGGCGCGCGTGATTTCACAAATCATACTCGTGATTAACAAATCAGACTCCCGCTTCGCGGTCGTCCGATTTGTTAATCACTCGTATGATTACAAACCGAAACTGACTTCACTCGTTATTAATTTGTCTCGACTAAAACTTCCACAACAGTCGATTGTTCTGTAACTAGCTCTAATTAGTGCTAATGAAATCCAAATTAGCACCGTGCGACACTTTAGAAGTAATTAGTAATTATCATTAAGCTAGTTAGTCGGGTAGTTTGAACAAGAACAAAAAAACGCTGATTAACCTGAAGTAACAAGTCACAAACTGCAGGTTGTTTTCAAGGAATTGCACTAGTGATGGGGTTAAATCCATGGTTACTAAAACGAAGCTGATTGGCAAACGTCAAACCGCGTGAGAATATTGAGCGCATACTTAAAATTAAAAAAAGGTCTCGCGAGATTGTTCTCCAAATAAACATTGTACGCTTGGAAACAAACCAAAACAAATCTAATCTGCAAAATAATTGATCGACGTCATGTTTTTGTAGATTTCACCTATTTTAGCGATTTACTGAACGCGAGGTTTGAACAGACTACACGTGTGTTTGGCGATAGTTGTAACGACGCAAGGCCCAAAACAACGTTGACAAACCAATTAACCATGCAAGTACCACAGAATGACGCGGAAAAGATTAGCAAGCACAAAAAGGTGCTGATTAACTTGCAGGGTAAAGAACGTCATCTCTGTGGAGAAACTAACACTACGGCACAAGCACAAGAAACACAAAATGACAGCACAGCCACCTTATGCAGCGGATTCTTCATGAGTAAGCGAGTGTTGGCCGAAGGAGCAAACAAACTGACCCAAGAGGAGATCGCCATGCTGGAGTTCGACATTTTCAAACCCCTGGATTTCAACGAGATTCTGTTTAATAGAATGAAGAGTGGTGATTATCAAGGAAGGATCATCACTAATCTCAGCGAACTGTAAATACGTTCATTAACCCATTCAACAAAAATAGGTGCTGTACACTTACTTGCCAGATTTTTCTATCATTTTCTTGGTTATTCTATGCTTTTCGAAATGCAATCGATGAGTATCATTTTTCAGAAATATCATATAATTGGAAAATGATCACGTCCTTTCCTCAATTTTCACCTCTCTAAACGACGGTGTATACATTTCGTCTATCTTTAAACCCTGATGCATTTCATTTCTTATACAGTATGATGTTGTGAGTTTAAAACCATTCAAACTACGTAAACCTTATCTCGTGTTACTCACAAGCAGTCGAAATTCTGACCTGGAGTACTTTATTTTCACTCTGAGTGATATATTTGCCTATTTCCACTTTAAACTCAAAAGAATAAACGAAAGAGGAAGATAGAGACAACTGGTTTTAGTAGTAATATCCATGTTGTTCCTCGAATAAGTGAAAATATAATGAACGAAGAGAAAAGAGAGCAGGATCATATTTCAAAGGCTTTCAAGTGGGAATAAAAAGGGGGCTCCTTGATTGGCGACAGCCAATCAAGGTGATTATCATCTGGACTTTTACTTCCCTGCATATGGAATATGTGATAAACTGCAGGTTGTTTTCAAGGAATTGACACGTGATGGAGATAAATCAATGGAAGTTAAAACCAATTTGAATTGTAGGAAACGTCAAAGCAAATGACATTGGTGGGCGCATACTTTAAAAATGTATATTGCAAGATTGTTCTGGAAATAAACATTGTACACTTGAAATCAAACTAAAACAAAACTAATCCGCAAAATAATTGATTGACGTCATGTTTTTGTAGATTTCACCTATGTTACCGATTTACTGAACACGAGGTTTGAACGGATTACACGTGTGTTTGGCTATAAAACATGCACGTTTCGTAACGATGCAAGACCCACAACGACGTCGACAAACCAGAGAAACACTGAACATCTATGCGCTTTCCAGCATTCCAATAAGTAAATTTACCATGCAAGTATCACAGAACAACGCAGAAAAGATAAGCAAGAACAAAAAAGTGCCGATTAACTCGCAGGATAAAGAACGTCATCTCTGTGGAGAAACTAACACTACGGCACAAGCACAAGAAACACAAAATGACAGCACAGCCACCTTATGCAGCGGATTCTTCATGAGTAAGCGAGTGTTAGCCGAAGGAGGAAACAAACTGACCCAAGAGGAGATCGCCATGCTGGAGTTCGACATTTTCAAACCCCTGGATTTCAACGAGATTCTGTTTAATAGAATGAAGAGTGGTGATTATCAAGGAAGGATCATCACTAATCTCAGCGAACTGTAAATACGTTCATTAACCCATTCAACAAAAATAGGTGCTGTACACTTACTTGCCAGATTTTTCTATCATTTTCTTGGTTATTCTATGCTTTTCGAAATGCAATCGATGAGTATCATTTTTCAGAAATATCATATAATTGGAAAATGATCACGTCCTTTCCTCAATTTTCACCTCTCTAAACGACGGTGTATACATTTCGTCTACCCTTAAACCCTGATGCATTTCATTTCTTATACAGTATGATATTGTAAGATATTGAAAGATTAAAACGATAGTTTCAAAATGAATGGTCACGCTATAAACTCATTCCAGGAATCATAACAGTAGATTTTAAAAATACTTTGTTTCACCATTCCTCTGTCCATTCAAACTACGTGAACGTTATCTCAAGTTACTCACAAGCAGTCGAATTCTAACATGGAATACTTAATTTACACTCTCAGTAATATATTTGCCTATGTCCTCTTTAAACTCAAAAGTAAAAACAAAAGAGGGCGATAAAAACATCTGATTTTAGAAGTAATATCCATGTTGCTCCACGAATAAGTAAAAATATAATGAACGAAGAGATAAGAGAACAGGATCATATTTCATATTATTTCAAGTGGGAATAAAAAGGGGGCTCCTTGATTGGTGATTATTATCTGGACTTTTATTTCCCTGCGTATGGAATGTGATGAACTGCAGGTTGTTTTCAAGGAATTGACACGTGATGGGGATAAGTCCATGGTAGTAAAAACAAATCTGATTGGCAGAAAACGTTAAAGCAAGTGATATTAGTGGGCACATACTTTAAAAATGTAAATTGCGAGATTGTTCTCGAAAAAATCATGGCACGCTTGAAAACAAACCAAAACAAAACAAATCTGCAAAATAATTGATTGACGTCATGTTTTCGTACATTTCACCTATTCTAGCGATTGCTGAAAACGAGGTTTGAACAGATTACACGTGTGTTTGACGATAATACGTGCACACTTCATAGGGATACCAGGCCCACAACAACGTTGAGAAACCAGAAACACTGAACATCTGTGTGCATTCCACCTCCTCAGAAAATCAGTTAACCATAAGAATACCACAGTAAAAAGCGAAACAGAAACGCAACAACAAAAAAACAAAAACAAAAAAAAAACCGCTGATTAACCTGAAGGTCGAAGAACTTCATCTAGACGGACACACCCAAAATACGGGAAAGAAATACAAAATAACGGCACAGCCACCTCCTGTAGTAGGCGCACTTTCTATCGGTTTACTTGTGTAATAACCCTCGCAGGATGTTGGGAGAACACCCTTTCTATATTGCTTTCAGAAAATAAACTTTAAACAGTATGTTTCAATTTTCTAATGGTTTACCGGTGCGACAGACAATACGTTTTGGCCAGTCACGTATTTTGTGTTCGCAAAACACGTTTTTTGTGTTCGCAAAACACGTTTTTTGTGTTCGCAAAACACGTTTTTTGTGTTCGCAACTCCCATCAAAACGTGAGGGAACACAGTAAGCCTCAAACTCTGTGTGCTGTCTTGTTCGCTGGTGAATACGTCAAGCATGGAAGAAAAAAACAAAGCAAAACAGAAACGCAAGAACGATAAAACACCGACTATTCTGAGGGGTAAAGAGCCTTATTTATGTGCAGAAACCAACAGTACGCCACAAACTCAAGAAACACAAAATGACAGCACAGCCACCATATGTGAAGCATTCTTTATGAGCAAGCGGGTGTTGGCCGAGGGGGCAAGCAAACTGACCCAAGCGGAGATCGCCATGCTGGAATATGACATTTTCAAACCCCTGGATTTCAACGAAATTCTGTTTAATAGAATGAAGAGTGGTGATTATCGAGGAAGGATCATCAATAATCTTGACGAACTTTGAATACTTTTACTTAACCTCATCGACAAAGAAGGTGGTGTACACTCATTTAAGCTGCGTCAATATTTGGCAAATCTTTTCTTTCATTTGTTTGGTTGGACTCAATGAGTATTATTTTTCAGCAATGTATTTATTACCACTTTTGACATGTTACGGTTCTTCATTAATAAGGAACAACATTGAGTGGTTTTAACCTCTCTCCTTCTCTCTCTTTTTATTGAATTAGAAGTGCATTTGTGCACATTCATTACTGAGCATGCAAAGTTCTGAGAAAAGTTCAGAGCATGAAATGTTCCTTTTCACAATTGTGGTTCCTTGTGAGTAAACTTGGTATAACGTTTAATGAGTTTCATTAGTCTTGAAAATGGAGAATTAAGTTTTGAAAATCTACTTTTGTTGTTGCAGATATGAGTTTACAGTGACTATTCAGTTTAGAACTATCGCTTTAATCTCACAATATCATACTGAATAAGTCAAGGAAAGCTATGGGGCTAAAAGAAAACTAGGTTTTAGACAACATTGCTCAGAGGTAAAGATCAACTATTTTTGCGCGCTTAAATTGAACGGTTGAATTGAGTACAAAGCATTCTTTAAGTCACAAAAATCAATCCTTTTTTTCCTTCAACATTCAATGCACATAGTTTTCAAATTAATTGCGAGATTGTCCACAAGTAAGCTAGTGCGCGTTTGAAAAACAAAACAAAACAACTTCCGAAAAATAATCGATCGACGTCAAAATGTTTCTTAAAATTTCCTTTATTTCAGCGTTTCTTGAAAACGAAGTTTGTACAGATTACACGTGTTTCAGCTTTTCTCAGATTTTATTTCTAATTTTTTCTTCGGTTAGATTTTGATCCATCGAGATGCTATAGATAGGCATTACGCTATCATGTAACGTTGCTATAACTCTTATTTTAATGAGCAGAATTGTTGCCGTAGTTGTTTTGCCTTTTTTTAACAATGAAATGTACATCTGTGGCCCCTTGATTACAGTGAACACAAATATTGTCCGAATTAAGCCTTTTTGTGAAGATAACAGGATAATTTAGTGTTATCTACTGAGTTGATAACGTAAATTGGCCACCGTCAAGAGTTTCAAAGCTGACGTTACGTGTGTTTGTATGCAGAAAATTAAGTTACGCTCTTCGTGAGTACCTTGGGATTGGGTCAAGGACCCTGAACAGGCTTGAGCGTTATACATCAAGTTAAAGTTTGTTTCCCCGTCGAATATTGTCGATACGTCTCTTGATCACCTATTGGTCAGTTCTGCCGTGACGTTATTGGCTGCAAGGCAACCAACAACGTCACGTCTCGCAGCCAGTTATAAGGAGTTTAAGGTGTCACTACGGTGACATGTGGTAAATCGTAATCAAATTTCAAAGACTTTCGCCAATAGCTCGATGCGTTAACTGTTTCGGACAGTCATATAAATAGACATATAAATAGAGTGTTGAATTCAAAGTGAAAACAAGACTAAATTGCTGTCGAGGTTGCCTTGCTAAGAGGACGTAAGAGTTGATGATTTGACGTTTTTGTTCTGTATTAGACGGTTAGGAGATGTACAAAGTTTTAAAACGCACGTGTTTCGCTTATGTTCTGCTCATTAGATCTTTTGTTTCGCGACGTTCTCATTGCCGTCGCCATTTTGGTTTTCTTAAAGTCCCTCTTACCACGTATAAACAACAAATCAGACTACACGACCGTACTTGTTACGACTTTGAAAATTTCTCCACTTTCTACATCCTGGCAAAATTACTGGCACACCATTAACCATTGGCCGCTACTAAATAGGAAAACAAAGGCGCGGAAATAAAAGCAAAATAAATGTGGTTAAATAAGTAAACGTATTTTTACCTCTATGACGCTTGTTGGAAAGTGAGCAAGTTCCGCGACATGAATACCGAAGCTCTGATCACATACACCTGGAAAAATATAACAAAATAACAATAACCTTAACGTCTTATGAAATTTAAAAAACGATCTTTGGCTAAAACTTTTTAAAATACGAGCTTTCGGCTGTTTGCGCTACAGCCTTCAACGGGTAAAATTGCGTTTTGCGTGCGTTTGACCACGCTTTAAGTGCGTTGTCAGCGAAATTATTACGCCCCTGATCCTAGACAAGTCAAATAATTCTCACAGGGGGCATACTCCCAGTGTGCTTTATCGCCCACTATTCCTGACCGAATAGCAAAATGGAATATTACTTTTTCTTGAAAGAGGAGAACTAGACAACCCAGAGAGAAACGCTCTGACAGAAGAATGGGACCAACTAAAAACTCTATCCCTATGTGACCTCTGGTCCGGGGAGTCGAACCCAGGCTCCAGCAGTGACATGCAACTGTGCGCAATCCTTGCGACTGACCAGAAAGAGAACAGCTGACCATATAAAGTACAATATCGAGGACGTCTTAGAAGCTCAGTATCTAATTCAAGGTCGGAACTCAACTTGGTTTTTGTCGCATGAAAGGATTAGAATTTTGATACTCCTCTCCAAACGGAAGTTAGTCCATCGCAGAAATTCTTCAAGTTTCTCTAAAAGTTGTCTGGTACCTATCAATACTCCTCGGTAGAGAGAGAAATTATGGGAGCAAAATTTCTTGCCTAAGAACACAACTTAAGCAACCACGAAGAGTTCGAACCAAGACCTCCCTCTCCAGCGCCAAACAAATTAGGACTGGGCTTAAGTTTCTCCCACAGGAATAGACATGCTCTTTTCCTCCAATTTCCTTGCTCACCGGGTTTAACTTTATACAAAAGCGTGAGAGTCCCACTGGAGGTCATAGCAGTAACGTGGAGGTTGGTTACCGTGGAAACTTCATCCGCGAGAGCTGTAAGCTCATGGAAATGGGTGGCAAAAAGACAGAAGCACTTGATGTTGGTGGCAATGTAGCTGAAAAGAAATGTTACAAATAAGCTATGTGCTGGCCAGATTACAGTTTAACTCAAAAATAAAAAGAGGTTAAAATGGGTGTCACGGAAAATGGTTTATTTCATACTTACTAGCTTTAGGATACACTATAGACTACAAGCAGTCCCTTGTTTTCGGCGATTTCCGTCGCGCGAGTAAAAAAAACAACAACTTTTCATGTGTCTCATTCCGGCGTTCCAAATTTCCACGTGGCTTGGTAACATCAATTCTCTTTTGTTGTTTTTTTTGTTTAACTCGCGCGAAGGAACTCGCCGAAAAGGAGGGACTGCTCGTAGTTCGGATAAACTACATCCTGGTTGAACCAGGTTTACTGCTGATTTCTTACTGTGATATCGCCCACGCCAGTCCAAAGCCATCATATGTTGATGTTCCCCTTCCTAGTTCATCGATAATGATGAGAGAGTTTTCAGTGGCAGACTAAAGAAGAAAGAAAGCAAATGAGAAATGAAATAAATTTATCAAGCCAAACTAAATTCGAACGAATAAAGGGGGGTAAGTTTCTAAAGAAACTGTGGTGCTTCGTTGGTTGGTGAGTATAACAAGATAATTTGATTTTATCAACTGAGTTGATCATGTAAAATTAGCCACCGTAAAGAGTTTCTAAAGCTGGCGTTTCAAGATTTAGCCCTTCGTCAGAGCAAATACTGGCGAAGGGCTAACGATCAAGGCGTGAGCTTAAGAAACTCTCTATAGTTGCCATTTTACATTATCAACTCAATTGTAAACTCTTCTAAATTCGAACGAACCGAGAGATGTAAGTTCTTGCAGTATTCTGTCTGTTTGGTCTTCGCTGACACATCTATTAGAGGGTCGTGTGTACCCTGGAATTTCCCCCCTTAGCCACGCCCTTTGTAACTGTAACATCTACAAGTATGTGCTGAATTTCACAAAACAGGGACACTTCAGAAACAGAAAGAACAGTCCTTCTCAAAGTCTTCCTGATTGACTCACTGTATTTTTTAGCTCCCTGGTGACCCTAAACAGATAGTGTTATCAAAGAAAATATGCGAAGATCCCTACCCTCAATATCGAGGCAGTTTCCAGCATTTCAGACATAAATGTAGAAACTCCTTTTAGCTGACTGTCTCCAGACCCCACTCGGGCTAAAATACAGTCTGTTATGGAAATTTCTGCTGAGCTACAGGGCACAAAACAGCCAAGCTGAGCCATTAATACAATCACTCCAGTCTAACAAGGAAAAACAGAAATACACATCATTAAGTTGAGACATACAACAAGCATTACTACAAGCCAGGGACCCAAATTAACCTTTTAAATCCTACGATCTAAAAATCAATTCTCCTCACTGTCTGTCGTACAATTCTTGTAATTTTAGCTCTGAGAATTTGTTATTAAATTCAACAATATCCATAAGTTGATGCTTTTCTTTTTTTTCAACATCTTTTTCTTAATTATAAAGTACTGCTATTGTAAAGAGAAATTACTAATTAGACACTCCTAAGGGTAAAAGGGTTCAAGAAATTCCTTAATCACCCTTTGGCACCTAACTGGCGAATAATGGTTGCCAGCAGTACATTTACAGTTACCAAGTTATAAACTGTAACTTAAATAGCTGTTTGACCTTAGCAATAAAGGATCGTTCATCCTGACAACATTTTGACAACGAACCCAAGTAATCGACTCATTTTTAACAAATGTGAGAAGATTTTAGTCGCGTTGTGTCGCATAGGGGCTCGTATCGGTTGCAATCTTGATCCCTAAAAACTGATTTATTCAAAGTCACTTTGAAGAAAGATTAGATCAGGAAACGAATTGGCTTCTAAGACAACAATAACAACCAACATACCTGTCTGATGTAAGTAGATTTACCCCCCATATTAGGGCCAGTTATTATCAAAAATTCTTTGTTACCTGTTAATAAACATTGTTATAAAGATAACAATCATTTCATAACAATTAAGTCACATTCTTAATCATTTATATATTTTTCATTATTTCATGGATAATTACGACTTCCACCGAGCTATTTTCTCTTTTTCTTTTTTTCCATAAATTTTTACAACATGTAGGTTACATTTCAATTCATCTCCACCTCAAGCAAGGAATACTTCAATCAGTTTGAAGCTTCAACATTCCCCCTGGACAACCCAACCCAAGTGCCAGACTTAATGGTCAATTTTTTGTAAAAGGCAAGATCAGCGACCATGACTTTCTTGTAGATATTCATCTGCTCACGAAAGTAAACTCTTTACCTTCAGACACCTCCACATAAAAAACAGGTGTATTCCTCTGAAAACGGACTTGACAATTTATGTTCAAATTCCCTACCCCTGGGGCACAGATGGGTGTGGGGGGGGGACAATATCGAAACTTTGAATTTATTGGCACATAATGTAATTTGCCCTCTTAGATGGACTTCTTAATGTGGGAAACCATACCTTTTGGACTGAACATATAAAAATACAGTTATAATGATGATAATATCAATATAATAATAATAATAATAATAATAATATTAATACTAATAATAATAAGAAGACGAACAAAAACAATAATTGTATCATTGTCTCATTTACTACTCAAAACAATTCTGAAAAAAATTAAAAGCCTATGGTTTCCAAAGGCAAAAAACTGAATAAAAAATGTATCAAACTTGCCCCAGACCCAGTTGTCCAAGCAGTATTTATCAATTGTAGTTCAATAACACAATATTATCCTTACAATAGTTTTATCAGTCACAAACCAATCACTCAGTTCATTATACCTCTTTCAAGCTTGAGATCATTGGAAATAAAAGCCACATCATCTTGAACTTCAAGACAGGGATGTCTTGCCATGTCAAGTTTGATGTGTCCCTCTCCTGTTAAGTTAAAAGAACATAAAAAGGACTCACACAAGACTGATTTGGTGTCTGGACAGTATTAATAATGAAAGTCATATGATTAAAAAAATTATCAACCACTCTAGTAACAACTTATAATAAAATAAAATCAATTTGACCTGCAGATGAAAATCAAGAAAAGAAAGGATCCTCACAGGTGGTCTGCAATTTTAACAATTGCAAAAAAGAAGCCTGCAAAAATTCAGGCTTTGACAGGATTCAAACCTGCACCTTCCATGTACAACAACCAACTAGTATCTGGGAGGAAAGGGTCCAATTGCATGAATTGTTTGAAGCTTCTTTTCTGCAATTGCTAAAATCTCAGCCTACCTTACTTTGCTTGCTTAAATATGTAATTTAACTACCAATAAGAAAAAAACAAAAAACATCACAGGGAACCAATAAGAATTGGTTGAACACACTCAGTTGCAAAAAAATGTTGAGCCTTCAAAATCTTGATGAAGGGTGCAAGGTGAAGGAGAGGATACCAAATGAATTACATCTGATGCTCAAAAATGTTCTTGGAAGGGAAGTTGTAAAGTAGTAATGATATCATCTTGTTCTTTGACTTACCTTTGGGAGTAATTTTTGGACGAACAAATGGAATAGGAGCATTAGCTGAGACATGCGCAAAACTGAAAGAAGAATTAATTACAAAACATAATTAGATAATTGACATACCACTGTCTGCATTGGGCTATCGTTTACCCATAATACCTTAAGGCCAGTTTTGTTAATAGAAACACACTGTACCATGGATTGATAATTATTATTGAGAACACACCCAACCTTAACCCTTTAACTCCCAAGATCTCATTAGTAATTTTCCTTACTGTCTGCCAAATGATTCTCATAGTAGTAGTTTGTAGAATTTGGTATTAGATCAATTAGTAATCCCATAATTGATATTTTTCTTTATTCTCATCACTTGTCTGCATGATATTGTATAGATATAATAAGGAGAAATTCTGTCTTGATCACTCACAGGAGCTAAAGGGTTAGTAAGTCAGTAAACTATATAGTTCCTAACCATTTACTTGCACATAATAATTTATGTAAGAACTTGGAGGGCAAGGGGCGTAGTCAGCCTATAGCCCTGTAGGCCTGGGCATACAATTCTTTTCCACCCACTTGGCTTTTATCATATGACTCTTGCAAATTTTGAAACAAAAAGTGAACTTTCTTAGGGTAAAGGCTCACAACAAGTCGAAAGCTGACTACACATCTGGAAAGATATGAGAAAAGTTTTGACTCTTTCACAACCAGCCAGACAGAATCAATCACAGATTGGTTGAAAACTTACCTTATCAAGGCATCGAGCTGAGCAATAATGTCGCTTAGCATTTGCATTGGCTCACTGTAACCTCCTGTCATAAAAAAAGTAAACATGATGCATAGGTTTTTTTTCCCCAAGAGCCACACCACATGTATATAAATGCTACCCTGCTTGACTTTGGCTTGATGAAAGTTGAAATGGTGTCCTTATCTTTATAACATACTTTTCTTGGACCAGTCTCTTCCCCATGCAGAGAGGGGGGGGAGATACCATTCTCATCAAGGATCTTTTTTTTTTTTTTTTTCTTTGAATCTTTATTAAGTCATAAGATAAATAATCACATATCCTATGTTACAACATTTAAAAGAAGGTATATATATAAATTACAGAGAAAATCAAGATAAAAATTATAAGACTAGATTATGTTTAAAAATTAAGCGATTAACAAACGTGTTTTTGAACCTATCAGTGTTTATTTTAGGATGGTGACTTGTCTCTTTCCTCAGATTGTACTTGGTTAATTTCTTTTTTGGCATTATAGCTCTTAAGGGGTGTATTGTATTATTAAAAACATTCTTGAAGATACGCGTGTCCTGTTGAACTAACAATTCATAAACATTAATGTGATCGGATGTATACTTGCGCTTATAACATCGATCTAAGAAACATTGGATTGTTGTTAATTCGGAATTTACAGCGCCAAATACGGACAGCCCGTATAATATATTTGGTAGAACCAGATTTAGAAACAGATGGTCTATTTCGGCCTGATTGTACCCTTCTTTCCTTAAAGATCTTAAAATGAACAGGCACTTGTTTGCTTTAATTAGTTTTTCCCGAATATGTGTTATGAACCTACTGTCTTCCTGAAATGTTACCCCTAAAATAGTAAGCTCTTTTGTCTGTGGTATTCCAGACACCATCGGAAACTCTATTGTACAACCTTTCTTGCGGAAAATGATTTCCTTGCACTTAGATGGATTGCTACACATACCATTACTTCTAGACCACTGGGAAAACTGATTAATCAGTGCGATAGAATTGTCATTATCACCTATCACAGGCGAGATAATGGTTGTATCATCTGCATATTTTACCAGCACGCTCTTATTGTCCAAGTGTATCTCTAAATCACTGAGAAAGACATTGAACAAGTGCGGCCCGCTGACACTTCCTTGGGTGGTACCTTTGTTGACACTTTTCCATTTTCCAATAAACCCATTTCTAATGACTCTCTGCTGCCTGTCTTCCAAAAAGCTTAGATACCAGTTAACTATAAAAGGATTTAGGGGGAGTTGCTTCAATTTGTGTGAGAGGAGATCGTGTTTCACACTATCAAAAGCCTTGCTGAAATCCATAGCGAATAGGCGTACCGCTTTTGGCTCGTATCATCGATCGAACGAGCGGAGTCATCCAGCCCGGGTCTCTTGAAGACATGCGCACTGTTTTCAGAGGCATGCAGCTATCCAGGTGCCCAAGGATGGTATTTTCGAGCCTACCAACCACTTCATCGACATCAGTTTCCTGTATCATATCATCCCAGTTTTCCTTCGCCAACGCGATATACAGATCACGCTTTCTATGAGCCCTTTGGTCACGCACGTATACTTTACGGCGGATAGGTGGAAGCTTTATACCGGGTGGTAAAATAACTCCCATGTGATCCGTCTTGGAGAGCATGTGAAAGGGATAGCACTTTGAAAAGAGATCCGTGCGGTTCGTGAAACAGTTGTCCAAACAAGAATTCCCTCTGGTGGGGAAATTAACCAGAGCATTCCAACCAGACATTTCTTCGAAGCGTTTGATATCCAGTTTGTTGACATCGCCACCGCACAACACAACTGTTTGTGGATGTTTGTCTAGTATATTATCCACGGTATTTACAAGATGATTCATTAGATCGATCTCTGCATAATTAAATTTTGGAGGATGATAAACTCCACATATTACAAATCGATGTCCCTTGGGAAGTCGCAGAGTTATACAAATTAATTCATAAAGACTAGAGCGGTAAACATCCTCTACTGCAAGATTGTTCCTGATGTATATAGCAATCCCACCCTTATTGCGCATATCTCTGCCATTCCAATTTCTGTCTCTACGAAAGATGGAATAGTTCTCAATATTTACAATCGCATCCGGTTGTGCCGGTTTGAGGTGTGTTTCCGATACGACACAAACATCAATATCTTTAGATCGCAAGTCAGCCTCAAGTCCAACCGCCGCACGCACTCTGTTCTTAGTTTTTGCGAGACTGCAAATATTGATGAACATACACTTGGGAACGGCAAACTCCGAGCAATCGGTAGATGATTTAGTAGGCTCTCGAGGAATAGCTGTAAGATATCTGTTCTTAGCGGGATCTTGGAAGCGATAAGGTCTAGCAAACCGCCGGGTTTTAACAACTTCAATGGGTCGACATCTGTCGGAGTGTTGCGATGCAGAGATATTTTTAGTAATTTTCCCCAATCTTCGTAATCCCGGACCTCTGTATTTCAGAATTCCCAGGGATTTAAGGGTATCGAAAACATGAGGCGCAGGTCGGCCCGCCGAACGTCTCAGCAAAAGTAGCCTGTCACGATTGTGAGAGCAATGGATTCTGACTGACCCAATTGCAGGTTGACAAGCAGAGTCCGAGGAGTTGGAGCTCTGTTTTCGTTTACCGTGGTCATTATCCACTTCTTCAGGTCCAGGATGTGGATGGACATCCATATTAACAGTAATGTCGAGCACAACAAACTTCTCAGGGGCGGCCAGGAAGACCATGCCTCGACTGTCCCATTTCACCATAGCCCTTCTTACCCGGAGATTTCGAGACCGGGATACTCTCAGCTCAAATCTAGCCATCCAACTAATGCATCTTGATGTTAAAGATTGATTTCGATAAGCTCTTTCGACTGTTATCATAGTTATGAAGGTAAAAATATAGAAAACTGCAAGAGCTCTAAAGAGCGTGGCAGCCATATTGGCATGCATATATCTGCCTGTCCTAGTCTGTCTAGACAGAGTTTGTCAAATTCTATTCATTTTCCATTTTGCTTGAGACAAGCAACAGGGAGTGTACACAATTATAGCTATGGGCCTCAATGTTTTTACTTAAGACTCAGGGAAACTCAATTTCACTTAGCAAAGGCAAGGAAGTATGGTAACATGCTTACATACCGGCCACTTTTATCACTTCATTGGCCAGGTTACTCTGCACTTCATTGTAGGTCTCCTTAAAAGCTTGAAACTGCTCATTCAGTTGCCGTAATGCTGAATTATTGAACCTTATTCCATCCTTTCTTGTGTCTATTGTTGTAAAGCGTTTGTTGTTTCTTAAGGCCTTTTCTTCCTGTAGTTCACACACACCAAAAAGGAAACATGAGTTGCGTTGAAATTCAGTACTTTAACTGTTGGCTGGGTAGAGCACATCCAAGTAATTCTTTGGACTATGTCAGGTTACCACGACATGACCTTGAACCAAATATTTCCCCCCTTCGCCCTCCTATGAGGTCAATAAGTACATAATACTATTGTTTACAGAGAGAAACTTACTTTTTTTGTTATCCTGAAGAAATAACCAAACTGGTTATTGGTTTCCAGTTTTATTGATTTTCCTGCTTCAAGACCAAGATCTCGTGCTGCCTGTAAACAAAAGATTGGTTAAAAATCAAAAAGAAGTTTTACTCAATTGACTGAACATTGTTTTTTTAAGTATGAAACAGCATGAAATTTTTCTGAGAACAATCATAAAACTAATATAAGCTTAAAACTAACCTTGTTTAGTTCTACTGGTATTTGCTCTAAAATTTCATCCATCTTTTCTCTACACTCTACAGGAAAAAGGTCACCCTAGCTATAAATAAATTTTTCTCAAAAACAAATATGAGTGGATGCTTTCTTTTACAACAGAGGAGTTTAAAAGAACTTTGAAAAAGAAAAAGAAAGTATTCATAAAGTCAATAGGATCTTCCATATCATTATAAGGCTAAACCTTTACACTTCAACATCAGTATGCGGATTCTCTATACTTTTTTTTTTCTTTTTTTAACATTTCCTAAGGTGCTGACAAGGAGAATTTGTTTAACTATCAAGAGATCCAGATCTTCAGTCAGTGATCATTTCCTTTATTCTTGTGACCTTGATAAAATGTTTGATTCAGGGGTTATATTGTAAGGAGAAATTAGATGCTAGTCACTCTTAGGGGTTAAAGGGTTAGTTTCATTTGGAAAAACTAAACTTTTTGATGAAACTACAAAATTGTAAAATAAAACAAAACTGTAAAATAAAACAAGAATGCAAATCACACCTTGCAATCCTTCATCAAAAGAAGCCTTGATCAAATATTCATGGTTCTCCACCTGATCAAGATCTACAGTGGTCTCCACTAACTCAATGAACTTTTGAAAGTCTTCAATAAGATCCTTCAAAGAAATAAATAGCTGCTCTAAACAGTATTCTACAGTTTGCTCCAGATTTATCAAAGATGAAAATATCCCTTGAAGAGATTAGGAATATTGACTGGCATATCTCAATTACCAAGCCTTTGAACTAAAGCTGTAGTAAGGTTAAAGAGATATCAGTCCTTTACACCCAAACATTGGTATGCTTATACTCCATACAGTTCTCCATACTTTTCCTTAGGTGATGGCCTGGAGAATTTGTTCAACAACCAAGATCTTCTTTAGCGGGTGATAAATCTCTTTATTCATGTGACCTTAATGTGTGATTCAGGGGTGATATTGTGAGGAAAAATTAAATGCTAGTCACTATAATTAGAGTTCAGAGGGTTAAAAATAAAAAGTTGTTCACTGAATCACCTTTATGGGTGTTGTAAAGCAGTCGCGTATAAGCTCATGGTGATTTCCCTGATAGCCAGTAAGAATACCAGTGAAAGTAGGAAGTCTATGAAGAGCTTGGTAGACCCTCACACAGTCCTGGTAAGTGAGAGGAAAGGAAAAAAAGTGATGCAAATAAAAAAAATATCCCACTTTTTGACACATTAACTTCCAAGGATGTTAGACTATTTAAATCCGTAACTTTGTGTTTCTCAAGCCAAGGGTACCACTTTAATATTTGAAAGAATAGCTATGAATGAGCCCTCTGAACAACTTATTTCTTTGCATACTTAATCAAATATTATTAATGGTACTGTATATTACCTGTAAACTTGCTTTCTGTCGCTGGAATTTCTTGGCTAGTCGAGAAAAATCAGGAATTTTTCGCAACTCTTCCTGTAAAAATAACAGCACATCCAAAACATTGAAGTTCTCAAGTAGCATACACAATATCTTTATTAGGCAGGTTAATTATTGAATTTGGAAGGAAAGACTTATACCCTTGATACACCCTAATATCAGTATGCACATTCACCAAACTGTTCTCTATACATTTCCTAAGCTACTGACAAGGAGAATTTGCTTAAAAAACCAAGAGCTTCTTTAGTCAATGATAATTTCCATCATTCTTGTGGCCTTAATGAGTAATTCAGAAGTGATATTGTAATGAGAAATTAGATGCTAGTTGGTTAGGGGGTAAGAGGGTTAACTAAAGATAAGAGAACTTACATCAGTACTGGTACTCTTTCATTATCTTGATACAAGTTTAGTTTAGTGAGGTTGAACTAGTGCCTCAAACTTGGATATAATCAACTTGTGTTTCTGTTATATACTAATTCCTATCTTTCTTTGACTGCCATCAGTCAACAAAAGATCTGAAATACCTTTCCATGGCAATACATCACAACTCCTTCTTGACATGAACATAACAGCTTTACTCACAAGCTTTCAGTTAATCACCACAAATGTACACACCTGAATGGTTTGTCTAAGTTCTGTGTCTTCAAAGAAAACTTCAAGAACATCAAGTCTCTCTTCTGTAAAATGAAAATTAACAATTTAAAATGTTCACAAATGACAGTAGAAACTGTTCACACAGATGTTTCACATACTCTAGTATGCCTGCTGTAAGACTGCAATTATTTGTAGACTAACCTATTTTGTTTTTGTCCATCAAAGGTTGTTTAATCCACTGTGCTATTAACCTCTGTCCCTGTGCTGTCTTTGCCTTATTCAACAAACCAACAAGACACATACTCTTATTGCCTCCTGGAATGGAAGAACATCAAACAACTGTGTCAAAAATCTGAGACCAAATGTTCATTCCTGTTAGAGGTTGATAAAATAAATGCTTAAATAATTAAGCCTATAACTAAATAAACTTGTGAAGAATCAGGTCAAATAAAAGAGTAAAACTGAGGCTCTACCAGGTCTTAACAGTTTTATTCTAACTGTAACACTAGCACTTTTTCTTTCATTGGGCAAATGCTATATGTGGAGCCAATTAACTCTTTTGCTCCCAAGATCTCATAAGTAAAATTCTCCAAACAATTATATGTCTTCCATACAATTATGTACTAGTTCAAAGACGTTGCTATTGGATCGATTAATAATCCCCCAATTGACATTTTCCTTTATTCTCATCACTTGTCTGCTTGATATTGTATTCACACTGTAAGGAGAAATTCTGTCTTGGTCACTCATGGGAGTTAAAGGGTAGAATGTCACAAGGGAACTTAAGCAGAATGAATGCTATGAATAAATTATAGGCTGCCAATTGTGAAAAAAGTTCCATATCTAACTAAATGATTTCCATTCCATTACCACATGCACATGCAAATACTGAGGATACAATAATATATCCAAAGGTAATACTGTACCATCTAATGGGTTTGGAAGAAGATTGAGAGCTCTCACAGCTGCAGCATCAAGCTTCATAAACTGTGTTAAGTCAAATGTGCTCAGATGAAACTGACTGAAGTTGGACTCATCTGCAAGGAGCTGCAATTAATAATAAAACAAAGTCTGAATAAATATCGGTAGCATATTCCAAAAACTAAATTTTCCTGAACATTGAACAAGAAAAGATGATTACAGATTAAACTTGTAAGCATGCACAGTTTTGATGTACTCATTTCTAATTTGGGGTGATATAAAGTGAGGTGAAAATATTTGCATTAATTCTCACAGGCCTTCATTCTACTGTTATTTTGAAACTTACAATAATTATGTGTGAATATATAGGTGAAAGAAATGTTTTAAAAAGGTACAAATACATGATGTATAATGGCAACAAAACAATGAAAATGTTTGCCACAATAAAGAGTTGGTGAGTTACCTCCAAGTACTTGATCAAAGCTGCTAGAGAAGATGTCGCATGAGTCAAGTCTATCTCCGCTGCAAAAAGGAGATTCACATTCACTGAGTACAATTTAAATGACGTTAATCAATCTCAGACTGTTTGTAAATAATACAAGCATGAAAGACACCAGCAAAAGTATCTTTAATTTTTATCCACAAATAAAAAACAAAATTATTCGCCTTGTTCACAATTTTCTTGCATGACGTAGCCAAAGAATATAGTCATCTTGACTTCCATGGGTTTATATGGTCCAACAGAATATTATATTGAAATTAATGTAACTTTTGTTGTCTCTTAATCCTCTAACTCCAAGAAGTGATCAACTTCCCCCTATAATATCCATATATTATCCAGCAACCAGGTAATGAGAATACTCAAACTCATCATGGATAGTTTGATCTAACACCACATTCTAGTTATAAACTAATTTACAAGGAAATGTTTAGCAGCTAGAGGGGAGAATTAACAATCAGATCTTGGGAGTTAACAGGGTTAATCAATTCTTACTTGAAATAACAAACACTCTTCTCTTTGTATTGGGAGAAAATTGAAAAGTTGATGGACAGCAAGAGCAACAATAAATTTTATTCATGTTACCCTCACTGGGCCATCTGCCGATGCTTGTCTGATGCATTCGGTAATTCTCAAGATATTTATTAGACTGAGAAAGCTATTTAGCCAAAACAGCATTCAAGCTATCAAACCCAGAAGTATTTTATTTCCTCTAGTGAAGTGTTTTGTAAATTAAATAACAAAAGACATACCCAAAGTTCCACTATTTCCACTTGCTCCTAACTTCAAAAGCCTGTTGAGATCCTGTACTATGTCTTTGTTGGAAAACTCAGCTACAAGCATGACAAATTGATACATACAGTAAGCTATAGTTATCCTATTTATTTAAGCCATTAATTAACCCTGGATTTTTCAAACTCCCTTTCAAATAAAACATAATACTTGTTGCTATCAACTTGGGTTACATTACAGTCTTTTTTCACCATGGACATTTTAACTAACCAAAATATCCATATATCTATTGACTTTGATCACTCCAAATGACATGAGATATACAGAGAATAATACATGGACATGCAAAGATGTGGAATTTCTTTTCCAGTGTTCAACTCAATAGCTCACAAGTGACTGCAGTGAACAAGTGAGATGTTGAGTTGAACATGAGAAGAATAAATCTATATCCAAAAGCAACCATGTATTATTTTGTTTATAATATAAACACAACAGACCTTCAATGACAAGATTTAAAGTTAACTTTATTAATGAAAGAAAATAAAAGGATAGACAATCCTTGAATAAAAATAGTGAACAGCATTGGCGCTAAGGATCAAGATGAAAAAAGGTGTTGAATTGCTGCGAAAACAACAATGGGTATAATTTTGAATATACAAAATTCTCAGTTATTGACTTTGTCCTCAGCAACAGAAATCTTCTAGTGTCTAGGGGTTATAGAAAAATTATTGGAACCCCTGCTTTTTGCCATAATTTCAAACTAAATCTTACATTTTTTCCTGTCAGATATGAGAATGTTGCTTCGTTGAATCACCTCTAATACTTTGGCTGCATCAGCACTTGTGTCGTTTTGTGGCAGTAAACATTCCTTTGGACCAAGCTGTACAAGCAAAGCCTAGGAAATAATTCATTCATTATTTGTACCTCTTATATTCTTTTATTTTACCTAACAAATAAAGAGATTCCACATTTAGCATCTTTCTTACCTCCAGATTAGAAAACTGATCATTATCGACAAATTCACAGACTCCAAGCTTCCTTGCTGCAACATCAGCATATGAAGCACCTACCACCTGTGGAAAAAAAAAGGTTAATCATAAATGATTTTTTTGATGCTGTAACTTTCCCTTTTGTTCCTTAGTTTGCTTCTGCTGCATCTTCTTCCCAACACCCAATCATACTTGTCACTTTGTGGTACATCTTGTCATGAATTTTTAAGCAAACGTACCCTTTGGCCATTTTCCATACCAAGCTTGATTGCCATGACGACTGCTGACACAGACATGTCATTATTTCCAAAGAGAATGTCTTCAAATTGTTGCAAATTACCAGGTGATGCCTAAAATAAAGTTATGAAAATACATCACATATGAAATGTTCTCTATACATTTCCTAAGGTGCTGACAAGGATAATTTAATTAACAATCAAGAGTTTGTTTGGTTAGTAATCATTTCCTCTATTCATGCAACCTTTACATTTAATGTCATTGTAGTCACTCTTAAGGGGAAAAGAATAATTTAATAATTTAAGCGGCAATTCAAGGGAAAAAAGATGTCTAGACAACACTGATAGCAAGATTTAAATAACACATGTTCAGTCCATTCATTACAAATTTCTCTGTTTAATTGTTAACTAATTCATTGCATCTTGTACCTTGGCAACAAGTTCCCAGGCTGATGTGTTCTTTGCACCTTTACTTGCTCTGTACATCTCCACTCTATACTGACGTACAAGCAACAGATCCCGAACTGTGCTCTCAAAATTCATTTTACTCAAAATCACTGATGGAACTTTCTTTTCACCTGCAAAACAAGGTACTTTTTACATACAATAGCAAATATCACTGTTTTTATAACAATATCATATGCTGAAGGCAAGCAGTCTGTTAGGTTATTTATTACATTTCAACATACCAATCCCAAGATATTTAATAACACTTGTTGTCTTGAAGACTTCTTTTGCGGCAAATGCTGCATCAGGACCATGAACAGTATAGTAGTCCTGTAATGGAGGAGGAAAAGACAGAGTATTAGAGCAGTCATGGAGGGGTGGGCATAGAACAGATATCATTTCAAAGAACAATGCTCTCAATAAAAAAAAAAATTTAAAAAGTGCAGTGATTTCCCAAAGATAAACACAAGCAGTGACTTTCTTAACTTTTCCCTAGAAAACATATATAATTGCACAGGGGATAAAAAAAATAAACAAAAACAAAAACAAATTAAGAAGCCCAGTTCTTCTGTAGAAAATTTGATTAATGCATATTAATAAAGTGTGTGGGAGGACTTAAGTAAACCAAGTAATAGGGGTAAATGACCCCCCCTCCCCCCTCCTCCAACCACCATACTCTGATTCCCCTCCCCACACCCTACCGCGCACGCCAGCAGGTACAACTTCCCTTCATTGTTTTGTGTGCACTGCTCTGATTGTTGATTTAGTGATGTAATAGTCTGCCCACTATTCATCAACATCTGGTAGTACAATTGTGTATACAAAAGGGAACCCCAGAGATCAACATTGTGAACGAGCGAACACTTACCGAGCGATCGAACACACGGAAAGTTGTTTCAGGTTTCTAAAAGGGAAAAAGATGGTATACAATTACATGAACTAGGAGTGAATGATATACCATGTCGTAAATCACCGCAGAAGGCCTAAACAAGAACATACCTCGGGCAATGAGCGATAGAAGGCCAGAAAGCCCTGTTCTGCCGTTCCATCTGCAAATTTACAGACAAAAATATCTGTCATGTACAATCGTCAAATTAAGGTAAAACATTCTTCAATTGTCATTACCAAGTGAAAACTGTTGACAAGGTTGCACAGCCATTGCAAGTATGGCGGTGAAGCAAAATATCTTACACACGTGAGCCACAAATTTGGCGGGCATCCGGGACTTGCCTACACAATCGCTATTTCCGTACATCACCGTATTAGCTCCGTATTATGTTCGGAATCCGATAACACTCGGCTGGAGATTGGAAACGGGAGAAGATTTCAAAATGTCGGCGGAAGAAGACACCGAATTGAGGGATATGGTCGCCCAAACATTGGAAAGTAAGGGTGTTCTAGGAAAAATCAGGGTAAGATAATTAGCAGTTTTAAATTACAAAGAATATTAATTTGAATTATTTATCATCAATTGATCTTTTCTCCTCCTGGAGTAAAGATACAGGCCATTATTTTCATATGACGCGAGCAGGCACCGAAAGAATAGCATTTTTTTTTGTAAAATGTTTTTTGTTGGTTTTTTGAGAATTAGATGGTGATTTTTTTTTACTTTTTGGTCGTTAGTATCGTACCATTCAAAGAAGGAAGTTCTAGTATCGTGCCACTCATTCGATTTCACCGAAAATTTCTGATTATATAAGTGTTTGATCTAGTTGATTTTTGGCTCAATTTTTAATTCGTTAGCATGTTTTCCCTACGTCAAGCAAACCGATTGAGAAATAAATTACTTGTGCCGATTAACACTTCATTGTGCTGCTGAATTTCTCAATCGTGTAATCAAAGATGTGATATGAAGGGTTGAAGGGTTGCAGTGAGCCTTTAGATAAATTCTGCGAATTTAATTTGTGCTTCTTTTTGCCTCTTCTTCGCACAACGGTTGTTGACTGTGCATTCAATTTTCGATCAACTAAAAATGCAATCCATCGTGCTCTTTCAATTTCTTGGACATCACAGTGGCTGTAGTTTAACGTGCGGCAGGTATGATTGTTCTTATTTAAACGAGCTAAATTTTTTGTCAAGCAATTTATTGATATACACCGGCATATTGTTAATGGTACTATACACTTGGAAGTAGAATGTTTACATATATAGGGAAAGTGATGTTACAGTCATTACTTTTGACAGGCACAGCTCAGAGCAAGCGTGTTTTTAGCTTTAGAGGAACAAGAAGGATCAGAGGTTGGTTTCTGTAATGCACATTATACATTGCTCAGCAATATATGCCTTTCCTTTGATGTACAATTCTCTATAGAGGCTGAATCTGCAGTCAAGGTTTTTCAGTCTGTCTGTCTCTCTGTTAATGTCTGCTTGTTAAAAGATCATCAAGTTGACATCAAGCTGATCAGTACTGTGTGTTTCAATCGTAAGATGAAATATAAGATGAAAGTATGAGAGAATGTAAGGAACTTGTTTGCACAGGGAAGGTAGTATTCATGTTGGCAAAGGATCATTTGCTTTCTAAACTTGTAGTTGAAGGAAACCTGCAGTAAATTGTCTCTTTCTTGTTTTAGAGCAAAATCCAACTTGTAAATCCTGACCTGAAGAAGTTTTTAGGTACAAGTGAAGGTAACCAAATCACTTTGTTTTTGTTTTAATGTGAGTATTTTTTCTTTTAAAAAACACTCAGTTGTTCTTAAAAAAGACATCAACATGTATATAATAAATCCTTCTTTCCTTCTTGTCCCATAGGACGGCTTGTAACAGGTTTAGTCCGGGAGTTTCTGGAGTACTTTGATCTTGATTTCTCTATCGCAGTTTTTGATCCAGAGACTGATTTTGTAAGTTGAAGATAGCACAAACATTATTACATGTTTTTGAATGTCAGTTTACTCCTAAGATCTGATTGTTAATTCTCTGCTCTGGTTGCAACACATTTCCTGGTAAACTAGTCATGAGAATTTGGTGTTAGATCAAGATAACAACTTCTACCTGATAAGTTTGAATATTCTCATTACCTGTTTGCTGGATAATGCAATGCCTAGGCTATAATTGTCCTCAAATGTCAGATGAAGTAATCTTCATGGTGCAACAATCCAGGCAAAGTACCATTGGCATGTAAGCCACACCTTTTTCCCAAAAATTTTTGTAATGAATCAGGGGTGCAGTTTATCTTCAGGAACACCTGCAAAAGGTGCTGCAAATTTATCTAAATTGACCTTATTCCTCAAAAATTTATGAGTTTAACAAAAACTTTGTTGAAAAATATGCGAGGATAGATAGGTCATTGATTCTGCTAGTTTGGAGGATCCTAAAAGAGTGGTTTTTCATCAAGTGAAGTACCAATTTTACCTATTTTGTCTTCAGAGCGACAAGTATCCAGGACGAAACAACCTTGCCAGGGAACTGAAGCTGAATGATGTTGACAACACATCTGGAAGCCCACTGTTGGCAGAAGTCATAAAGAGACTTTCACCAGTCACCAATGGAGAGGTCAAAACTTCACCAAGGCAGAGCGCAGCTGACAGCCCAAGAAGCACCAGTCCCCCTAACTCAAATAAGGTACAACTTGATGGTAATCTAAATCTGAAATGGTCAGTCAGAATTACACTTTACCTATATTCTGCACACCATTAAGTTTTAATTTCAAATGTTAAAATAATTTCCATACTTATTTGAGTGGCATTAGATATTGTAAAACAGCTAAACACATTTGAGTATCAATTTCGGTGAAAACAAAACAATGATAAAACACTCTGTTTTATTGGTGAGCCAAGTCAACTCTTCTTTTCCCATTTACAGAATGGTACTTTCTTAAAATGTAGCATGCCAGTTGATTAAACTCAATGAAATATTTAACATTAAAGCATTTTTTGTTAAAGGGTGACAAAGATGACCAGGGAGAACTTTCTTCAGACAGTGCAAGTGACGATAGTATGGTAAACTAAATACTGTAAATTTGAAAACAAAGGTTCACTCAAGCTACAAATCCTAAGATAGTAAAATGAGGTTTTTCATGATTGATATAACCATAAATATGATAATGAATACAATAGGGAATGCACCACTACATTTTAAAATTTTAATTACCTAACTAGAGGTTTCTGAAATATGTCAAGAAATAATGTAAAGAACAGTAACTTACAATGATAAGAAACAAGGTTGATGGAAATCAAACAAAGAAAGGAGAGAAAGAATATACTTGACGGTTAGGATACTTCTACAAAATGACAGACTGAGACACTCTAGGGAAAAATCTTACTAATTAGCACAAAAACTTATTTAAAAATGCTGATTCTGCACAGAGATTGGAGTCTAGGAAACTGCTGACAGACATTGCATCAAATATTAAGTGGGAAATTCCTATTAACTCAAGGTCTTAAAACATTATGTGGCTATTTAAGACAACTCAAGAATAAATCTAACATAACCAGGCACCTCATAAAAATTAATACTACTAAATGACATACCCAAATAAAATAACTAGATCATAAGTATTTGTACATAATATTTTTAATTGATAATTGAAAAGTTACATTAGATGATGCACCCTAATTTTGCATAAATTAAAATTACCGTAAATGTTGTAATGATAACATAAAGAGCAATTACATTTAAGTTTTTAATCCTAACTCTCAACAACGATTTAACTACTATCTGACTGTGTAAAAAGTTGAATAACAAGCAATGGACACACAAAAAAGACCAGGATCCCTTTTCCTTGTCTCTACTTCATCTCTACTTTAAACACACATTTAGTACAGTTCTTTCAGCAGATAGATGCCATTAAAATGATGCAAAACTTTCTTTAGTATGTCTGCAGCTGTTTCTTTTTGTGCCTCAATGTACATTTCTGCAAGACTAGTATAGGAATACATATTTTACTTTTCAATGATGCATGTATTTTAAGGTGCAATTACTGAGATAAATTCAAAGTTTACCAACAATGAAAACTGTAAGTCAGAATCCTTGGATGCATCCAATCCAAGCATGTACCGTAATTTCCAGCCATTTGCCAATTATTGCATGCGGCGAAAAAAAAAGTCAACAGATTACCCACACTGGTGGATAACCCGCACGTTATGTTATTGAACTTTTTGGTGGCAAAAACGTGACATTAAGGTGATACATTTCAGTTTTTTAAAAGTTGTCTAATCTAACCTTCGAAACATAACCCGCACCTCCCTATTACCCACAGTGGTGCGCGTTTAATGCAAAATCAACAGATTACGCACAGGTAAACGGCTGGAAATTATGGTACTTCAGATGCAAATTTTGTAAACTAGCTCTTTGATTGCAGATCTTTCAACTCCACCTGTTGTCCCTTGAGCCCTCATTCCTTTTTTTCAGTTTGATTTTTCAACCTTTTAGCTCTCAAGAGTGACTAGCTTCTAATTTCTCCTTACTAATTATATTACCCCTGAATCAAACTTGAAAGTCATGAGAATAGAGAAGATGATCACCAAAAAGCAGCTTTTGATTGTTAAACAAATTCTCTTTGTGAGCCTCTTTGGAAATGTATGCAAAACAGTATGGAGAATATGCATACTGATGCTAGGGTGTAAAAGGTTAAGGAAGTCCCCTTACATTTCTTCTTTCTCAGCAGATTTCCAGTCCCAGACCAAGCAAAATTCCACAAAGGGTTCGAGATGAAAAATCCAGCAAATCTGACAAAAACCAAGACTCACTACTTGAAAAACTGAACTCTGAAAAGGAGCTAAATTCACTTTCAGACTCAAGGAGAGACAAAAGTGGAAGAAGGTATTTATAATATTAAGTGTAACGCACCTTAGTCTGTGTAGGCAATGGGTAAAGTAATGTCCAAGGGATAATTCTTGAGGTTTAATTTTTCAACTTTTTACAGTCGTGTTGCTGTAATGATTTTTTTCCTTTTTGTAAAATGGCTCAAAAAGACCCAAAGTTAAAATTTCAATGCTGATTTTGCAAAACTTGATCACCTGTCTTTTTTTGTTTTGTTTTTTCTGGTTAGAACCTCTTAAAATGACCATAACACATGACACATTTCCACTTTTGTATTTTTCATTTCCTGGTTGCAATCTAGTAACTGTTTATTTAATGTGCATTTTCCATGTAGAAGCCCAGATGTAACCATCGGAAGTGATGATGGAGATGATATTTTTGCAGATATTCCAATGAAGACAAAGTGAGTTTGCAGTGAGTCAGTGAGCAACCCAAGTCTACTTTTAACAACAACAAACTTAATTTGTTTCTCACATTATACTATATTATTACATTGGACTGGCCTGCAAATTGGCAAGCTACTCAAGGTGGGCCAGTCATTGTTTCTGATGTTTGACTGTTGATGAATCTAGCTCCTCTTTTATTGGTCCTGAAATTGGTGTCCATTTTTCTTGTAGAGAGAGCGAAAAACAAGGGTTGATGAAAGACACAGGTAATGGAAAAACATGACACTGTTGTTGAAAAAAAAATTCATTTTCTTGTTGAGCACAAACCCTTTTATCTGAGTGGTCCTCATGATCATTTCTTTTTCTAAGGATCCAAATCCAATGGTGGTCTCTCCTCTCTGAAGGGTGCTCCTTCCCTTGGCTCTGGTGGGCTTGGCTCATTGAAGGGTGCACCACCATTGCCTGGAATGAACAACAATAACAGAGGTAGGAGATTGATGAAGGAATTCTTTTGATAAAGCCGGATTCACTCAAAGAAATATCCTCACTAGTTTACTCTTGTCAAGATGTCCTTTAATTTGAACTGTTGTTGGAAAAATATGACAACTTCTTCATGAACACTTTCTCTCGTCCCAGAACTTACATGCTGTGTTTTTTGGAAAAGTTTTAGTGGGAGGAGAGTGGTAAAAATTGGAATCCAGTTGTAAGTTTAACATTTTCAATTCTTCTAACGCATTTACTTAATAACACTCTTTTTTCCTTTGCAGAGCCTTCCAAATCACCCAACTGGCAGGACCTTGCCGACATTGATAGCAAGATCAGCAAACTTGGTTTCGGTAAGAAAGCCCCCTGAGAAGTCAAGATATTAAATGAACTTCTTCCCTCCGCTTCACCCTCATTACAATTGTGATTAGTACTCACCATAATTGTTTCCAAAAAAAGACCGGCTTCTTTTGACATCTACGTGCGAAAAATTTTAGAGCTTAAAATCATAATAGAATCGAAAGGCTAGCAATTTCAATTGACAAACCACGTGGACTTTTGAAAATTTCGTGGGCTGTCTCATCGTGTGCACTAGTGATTGACTTGCGGCACACAGTCCACGAAATGAAACCATTGGTTCTTTTGTTAGAAGGTAAAGAAGTTATTTCCGTTTGTAAGGTCACTCTCTGCTTCCCCTCTTATACATGTTCTTTTATTAAGATATTCCGGATGACGATAAAAATGGCGAAGCACCCGATTACAATGACGATTATGAGGATGACTTCCACACCAGGTACTGTCCGTTTATGTTGTTGCTGTTATCGCTACAATTTCTTTTTCGTTTTCATCTGTTTTGTTTGCTTTTTTTCTCAGTTCATTTTAAATTCCTTCTTAATTCCTATCGAACAAATCACGGCATCAAATTTGAGGGGTTTTAAGTCCAAACTGGTGTGTCAATTCCTTTACTTATTTTTTGTTTGTTTGTTCGCAAACAGTGATATGAGCATTCCGGAAGACATCGACGAACAACTATCTTCACTAAACGGTTACTTTACCTCAGATCGTACTGTGTCTCAGGCCAGTGGGGAAGATCTCGACTTTGCAGAAGATATTTTGAACTTTTGAAGAGATGCCAGTGAAAACGTGTATATTTGTAGTCATGCCTGACGTCAGAACTGTCCCAACAGATGAAGCGGTTCTGATTTACGCCCGTTAAGTGTTGTTAAAAGAGGTTTGTATAAAAATTTAACGTTAGCGACTCTATATCCGTTGAAGTCCAGTTCCATACGTAACCACATCCGAAAACATCCGTGTAAAAACTTCCTGAGAAGTAATTCAGTAACTTCTGTAAAATCATGTTGCTTTCACGTGTGTTTCATTCACAACTTTGTAATATATACAATTTTTTTTGTAAATATATGGTACCTATGTATTCCATCATGTAGAAATGTAACCGCCAATAGCATGGTTACAGAAAATATCTTTTTAGCAATGAATTAAAGGTATTGAAGTCAGCTTACACGCTTTGTATTTTCGTAAATCATTTTTGACTTTCCGCCATGATAAAATGCTCGGACTGGCTGACCGCATGACTGCGCGCATTTGGCAGCGAGTTAGCTCGCAAGGGATTACCGTCACAAAGTAAAGAACCTGTATCCTTGAGTCTAAAGTAGAAAAAAAATAATAGCTAAAGCAGCTCTATTTCAATCCATCCATCTACAGAAATGCAGCAGGAATTGTTGGAAAATCTATCATTTAGTGGCCGTTCCTACATTCGATACATATGCGTGAAAGGTCGAACCGGTGATAGCGCTCGGCTAGAACGCAAGTATGACGCGCATAAAAAATTGAAGTTCACCCAAAACACATTTACACTTCTTGAAAATTTTCTCATTCTTTTACAGCGAAATCCATGTCAGAAAATGGTGATAATCAATAAACAATCATTGATGCAATGCGTGCTCGCAACACGAGCTACACTACTTGTGTGCCAAACGACATATTCTTACACCTGAGCACATTTTTCTTCTCAAGGCATATTCGCGGGTATTTGGGACGAAGGCAGGATCGTGCCCTTTCCCAATTGTCTAAGGAAAACCAAAGGAACGAGGATGATTCGGTCAGTTCTCACCGTTTGGGTTTGACATAGGCTTTGGTTTTGTACGAGACATTTACAATCCAAGGTATCAACACAATCAAATTTCCTTATCTTTAATGGTAATTACGAGTTTTGAACAATGATTAGATACAAACTCACTTATAATATAAATAAGTCGATTTTTAACCATACTTAATATATATCCTTTTTATACAAAACGGTAAGGCTTTTGGAAGTGTCCAAATAATAAACAAAGATAATATTTTCTTTAATATATATCCTTTTTAAACAAAACGGTAAGGCTTTTGGAAGTGTCCAAATAATAAACAAAGATAACATTTTCTTCAGTATTGCCTAATTAAGTACCATGCTGGCCTTTTTTCTCTCAAGCACTATTAACAAGATCCTCCGTTCCATGACAAGCATAGCAAATTTATGAGAACATTTAAGCCAGACCGAAACCTAAGCGAACGAGTACAGTACCTTTGCGTGAAGATACTGAACCTCTTTGTTTCGAAGCCTCATCGAGGTATTCAAAAATAACTAATAAATTTACTACTTACGAATATAAAATGTAAATTAACTCCGTAAACTTAGAAAAATAATCGACTAACTTTAACAAATATTCTCTTAACGTTTTAAGCCCGTATATTTTCCGGCTTTCTAATATTTGTATTGTGGCAGCTCTTTAGGCCTTTTTTAATCTGGCCTGAAACTCTGGCCTTCCATTTTTAGCAAGTTTAATACCCTGTTGTAAGTGGTGCCAGCAAAGCTGAGCAGCGAAACTTAACTCAACGTCGCAGGGACTTGGCCACTACGCAGGACCACTTTCCCTTCTCAGTTTGAAACGTAAGGTTTACACTACCTATCTTATCACCATGGAGCTAAGGTCTTTATGACAACTGTCTTCACTTGTGTTCTCACCGCTGTCACTGTACACACTGACATCATCGTAAAGGGGATTGTAATAATCTTCCTCCACGTCATCGTCTAACCCCATAGCAGCAAGAACGTCATAGTAAGGGTTGTCGAAAGCCAGCAAGTAGCCTGTACTTCGACCAATCCAAGGCTGAAGCTCAAATTCGCTTTGGTCTTTCGTGGTTTTCTTGTAGCCAGAAAATCCACACTTTTGCTTGTATCTCCGACGTATGAGCGCAAACAAGGCGAGGATAACTAATATCAGGAAGAAGCCTGGAAATGGGCAAACATGATTTTCAGTTAGTCATTAAGTCAGGCATTGAGCCAGTCAGTCAGTAAGTCACTCAGTGCGTCAGACAGTACGTCAGACAGCGAGTCAGTAGTTAGTCAACGAACTGGGCCAGTCAGTCAGTCCATCCATCAGAGTCGGTTGGTGTTCACAGAGTTAGTCAATGAGTCAGTCAGTTGTTGAGTCAGTCATTGAGCTACTCACTGAGTCAGTTATTACGCAAGTCAATGAGCTAGTCAGTCAGTAATTGTCATTAAGCCAGTCAGCCAGTCAGTCAGTCCATCACTCAATCCGCCAAACAGTCAGTGTCAGTCAATTAGCCAATCATTAAGCAAATTGGCAATTCATTTAGCCACTCAGCCAGTTACTCAGTAGCCGGCCGGCCAGCCAGCCAGTCAGTCAGGTAGTTTATCAGTGAATCAGCCAGTCAACCTGTCAATTAGTCAGTCACTTAGTCTCTGCCACCCAGGTAAGTTACCCCACTTACCTACAGAGACACCAATGATAAGCGGAAGATGTACCGCTATGGTAGACCCAGGGTTTTCCCTGTACAGTTTGCCAGTGTAGTACTCGACTAGAAGAGTTGACGAAACATCCTCACTTGTTACCTTGGATAGGACTTCATCCACAAAATGTCCATTCACCACAGTAAAGTTATCGAGGAGAACACAAACGACTCTTGTGGCATTTTCCTGTTTTTCTGTCAGTACTGGCTGTAGCTCCAGCAGGCGGACCATGAACACATGCTTGACTTCCTTGTCCTCAAGGCCGTCACTGCTTTCAGGGTTGGAGGACTGATCTGAGGGTTCATCCGTGCTGTGGGAAGTTGCGTTGTCGCTATCCTGTAAACTGCGACGAATTTTTGTTCCCCACTTTCCATTATCTTCAGCTTTATCATAGTAAAGTTCCATTAGTTTTTCCAACCCTCTCTTAATGTCTCTCTTCCTTGCAAGTAGGTCAAGCTCGTCCACGTTTTCCTGGACGATCAGGCTGAATTTTCCTCTGGACAGATCCAAACACATCCCGTTGATGTGATGGCAAAGTTCGTTTACCGAACACTCACACACTTCCTTGCAGTGCAAGCCATATCGGTTCAGCGCACAGTCATCGAAGCAAAGGTATCCTTGGTAACCAGGAGTGCACGAGCAGTTGCCATGTACCTTCTCACAAGGACCGAACGAGTGACTTGAACATATGGGACATTGTGTTTTACATTCTTCGCCGTAGAAATCATCTTCACAAGGCTGTAAAAACAAAGCCAGAGACAATGTGGCTTACTTTAAGAACATCTTTAAAAGTAAATTTAATCGTTTATGTCATACTCTAAATTTACAAATTCAAGACATCTTTAAAACGTCCCTTCAATCTCGGTTGGAAAAAAAGGAATGTTGTAGAATCTTAAAGGTGAAAACAAACAAGAAAGATTTGCACAGACGAGAATAAAGATAGAATAGAGATCAACTTTACGGCGACATTTGCATACTTGCTCCGGCAGAGAAGTTTCTTCAATAGATTCTGTTAAGATTGGTAAGCTTCCTCTACCCTAGCCTCATTCCCGTACCTTGTCATTTGACGATCTCCTTTCGTTTAAGAACATTTCATTACGAACAAAAATTTAAAAAGTTAGTTGCCATAATGCCATGACAAAAGTAGCTTACGGCTCGATACCTTCTTCAGTTTCCTCGAAATTTGATTTCATAAAGGAGTGTTTGCTTGAGTAATTGCAGTTAATTCTAAAATATTTAACCCTTCGATCCATGGGAGTGACTAGCATCTAATTTCTGCCCACAATATCACCCCTGGATCAAACAGATAGGTCACGAGAATAGAAGAAATGATCACCAACTTAAGAGATCTTGGTTGTTACACAAATTCTCCCTGTCGGCTCCTAAAGAAATTTATTGAGAAAATTATGGAGAAGAACCATACTGATGTTAGGATGAGAAGGGTTATCCTAATAAACCACAACTACAAAAACGAATATACTAACCTCATCACACCTGATACCTTGGAATCCTCGTGCACAAATGCACTTGCCTGTGCTGGGGTCGCATTTAGGACTGTTCCCCAGGTTACAGTCACAGGGATGTGCACAGCGAATACCGTACCTGCCACTAGGGCATTCAGATTCACAACGATTGCCTGAGAAGCCAGGTAAACAGTAGCACTCGCCAGTATAAGGACTACAACTCGCGCCATTTCGACATGAGCAACTGTTAGCGCAGTTGACACCAAAGCTGCCCTCGTCACACGTTATGTCGCAGTTTCGACCTCGAAATCCAGCCGTGCAGCTGCACTTGCCCTTTACGTGGTCACAAGCAGCACCATTTTGGCACGTACATTTTTGGACGCAGTTACTTCCGTAAAAACCGTCGGAACACACACTCTCGCAAAAGACACCCGTGTAACCGTCCAGGCACGTGCAACTTCCGTCAACCTTGTCACATGACTTAGTGTTTGATTTTTTACACGGGCACGTATTATTGCAGTTAATACCATAGTAACCTGTCCCGCAGCTTAGCTTACATGTTTGTCCGTGATATCCAGGTTTACAGTAGCAAGTACCATCTGTAAAGTCACAAGCGTAGCTGTTCTCACAAATACATCGCTGGCTGCAGTTTTTGCCAAAAAACCCTTCAGGACATTGCTCTTCGCACCTTGGACAAACAAAAAGACTTAAATATAATCGTAAAAAAAACACAGCATATCACTGAAACTAATGTGAATCAGAATATACTAAAACAGTGGCTACTCAAACTCCGAACATCCTTTGATGTTTACCTACGAACATTTGAGCGCAGGATTTACCCCGAAAACATTGTAATCGTAGCAGGAATGAATAAGATAAAATCACCTTTTTAGCGCAACATGATCTTGCTGTATTAGTAAATACTAAAACAACTATTTACCTCGGTGTCCGTGGCTAGCAGTGGATATTTACCTCGTCGCTTCGCGGCTCAGTAAATGTCTTCTATTAGCCACTTCTACTTAGGGGAAGAGTTGTTAAATGTTCGGAAAGGTGCTCAATGTCCTTTGAACTAACTATTAGAAAACAGTCAGTAACGCGCAAACGGAAAATCCAGGGCCTTCCCGATGTCAAAGGTAACGAGTCCAAAACCACTGCAACTAATGCACTTGTCATGACTTCATAAATATAAAGACGGTAGTAAAAGTTTGACTCTAAGTATTGAACGTTCCTACAGATCTCTAACAAACAAAACATAAAGCGAATCTTACTTGTAACCCCTATAGCCAGGTCGACAATTGCACTCCCCCGTCACCGAATCACAAGTAGAAACCTCTGTACCATTGACACTGCACCGGCACTTGGAGGCACACTGCATTCCATAATAGCCCGTGGGGCACCTCTCCGTGCAGTTCTCCCCAAACCATCCTGGCGCACATGTGCACGTACCGCTCACGTGATCACAAGATGCACTGTTCATACAGTGGCACCTTTGTAGGCAGTTGGGTCCATACCACCCCCTAAGACAGGACTCGACGCAATTCGGACCTCGGAATCCACTTGGACAAGAGCAAGTGCCTTTCACCGGATCACATGACCCCGGACACACACATCTGATTCAGAATAAATTAAAAAAAGAAAAAAATTTCATGTATGGATTGTGCGGAACCTACAAACACGTTACTTCCACACTGCTTTCCAGAATCGAAAAGCATCAAATACCTAGTCACCATCACACTCTCGTTATTAAATTAGACATTAGAAGCACTAAAGCTAACACATCGTGTCCTAACAGCATCGATCGTCCAGAAGTCTCCTAGACGAGAGCTGAGTAACTCTTTTACTTCTTTCCGTAGTCCGTAGACTTCTTTTCGATTCTAAGAATTACCTTTCCGAGCAGTTTGCTCCGAAAAAGCCAACAACGGTGGAAACGTTGAAGCAGGATTGTTGACACGTCAAACCTGTCCAGCCAGGGGAACATCTACATTGTCCTGTTTTATGATCGCAGGCAGCACCATTGCCACAAAGACACCTAAGACCACACCCTGGGCCATGCCATCCACTGGGGCATGGATTGTCGCACAGGTCACCATGGTAACCGGGTGGACATTCACAGGTTCCGTCGTGAGGATTGCAAGTTCCACGAACGCAGGAGCAGGACTGGGTACAATTCATTCCAAATAAACCTTGAGGACAACCTGGTAACAAAGAAATGTCTTTTAACCCCTGGTGTTTCAAAGAGCTAACCCTTAAACTCCCACGATCCAATTGTTAATTCTCCCCTCTAGCTTCTACGCATTTCCTCGCAAATAAGTTATAAGAATTTGGTTTTAGATCAACCTGATAAGTTTGAGTATTCTCATAGCTTTTTTTTCTGGATAGTGTACGGATATCATAAGGAGAAGTTACGTGTTAATCACTTTTGGGAGTTAAAGGGTTAATTGAACATGCTGTAACTATGCAATTAATATCTTGCTTCGCGTTTATGAAAGCTTCCTTGTTCCAAATTAAATGAAATCTGACTGTACGAAAAACTAGCCAAGTTTCGAGAAAAAAATACCTGAGAAATGCCAACCAGCCCTTACGGGTGGATAAAAATGTGCAGCTATAAATCATTCGTTCACAAATGACTACAATTATAAATTGACAGATATCTGTATAGCACCAGGCTTTTGTAGAACCGTAACGTCGATTTACCTCCTATTTAGCTCAACCAAAATCAATAATGACACTAAAACTAAAAGTGATGAACGGCAATACTTAACGTTTTTCACATCGGCTTCCTGTCCACCCAGGTTTGCACAGACACTCCCCAGTCACGTGATGACAAAGTGCACCATCCGCACAGTTGCATTTCCTCTGACAATTCTCACCAAAGTAGCCTGCACTGCAAGGTTCCAAACATGAGCTTCCCTGGTAGCCTGGAAAACAGATGCACTTCCCCAAGGCCTGATCACAGGAACCATTGCTATGGTGACAAGTGGGGCATGGCTGACCACAGCTGGGGCAGGCCTGGTCACATAGCAGCCCCTTCCAACCTCGATTGCAAGTACAGTTTCCAGACATGGGATGACAAGAGCCATTCACACAATAGCAGGACTGGGAACAGTTAGTGCCCCACTGGCCTGCTAAGCACGGGATATTGCAGAGTGGTCCTACGAAGCCTGGTTTGCAGTTGCAGCTGCCAGTGAGGGGGTCACAACCAAGAGATGATGAAGAGGAGCAATTGCATTTGTAGGTGCAGTTCTGACCATAGTGGTCTTGTGGGCAAAGGTGGTCACATTTGGAGCCTGTGTAACCAGGCAGACAGTGACAGTTTCCATTACTCTATTTAACAAAAACAAGATAACTCAATTGTATTATTGATAAACAGGTTGTGTCACTCTCCTACACGTAGCTTCAACTTGATGTGATAAGAAAATAATCAAATTATGTGGCACTTGTAATAACATCTTTATCATTGTGATTTAACTTTTGTAGAAGACCTCTTACCTGATTACACACTCCCTTGGGTCCACATAAACAGGTATTGTTACAAGATCCTCCCCAAGAACCATTGCCACAAGGCACAGTGCAGTCGGAGCCAGTCCAACCAGGATTGCACTGGCAGCCACCTGCATTCTCACATTTGCACTGTCCATTTATGGGATTGCAGAATGCACCATTAACACAGGAGCATGCAATTGTACAGTTTTTACCCCAGTACCCTTGACTACAAGTTTTGTCGCAGAGCAGACCTGAAGAGCCACTTCCACAAATGCAAGATCCTATGATAAGAAGGACAAAAGTTAGAGGTACTGAACCAATACTAAAGCAATCAAAACTGCCAATTAAAACAAAGTGAACATATATCCAAGGCTGTGGATAAGTTTGAAAGAAGAAGGCATACAAGATATAGGTAGTAGGCGCCAGGTTATCAAAGATGCCCTATTGTTGCTTCAGATTACATAAAAGACTAGGAACTATTCTGTCAAAATGTTGCACAAAGTTTGCAAGAACCTCAGAGAAAATGATGACCATGAAATTGATTCACACATCTATACTAGCAGCTGCAAAAGTTTCTCAGATGGTATTTCATTGATCCTATATTTTATAAATACTTCTAGTAAATTGAGGCAAACAAAGGCAACTTCAGTTTAGAGACTAGCAGACCACTGGCTCTTTCTGACCACTTTGGTAAATACAAGTTTACATGAGAATGTATCAAGGTAGTCAAATGTAAGTGACTAATTCATTATCAGTTACATTTTATTGCCTTGTTGGTTGAGAGGTAGCATGAGTAATCAAGACCAACTACAGAACAAAGTAAAGCCTTTCATGTAAACAGCTCTACCTGTTATTGGATCACAAGCTGACCCTTTCTGACACCTGCATTTTTGAGAACAGTTGACACCATAGTATCCTCCTGGGCAAGGCTGATCACACAGTACCCCAGTCCACCCTGCCTGGGTACAATTACAAGTGCCATCCTCACTGGAACAATTTGCATCATGTTGACATTGACAACTGCCACTACAGTTGTAGTCATATGTTCCTACGGGGCAAGGATACTGGCATTTCCTGTTCAAATATTGGCAAACTTGTTAGTCTACATACAGTACGAACTTTTCTTAAGTGTACATGTATGTCCCTCTCTGGGTAATTTTTGTTTATAGTGTACATTCACATCAATCTTGAATTGAAGTGGAACAAATTACTGTTGATCACAGTCAAATACAAAAGAAAACTTCTATGGCACGTTTTGACAAAGTGCAGTTTTCAGCAAAACACAAACAGACATCCTAAGGTTCACTTCTAACTTAACTCATTGTAGACCTGACATAAATTGTTTCTTGGCATGATAATAATGTTCTTCACAATACTATGCTACCTTACTGATACTGACATATCTGGTGGTAATATATGTGCAATAAACCAATATACTGCACTTATCAGCAGTCATACATGTACATACATAAAAAACAGCTTTCACTTACTTGCCAAAATATCCTGGTAAACAGATGCATTCCCCAGTGAACCTGTCACAAAATTTGGCAGACTCTTGACATGAACAGTTTAACGAGCAGTTCTTTCCCCATGTATTCAACGCACAAGGCTTATCACACAATGCCCCTCTCCAACCCACTGTGCAGTCACACACCCCTGTCACAGGATGGCACACTTCACCATTTCTGCACTGACACCGCTGGACACAGTTGTAGCCAAAATAACCAGGGCTGCAGCCCAGTTCACAGTATCTCCCATGATATCCACGTTCACAGCTGCAATGTCCAGTTACTCCATCACATGTGCCATTTTGGCACAAACACTTCTGACTACAGTTGAAGCCATAGTAACCCTCTTCACATGAGTGCTGACAGGTGTCTCCATGGTAACTGGGTTGACAGGTACAATGAAAGGTGTCATTCCCCTCTGAACATTTCCCATCATTCAGGCAAGGATTTGATGAACATCCATAGTGTTGACAGCTGATGCCATGGTAACCATGCAAACAGCCACAAGATTCATTAAACTGATTCACGTTGTTATCTGAGACTAGTCGAAAAAAAACAAACTGTATTAAAACATGCACCATACATTTGTAGCCCACCCATCTCAATCGAGGTGAAAACAATTGGCAGTCTGTTTGGCACATTAGAAATTTTTGTCTAATGGAACAAAACCCTCAAAATGCACTGTGGTATGTTAACAAAAAAACAACATCAATAAGGCAAGAAGTAATTAATCTCAGGTTAGGGATGATCTTAGCAGCACAGTTACCACATGACACACTTACTTCATTTATGACCTCAAACACCCTGAGGTTCATCATCAGTGATTTATGCCAATTTCCCTATAATGTGCGGCACGACAAGGTTTCCCAACCTTCAGCATGGAGAGCACAGTATCATTCCTCTATTTTTATTATTTTAGCGAGTTGTACCTTTTTGTTTGCACTCAGCATTCAGACCACAGTCCCTATCACCCACACATGACCTGCTCATCTTTTCAGCTGGGCCAGGATTGGCACAAACTTCACTACTCAGGTAAATTCCATAGAGTTCAGTTCGCAAACATATCCAGTATGCCCAGTCCCAAGGATATATCCTCACTCCACGAACTGGGCTGGCAAACTCCAAAGTGTGATTAACTATTCTTGACGCATCTGTATTTTGAAAATAATTGACATTGAAAATACCAAATACTAAATAACTAGTCACAAAGGTTTGATGAACTACATGTACAGTACCACTCAGATATACATTAACCAAAAAATGTACATAAAACACACCTAGATTCACATGCAAGTGTATGATGTATGTGAATTTGTACATAAGTACTTGTTGCATTTGGTAGTTCATTGCTGGTTACTCTCTATCATTTTAATCATTACCATTGTTGGCTGTAAATGTCCGCCTGCCGTGGGTATCTCTGTACCAAGTGTATCTGACACCATCCAGGGAAACCTTCATTCTGAAACTAAAAGATTAATAGAGGACAAAGTAATCAAGGAACTGCCACATGTAGAAATTACTTTCATTTACACCATAGAAATTGAAAGCCCAGTCCAGCTTTGGATTGGACAAATTTTTACCCTGTTACATGTATGTAATTCATCAGTCAAATTACAGTCTGGTACTTTTCAGGTCATTTGCAGCATACAAAAACTTAGTCTACAACTTGACCTTGACTGATCTTCCAACAGCTACTAATAATAGAGTTACCTAGCCAATGCCAAGATTACAATTGACTTTGCTACATTGTAGTTACTGTAGCAAGCTTCTCTAAGTATTAGTAACACTCAAACTACACCCTTAATTAAAAGCACATGTAAATATGTACCTTGAAACCCAGTAATTATTTGACTTCTGCAATATATCCTTTCCTCCTTGTACTGATATTCCAGACAGAAGTGCTAACTGAGGCAGTCTAATCTGGAAGTATACATATCCCTTATTGTGGTCTGATGAACACCAAGCATCTGAAACATATAATGACTAAGATGTAATCACATATCTCTACAGATTGAAGTTTTGTATTATTATTGCTGTTAACAATCCCCTGAATGTTTTCAATTCTTTTAAATAATCATTAAAGTTAAAATTTTTAACGCAAGTTAAGCTGAACCAAACAAACTTGATTTTCACGCTAGCCTTGTTTGAAATCATCAACATCATTGCATATACATGTATCCCTAACAAATGAGATACAGATTATTTATATTTTCATTATTATTTTTAAGTCTTAGCCAAGTCTAGGGACATTCCCACTCTGGCTCACACAAAATTAATAGCACTGTGACACTTTTTTCTTTAAAGGAGATAGGTTTCTAAAGAAACTATGGTGCTGCATCGATGAGAGAGTATAACAGGATAATAAAGTATTATCAACTGAGTTGATAATGTAAATTAGCAACCATTAAGAATTTTAAAGCTGACATTTTGAGTGTTAGCCCTTTGTCAGAGCCAACCATTTGGGCTAATGCTTGAAACATCAGCTTTAAAACTCTTTACAGTGGCCAATTTATGTTATCAACTCAGTTAATACTACTTAATTACCCTGTTATTCTTTTTACAATGCTGTCTTGCTCCTCTTTAACCCCCTCACAACGCTGAGGGTCTGAGCTCAGTGGTAGAGCATCAGAGTGTGAAATCTGAAGGTCTGAGGTTCAGAATTTTTTCTTTGTCCCACACTTGTGACAAGACAAAAAAAAAAACCTTTCTCTATTTCTTTACTGCGCTCAAATATTTACCGTCTTTCTATTTCCATTCACAAACGAGGTTATTTAATTATATCTTATTTAAGGAGTGTGATGGAGACATTAACTTTTTGCTCATGGTTTTGGTGTTCCATGAACTTTTCATCAGGATTGTATTCAATTTATTCTCAATCATTTTGACCTTACATTTGTTTTAAACCATATATACAGTAGTTTTTAATGTGTATATTGCTGTTAAATTTTAACCCTAGGCTGAATTCAATTTACTTTGTCTCTTAGCCCACCTGACTATGAGTGATAAAGGAATGACAGAATTGAATTCATTACAAAATAACAAACCTCTTGCATGCAGTCTTCCATATCTTGGTTCAGGGTTATTATTAGGGGGGAACGCAGAAAGAGATGAATCTGGAATATGACGGCTCTGCATTCCTAGGTCAGTCCACATTGTTAGAAAAACTGGGACAAGTGCAAGTTTGGATACACGGAAACCATACTCTACTTGTCTCAAAGACAATTTATGAATACCAGGTCTCAGCTTGAATTGCTAAAAAAAAGGAAATGCAAAAAAAATAACTTAAATGTAAAATGTTGTTATTTCCTGTATTGTGCAAAATAAAAGATCGAACAGAACTGTTCTAAATTAATACCTGAGTGTAAAACTGAGTCCACAAGGAACTGGAACCTTTATATGGCAGTCGCCAGACATACCAATCCCCCTCATCAACTCTAAAGGAGACGTCATTTGTTGCATTTGTTGTGGCAAAGGTTTGTTTCCAAACCACGTAACTGGCCATGGACAATACCTTAAATTCATAAGTGGCTATCAGGTCATATTGTGAACCAGTGGCTCTTACATAGCTTTCTTTGCCATCATGTTCAACACTGTAGGCAGGACCTCACAAAAAAAGAAAAAAAAAGGAAATCACAATGAAACTTGCATGACTCTCATGAAGAATAGTGTACTATTTGATCAGCTGAATTGCATGTGCATTTGATTGGTTCTTGCTCATCATCTATTGGAGGGTAGACGCAAAGGCCATGTCACCATTAACAACATTTTGCTTATTTTCAATATAAAACAAATAGATTTCATGTTACCATGGATCTGTACAGTCTGTAATAGAACACAGAAGAAGTTGGAATGTCGTAAGGACATCAGTGACACAATCCACTACACTTCAAGTGCCATTTTTTTGTTTTTACCACATTTTTTAGTCATCTGTGATCTATCGCTGAACAGATGCACATCTATTTCAACTGATACTTAGTAAGTAAAGCATTTGGAAAAAAGAGACTGACAGTAGCTAAGAGCTTTTGTATCATGGAAATAAGTTTTGCCTTTCCTATGAAACATTTTGCTTACCAATGCCTTTTCTCTGGTGAAAGTGTGTTGGCAGGTTGAACAAGAAACAAAAAAACAAAAATAGAAAAGAAAGGGAAGAAAATAAAGAGAATAAATGAAAAGAACTAAAAAGAAAAGAAAGGGAAATAATAGAAAAGGGAAAAAATAAACAATAAGAAAAGAAAAGAGAGGAAAGGATAGAAAATTGACTGAAGGAGTGGGCAGTGGAGGTGCATGTAAAAATCTAAAGTGCAAACTTCATCTAAGAGACCAGAACAGTTTTTACATATTAACATATCTGACTGCCATTTCACCAATACCTGTAGATGAAGGCATATCAGCTCTCATTTCACAACCAGACAACACTGGCCATTTGTTAGTGCAAGACTCCACTGGCAAAACGTCCTGTTTAGTCTCGCAATCTAACCTAATGTCATCAATAGCTGCATTAGCAGCTGGACATTGTTTATTTTTGCAAATAGTACACTGCAGTGCTTTATCTGATCCACAGTTGCTCTCTGGCAATGTATGTATAAAACGAATTTGGTAAATTTTGCTAAATTCTGCAAGATGTACAAATGCAGCCCTCCAGAAAATGTCCCCTTGATCGCCTGTCATGTTCCAAACTGCAAAATAAACAAATTAAAATTATTATGTAACCATACCTCCTGTTTACATACATATGGTAAATCTGGAGAAGACAGCTTTCAATTTTAAATCAGCAATTTATTCCATATAATTTAAATCAGGCAAGTGGTTACACACATGTTCTGGCAAATTAACCCCTGTGGTGGTCATGTTCAATTACAGATAATTAGCCCCTATCATAACACTTAAACCTTAAAAACTTGTACCACATAATAGCTTTCTTACAATCACATTCTTAGTAAAAAATGTTTGTACTTGATTATATTTTTGTTGCAGTTGTTTGATACCGATACTGCATTTTCTTCCCTCAACTTATTAAGGCTGCTAGTACAGTATTCCTGACCTATGTTTATTAAATTATGTCCAAAATGTATTCTGTGAGTGTAGAAACACCTGGAATAAAATCAAAGTTGGTTTTGGGTTTGGGTTTGATTGGAGTAAAAAATCTGTTCACTATCACATTAAATCTGAGAGGTCCAGTAACAACTTTGTTTCAACCCAAAATGGTTGGTTGGGTGTTCTCTTAGGAGAATTCAACTTGGTTTTCTAACATCACCCCAGTTTTCACGAAGACCATAAATTGAGAAATTGAAACAATTGAAATCCTATCATTATTCATTTTATGAGAGAGTGATCTGAGTATTTACACTCACCTGATTCTGACCATTTAGGATAAACGGTCAAAAGAGGATCTTTGGTATTAACATGCACAGCAAGTGTGCCTACATCACTTCCATACATGTTCCAGAAGAATCGCAAGTAACAATTGCCAGCACCACCAATATTTGGACTTGTTAAGAAAGCTAGAGCAAGAAAACAAAGAACCACAATTATTGATAACATCTTCTTTTAAGGGTACAGTATATGGAAGAATACAAAAGCTGTAATGTTTTCACTTGAACTTCCTTCATTCATTTTTCTTCACCCCTTGTGATTGTTTTTTGCTACTTTTAGAAAATACGATAATGTACCTTGATCAGACACTCTAGCATTTGTAGTATTGGTGTATATGTAGAAAGAGCCTTTAGGATGTCCCCACAAAGGTCCTGTGTTTGAGGCAGGAGTAGAGGTATTAGTTCTGATCCATTTTAGTTTAGCACCACCCCCAATCGCTGAAGTCCACCCACACATTCCATTCTCAAAATCACAAGATGAAGGGAACACAGGTTTTTTAACTGTGACCTGGCAACCTGCAAAAATAGATGAAATGAGAAAACACATTCAAAGCATCAGCATTAGTACTTATCCTAAATTTTGCCATTTAAAATTAGCCAACAGAAGTCTTTACACAAACCCACATTGTCAATGCTTGAAGCAGCTTTTAAAGTGTTACCAAATAGAAGAATATCTTAAGCTACTTCTTCTAGATGGGGTGCTGGTGCAATGCAGGTTATTGTCCTAAAATGTAATCAGATTTAATTCCCAGCCTATTTGCAGGCAGTCTAACAACCTCTTAGGTGGGGAAAGACACTGTAAGACACCTCCATTCCTTTGACTCAGAATCAAGTGTATTTTAAGTTACCATATGGTTACCAATTATCCCACAAACAAACTTTGGATAAATGCTTCCCAGTGGACGTGGCCTTTACCAATTTTCAGTTGAGTATGGAAAGTAACACAAGATTCCATTGCTTTGCTTTCTGATTGGTCTAGTAATATTGCATCACCCAACCAACCAATCAGATACAAGATTAAACTCAATTGCAACTTACTCACTTAATCTTTCCCACACTTAAAGCAATCTGCTTATTTTTACCTCAAATTCTCCTTGGCAATCCTTTCCTTTCCTTAGATTGACTGTTGTGATAACTTATTGTATATTTTGGTCACACGACACTCAATTGAAAGCATCCTAGGAAAGGGTTTTATTCATGTAAAACTGAGAGTGGCCCCCTCCAACAAACAATTGGTAAAGTTATATAGCCATGATTAGCACCAATATTTTTTGATACATATTTCTTAACATACAGAAGTATATGTTTACATTCATTCTAAATGCCTTCAATATTCATATCAGTCAGGAGAGAACTTAAAAGTATCAGTTACAGTAGTTTAAATCTTACAGCAAGGAAAGATTTCCATACAATTCAAAAGCAAAAACCCTAGTCCTTATTTGTTTGCTATTGTTTTATCAAAGAACTGTATGCATAATTAATTATAAAGTCGCACAGAAATCTTTCCCAGAACAATATTCACCTGTTAATGTTCTCTTCTGTGTTCCACTATTACAAATACTAGAACACTGTGACCAGGACGATAGAGTCTTGTAGGAGTCATAAAGAGCTGTAATACAATGGTCACCCTCAAATATTACTTGAGATGAAATGTTGCATTTGCTGGCATATAAAACAACTCTGATTTCAACGTTGACAAATCCACCTTTTTGACTATTGGAGCCATATCCCCAACCTTCCTTCACAAGAATAGGATACCCCTTCTTTGACTCGTCGTGTTTGCTTGGTGCCCAAATTCGGACCTTGTTCTCATCATAGGCAAAAACCACTCCACCATATTCATTAAAACCATCATCGTCTGACTGTGTTGCACCTTGCGCCTCAAATACATAGCCAATATTCATATCGTTTAATGCTTTAATTTGCACAATGGCAAGAGATGGTAATATTTTCAAACCATGATAAATTTCTGCAAATGAATGTTGATCTCTCTGACCTCTAAGGCCAAACCAATCTGACTGAAAAGTTGGGACGGGAAGCTGATTTGCCCAAAGCAAAATCTCCACCTTACATTTTTTAACTCTTTGTGAATTGAATCCCCCTGCCCATTCTTCACCGATAGAAATGCATCCAGTGGTTTGGTTAAGTCCATCAGGAGCCCATAAACGAACCCATCTTTCATTATAAGCGAATATTACCCCGCCAAAGTTGTTACTTGGATCAGGATTTTGGGATGAAGCGATTCCATGGAACCAAAATCCTTTATTTGGGTTTCTTTCCGCATCACTTGTCTCAAGGGGCGACAATCTGACAACAACTCTTTCCGGTAACTGTCTCAATTCATGATCTATTAGTAGGTACGCCTTGTTTGGTTCTTTCGTCCGTGTGTCAATAATGTGTTCAATTTGAAATGTAGGCAACGGTCCGTCCTTCCATACTTCGACAACAACTTCGGCTTCGTTCGACAGTTGGGTGTTCACTTCACCTCCCCATCCGTCTTTCACGAACACCACATGGCCTTTAAGATCTGACGGAGCCCATATGCGAACGAAATCTGAGTTGTACGCAAATATCAAGCCTCCAAAAGAGCTTCTTGACGGAGAAGACTGACTGGAGCCTATTCCGTTAAAGCAAAAACCACTGTTGTTCCCGTCTGTGGGCCTTGCAAAGACTCGCACATAAAATGGATCCGAATTTAGCCCATGACGAATCTCCTTGTATGAACCAGAGCCCTGGTTTGACTTAAGGGTAAAATTGGTTCGAAAGTCCGGTTTTGGAAACGTGCCCAGTCTTGCTCCATTCAATAAATTTTCCCCCAGCAGTTCTGGAACTTGAATGACTGTCAACAATGTCACAACAACCAGCAACCACCGCAAAATTCGATTTTCATGCGTAAAAGAACGCATCAAGGCCTGTTAGACTTAAGAAAATACAAGATGAACTTATTCAATAAGAACATGTTAAAGCTCTAATTACACTGGCATGCCTCCAGTTTAAAGATAAAATGCAATACTGGCACGCTAGAAACACGAGGTCAATATTTCTCTCAAGCTGGCAATGTTTTGAAAATGCTTTAAGCTTGGTAGCCACGCCGCACTCGTATAAAAATTTTTATGTCACGAAGACCTTACGAACATTCCACGAAGATTATCGTTTAGCATTTAAGGTTTAATCAGTTTGAAGCATGGCGAGGGGCGAGGTGCTTGCTATTGAATTGAGTGAAATGACTTCGAAAAGGTATGAAAAAAAATTAGAAGTACGTTTCAACACTATGAGACTATATTTATGATTGATTTGTCAATTGATGCCTCGAAAATCGCGTCTCATCATTTAGCTACTTCGGTAAAAACTACGGATGTAAGAAACTTCTTTTGTTGGAGCGACAGTGAGCTTATTTCAATAGACCCACATTTATTCGGTAAAATTTCCGCACAGCCCCATCCTACATTATGCATTCAGTTCTAGAACAGAGAAAACAGTGACAAAAACAATACATTTCCATCGGGAAAACAGATTTGTTTTACAACAGTATGGGGCTGTGCGGAAACTTTACCTTCGTTTGTTTCATTCGATATTTCCCGATATTCGTTGTAGAAACTTGAAGCACCGAGCCATTATTGTTCAGTTTTATTGTTTGCTTATTGGAATGAAACGTCTGATGTCTCAGCTTAATTTTAAAGAAGCTATTTCACGTTGCGAGTTAGCACGTAGAGTTCATCCGGGGTAATGAAGGTGTATTAAAATGCATTTCGTCATACAGAGGGAAATAATGCCATCTTTACGATGAAAAGAAAAATTACCAGTTTATCAAATCGCTGTTGTTCCCAATCTTAAAGGCCAACAATCTCGAGTTACTTTTTTGTCATGCACTGCTGTATATGATGCTAGGTACTGTAATTACAATTTTAACTTGTTGAAAATTTGTGTTCTGGTGGTGTCCTGAGAATCTCAATCAATTCCAGGGCTTTATCTCTCAACAAAAACAGAACCTGAAGATTATACGAAGCCCATCAGAAGCATCAAATGAGAAAAGAAGCTAAATCTTACATTTTCATCAAATTTAAAGAACACAAACATATATAACTGTATTGCATAGAGGACAGTTTCATTCATAAATATCCTAAAAATAAATTTAAAAATTCAGAATACAAATTAAAGTAAAAATCTTTTACAAGAAAGCCACCTTAGGAGTTTGATACCATCAACAAATTTCTTTCTGGACAATCCAAAAAAGATAAAACTGGGCAAGGTCCATTCAGAGGAAAAACACATTGGTATTGAGGTGAAAAACAGTGTATTTCAATAAAATTTGCCTTTTTAGTTTGTCAAGTGGTAAAATGAGACAGATGGAAAATAGCTGATAGTAATTTGCATCATTTCATTACCAATGAATTGAGGAATATTATATAACAAAGAAGCCAAGAGTGGTTGTGAAGAATCCTAAAACTGACCAATGCATCCTTGAATCAAGTAAAGATGTGTATAGGAAAAATTCCTCCTTTCAGAATTTGTTTTTGAAATATTTTTTCTGAACCTTTCGTTCTATGCAAAAAGAAAACTCTTCTGAAGCAGGCATCTGAAATCCTCCTTTATACTCTTAAGCTTGCACAACCAAACAAAGACTTGGAGACTTAAAACTGTAGAATCAAAGTATCCGTAAGATATTCACAGCATCACAAAGTGAGTCAAATGTTATACCTCCTGACATTTGCAACATTTTAGGATTAAATGGATTGCTTGAAACCTGATGGGAATGACTGCCAATGATCCATTGGTGTTGCTAGAAGTTTCTCAATTTTTACTGCACTTGCACAAGTAGTGAGATAGCTCCTTTAAAATTAGGATCCTTTCTATGAATACAGAAATCATACTCAGTGTCTTCAAGAGGTTCAAACCTCAATGAGTGCTGTTACCATCTAGATTTAAAGTTAAACCTTTTACTACTGCAATAGTTTGTTGCATTAAGTTTCTAGATCATTATTCATCCAACTGCTAAAAACTGATAGAGTAACAAGCTATTGAAAAGGAAAAAGTTCAAATATTTTACTTATGGGGTGCATTTAGTATAGAATGTATGGAAAATTTTTTAGGGCCACATTGAATCCAGGAAGTTTTAACTCATCAATATGCATGCAAAGTTTCTTCATTTGATTCTGTTTTTGATTGCTGTGATACAAGAATTTTTGGAATGAAATTTTATTTTTCTTAGTTGTTGATATGAGCGGAGGGCTAGCACCAAGCAAATCTACAGTATATGTTGGAAACTTACCTTATTCCCTCACAAACAATGACTTGCACAAGGTAATCATTTACAGCTTGGACCAAACATTTGAATAATGATAATACTAATAATAATAATAATAATAATAATAATAATATTTATATAGGATAACCCTTTCAGCGTAATAAGCGCTGGTATCAAAGGAGGTCCCATCATTAGAGTACATGAGTAAAAGTACAAAAGGTCTAAAATGGTAAAAATTCACTAAGAATTTTCACCTGGCTTAAAATATATAAAAAGAAGTATACATCTACGTATAAAACTTATCATCTAATAATTAAGGAAAAGGTCTCTAGTCTCACTTGAGAATTCTGTGAAGGATTCCTCTGATTTGATATGTCGAGGGAGACTGTTAAATTCTATCACACCAGTAAAATGAAAAGATCTTTTGGCAACCTCTAGGTTGACTTTTGGAACACAAATGTGTTTTTTGTTTCATTTTTTATTGTTTCATTGGAATATGATTGTTCCTTTTTAAAATTAGAATTAAAAAGTTGTTATTTTAGGTGGTGTGATCATCAAGGTGAGGGTGGCTGTTGGTTTGAATGATGTTTTGACAACCTATGGAAATAGTTATTACTTAATCAGATTTACATGAAAAGTGTAAGGTCTGCAGAATGTTCTAAGCCTTTTCTCTTCAATTGTGAACAAGACTTTCAACATTCAACTTAATAAACAACTTTAAATGATTGTTAATGATTAAAGGGATGCATGGCTGGGTAACATGACGGAGCTGAATAAAGTTTGGGCATGTGCCAGGCTTTGGCGCAGAAAATGGATTTTGAGTCGTTTGCATTTTAGATTTTCTATTCTGTTGCTTCTAGGCATTGTTTCCCTTGTGACTTTTCTTTTACAGAACAACTTCCAAAAAACTTTGTACACCCCCTAAATATTTCCAAAATTAATTTTCTCCTTAAAAACACCAGAAAGAGGAAAATGCCCTTAACAACAACATAATACTTCTGTTTTAAATGCCAGCCCTATTTTTCTCCACAAATTTTGCCAAATTTTTAACTTTGAGTGCATATTATTGTCCACGTAGCTGTGAGGTAGCATTTCATTATTCAGCTCTGTCAGATAACATACACATTGTAAGTTGGCCAGGCTAGAACTTCAAATTCTGCCATTGGACAGATTTCATAGGAGGACAAGTATGTAGATGAGGTTACCATCAGCAACTGAAATTTTATCTTTCTAGCCTCTTTATCATTTAACACAAATTGATTCCATGTTTCCATGGGTCTGTACAGTGATAGATTATGGAAGACATCAGTATTCATTAAGAAAATAAATGACACACTCTGCTGTAGCTTGTGGGCCACTTTTTTGTTCTTACCAGATTTTCATGTCATCTGTGATCTATTGTTGAACAAACTTACAGCAACATGAAATTTGTTTGTCAATTTGATCAATTGGTTTGCTCTTCTTGGATTTTTAAGGCTCACTTCCCTGACAAAACCATTCATACAATGTACTTGTTGCTTAAAGTTTCTGAAGTAGTTCTGACAATACTTTATTTTGAATGATTTTGTCTTGTTACCAGATATTTGAGAAGTATGGAAAAGTTGTGAAGTAAGTATTTAGATCTGCATGACTACAATTTATAAAATCATTAATACTGATTGAAAAAAATGAGTACTCTTTAAAGATAGTTTGTAGAATTTTGGCTTCATCCTTTGAATGCTGATTACTGTACATATGATACAAAAAGTTACATTTTTATTGTGGATTTTTTTGAAGGGTGACAATTCTTAGAGACAAGGAGACAAGAGAGAGCAAAGGAGTGGCATTTGTGTTGTTCTTGGATCGGCAGACAGCACACAAGGCAGTGGCAGCAGTCAACAAGAAACAGGTACATTATCAGCTACATGTAATTAACCCATTGCACCCTAACAACAGTATGCATATTCTCCATGTGGTTCTCTATACATTTCCTTAGGCACTGAAAGTGAGAATTTGGTTTACAATCACAAGCTTCTTTAGTTTGTGATCATTTCCTTTATTCTCATGACCTTCATGTTGGATTCAGGTGATATTGTATGGAGAAATGTGATGTTAGTCTCTCTAAGGCTGAGGTTGGAATACAAATTGTTTATGTCTCACTGCCAGCTTATTACTTTATCAAGTGCAAAGCTAGTAGTAAGACCCTTTACATGTACATCATAAGAGCTGTTCACTTGTTTGTGTCATTGTGAATGGTCACTTTCTGATAAAAATTTAAGTGCACTGATGTAGAGATCTACATACTTTAGTTTTTCATTTGTTGTACAGTAAACAAGAAGATTGGGTGGTGTTTGCACCTGTTATCAAAACTGCTATTTTCTGACATTGTTGTTTGAGTTTTTAATGTATGTAAGAGAATGGTTTTCTTCTGCAGATGTTTGGTCGCACAATAAAATGCTCCATCGCAAATGACAATGGACGGGCCACAGAGTTCATTAGAAGAAAGAACTACCCAGACAAGTCACACTGCTATGAATGTGGGGTGAGGTTACTTTTGCAACAATAAAAACAATTCTGAATATCTTTTAGAAGATTTTGATGATGATGAATTAGGGCAGCCTTGATGGCTTACTTTAGGATGCAGAAGTGATGGAAAACTGTATTTAGGCAACTTGTCACAGGCAATCAAGAGAGTACTTATTTTAACTTTAAAACATCCTCTAATTTTTAAGAATGAAGATATCCTTTTTCACCATGATCATTTTTGTAAAATGTGGTAAACATTTCAGACATTTCTTAATCATTCAACTGAAAAAAATGGTTGAATTCTGTAGTTGTTGGTGTTTGCAAACTGTATGAACTTAGGGCTTTTGTGCCGTACCAAACCAAATCTTGGATGCGACACAGGAATTTCTCTGTAGTATTTCTTTCCATGTCAGGTCCCAACTTGAAAATTGTTTTCAGGTTAGGAGCCTGGTATAGAAAGAGATGCATCTTGCTCAATTTGTACTGCTCTGAAACCACTACAAATCTCCCTTGGGTATTGATGATAGAGATGGCATCTATAAGAGATAGGTGTTGCATAGATAAATTTCTGATAGATTGTATGTATTAGTGAATGTGGTGAAAATGTGCAAACGTTTATTTATCATACAATAGACAATAATGGCTGAATTCTTTAGTTGTGATGATTGTAGGTATCTGTGAACTGCATGAGCTGAGTGCTTTTGCACAGTGCAAAACTAAAACAGCTGTGAAAATTTAGGACTTGAACTATGGATGTCTTTGTGTTATTTCTTCATATGCCAGGTCCTAGCTTGAAAATTGTGTTCAGGTTAGGAGCATGGTATAGAAAGAGATGCACCTTGTTCAATTTATTTGATACTGCACTTGCACCATTTCATTTATTCCCATGAATATTGATGGAGAGATAGCTTATAATTAAATGTAACCCAGACAGATTTCTGAAATATTCTTTGTATCTCTCAATTGTGGTGATAATGTTTAATTATTTTTTTTTCCTTAAAATAGAAAATAATTGCTTAAAGGTTTTTTTGCTCTTTTCAAAACTATAACATCTGAAATTTAGGACGTGACTAAGGAATTTCTCTGTGGTCTTCTTTCTATGCCAGGTCCTAACTTGAAAATTATTTTCAGGTTATGAGCGTGGTATGAAAAGAGATGCACATTAATTGATGTATACTGCACTTGAACTAATGCGTTTTCCCCTAAAATATTGATGATAGACATAGCATGTAGAAATCTTTGCGCGGATGTCTCTTTAAAACATGTACCTCCGTACATGTAACAGCCGAATGTGCTGAAATTATTCAAATATTTCTCACCAAACCCGAGACAACAGTTGAAATTTTTAGTTGTTGTTGTTCGCGAACTGTGATAACTGAGCGCTTTTGCTGGGTGTGAAACTAGAAAATCTTTGCAATTCTAGGACTCGATGCAAGTTGGAAATTACTTTCAAAGAACATGCCCCAGCCAGAGATTGGTTCTTCGACGCTTACAACAAACTAATTGAACAATCAGCACTATCTCTGTAAATGTAACATCTTGTATTGCCCTTGAATCTTGAATTTATGGGTTAAAGAAAAGATTGTTATCAGGAAAGAGTATCGTTCGGCTTCATATGGCAGGGTTTAGTATTGTACACAGCCGAGTTATATCAGTGCTTTTACAGGTAAATCACATCGATAGCGCGCTTTGTTCCAGCAATTTTACATTAAAACAAAGTTCTCAAACGTAAGTGAAGGCGCATGAGGGAATGAAGTCGGTGTGTTATTACCTACGATCTTTGAAAATGGAAACACTATAAAAGTTATGTCATAGTAAGGCGTTAACAAACTAGTGTGTAAATGACATGTATATCTTTAATCTTGCTGATGAAAGGCTTTGCACGATATTCTTAGTTTTAGCCGATTACAGAGCAAAGCTGAATATTTGCTAAGACCGAAAAAAATGGCTCAAGGGAAAGAGATCAATGGAAAAGAATGTTGGCTTCTATTTCACCAAATAAAGATTTACCGATTCATCAAGATTTAGATGACTCAAGTGCAATTCATAAGCCTTTTGTTTGCTCTCATTTCTTACAGTTACATATTCACACCATTATCTTGGATATTGCCTCTATGGTCGCGATTCGATACGGGTGACTGATCTTCACGAAATGAAGCTAGCTCCGGAGGTTTTCGTGAAAACTAAAAAAGGAGAGAAGCGGGAGAATTTTTACGTCTTTCTTAAAGTTTCTCTTCTCCTAGTCACCCTAGCGTGGACGGTAAAAGGGGATCCTTTATCAACTTTGTCTCCAGGAGTTTCTTGAGTTTTCGTGGAGATTTTCTTTTATTCATGCTAGTTTACAACTACGAGTAATCCACTAACTTCTTTAACGATCTGGTGTTCCTTTCTTTAAACAGGAATATGGACATTTAAGTTACCAGTGTCCAAAAAACATGCTCGGAGATAGAGAGCCTCCCCTAAAAAAGCAAAAGAAGAGGAAGAAGCAAGAGTAGGCTGATCACTTTTTCAGTTTTGAGTAGAGAGTTTACCTGTAGTGCACCTACGTTGGACTAAGAAAAATCTTAGTCTCCCTAGGGATTCGAACCACCGACAATTTCGCGGTCGAATGCTCTACTATAGAGCCGCAGAGAACTCGATAGGCTTTCTAGTCTCTCAGTCAGTAGACACCAGCCAAAAGTGGGTGTGCGGAAATTGAGTTCGCGAAATGAGAGCGTGGATCCCGCAACTGCTTAGCATTTTTGCCAGATTTTCGCGTCTCCACTTACTGAGAGTTGCACAGGCTGGCTCACATGTGTCAAGCTCCAAATGTACCATCTTTCCCAATACATTTACACACAAAGCTTTAGTCAAACGTGACCCTAGCAAGACGTGAGCAGGACTCTCAACACCTCAAGTTATACGTTTAATTTTTTGATGTGTAGTTCTAACTTTCTGTAGGTCGTCCAGACGACTCCAACAGCGTTTGGTTCTGTTCTGCTAAAATTTGATGATCAAAATTGTAATTGTATTTTATTTATAGCGATGACTATGAAGAAGATGAAGACGAGGAAGAAGAAGAAGAAGATGCTGGTGAAGACCCCTACGAGTTCAGCTTGAGTGCTGTTATCGACGAGTGCGCTAGAATGGCTTCTAAAGATGAACCATCCAATCAGAGTAGTACTTCTACCGGAGGCGGCAGCGCTAAAAAGCGCAAAATTGTACAGAGTTCTTATTTCAGTGACGAAGAGGACGAGGATTAGAAACAACCTTCTCCTTACTTCCTCACAAATCATTACTTCAGACTAAAGAGAAACTCAAGATGTCGAATTGGAAGCAAGAAGGTTATTCTACGCCAACGCTACTAAGGAGTGATGGACATCTTCCTGTGGTCACCTGTAATACTAGAGGAATCCCGCCATGTTAACAGCGCGTGCAACACCGAGTGAGATGTGTCGCCAAGAAGCACTGACCCTTTCTCAGAGTACACTCGGACAGCGGAGTCACAGAAAGACTGAGCAAGGACTGCTCGCAAAGTAGTGAACATGTATCGTCATAGTTTTTCGATGCTCGAACCAATCTAAACTTATGTTCATCCTTTTTATTGCTCATCACGATTACCACAATGAGCCTTCTCTGCTTAATAATACTTTCATAAGTTTTCGCCTTGAATTCAATTTTACAACACTGTTGGATACCTAAAGGTATTTACAACTAAGTGTTGCTTGTCAGTGCATTCTTTCATTATTAAAATGTTTTTATTGCTCTTCAGGCGTCGAGCACAAGAAATAAATTAAACTGCAATAAACTGTTTAACTGAAATAACTGGTTATTTCATGCGTTGTAAAAATTGTTTAAAGGCCGTGAACACTCAGTGAGGGAGAGGATTTGAAAGTAGGGAGATCCCCTATCTGATAAGAATTTTAAGTGCATAGAAATATGCTTAGCAGAATACTAAAAGCTGAATAGAGCGATTTAGAAACATGTTCTGTGTGCTTTTGGTGATGTGATCAGTCTTCAGAATTTTCTCCTTTAGAAGCTAGGGAGCAGACGTAACACGGTTTTTCTCGGCCCGCGGGAAGATTGGAGACGAGTCGGGGGGAGGTTTGTCGTGGACCTGGCACTAATAATCAATACAAGACCGTTTGTAAACCTCGAGCCGGCTCGCTTTGCTTTTCCCGCGGGCGAGGAATAGCTCGTACCAAAGCAGTATTATTTTGGGCCTGCACGCAGGCTACCACTCCTGGTGAATGAGAGTAACCAACCGATCGATATATTATTTGTTGAACATCGTGTTAAAACTAACATCAGAAGCTCAAATACTTCCATCGTCATTTTAAGTAGGCAAGAAGTTTCAACGCACTAATCTCCGTCCTATCAGGTGCCCAGCAACGTCTCTGTCACCCCCCCACCCCCCCCCCCCACCCCCTACATACGAAGAGACATTGATGAAGATGGCTGGTTTCACAATAGCGGCTTACATGAATACAGGAATATACCATAAATTTTTTTATAATTACGAATTTTAGTTATTATTAAAGTTATCATAATTTCAGACGGGGGGGGGGGCTTTATTTGCCCCCCCCTACCAGCCACTGCAGCGCTTGGGCATAATGAAAATCTTAGTCTGAGGTTTTCGTTGGCATGTGTCATTTTTCTCCATCCATGATCATCCTTGTTAATTATCAGTTTTATGGTTTGTTTGTTTTTTGCATTCACCCAATTCCTTATCTTCAAATCCGCGAGCTATGACATGCAATATAAACCCAGGAGACAAGAGATAATAATCTCAAGCCAAGAGATCATGATCTCATTATAACACTTAATAGATGGTTTAACATGCGCTATGGTATACTCTGTAGTCTCTAAGCAGGCACTCAGCGGCAAACAAAGTAAACCGATAGTAACAATATAATCTTTCCCTAACTTGCTTAGCTGATGTTTGTTTAGGCACTTGTTGGAAATTAAGATAGTAGAGCTGAAAGATTCTCCGTACTTTGATTAACTCCCTCCAAGGGCAATTTATCCTTGGTTTTAGATTGCGGTCTGTATGGCCAATAAACGGTCTTTTCGCACGCTTCCTTCCGCTCAGTATAAATTAACGCTAATCATTCTTACTCGTTGATCTATCAGAGGTTACGTCAAATATTTCCTTCAAGTCTAGAATGTCAGATGTCGAGTTCCTCTTGTGCGATCTTAAATACCGACAGCCATGCATCTGATCCTCCCACGACAAAGTCGTGTTCTTCACTTCATTATCGTCTTGAGTTCTACTCAGACTGGACTTATCGTCACCCACTCGTTTTCCTTCGCCATGAAATAACTTGTCATGTTTCGTCATTTTCTTCAAGTCCGTCTTTCTTTGTCTGTCCCCAGACATATGACCCACGGGAAGGGTCGTGCTTCGTTGACGCTGCCGTGTTAATGTCGGCCTTTCGTGGTTACTCTCGGCGTTTCGTCGAACACGAGTCGGGAAGCCATGTTCTGATAGCGGTGGAAGAGGACTCCGACCTAATTTCGGAGATCTCTGTTTCGAAATCGCCGTTGATTCCTCAATTATGCTCGGTAACTGAAGAAAATTTTGTTTCTTAGCGTTGTCCATGAGCGCACCCTGAACCTTTTTCTCTACAGTTTGGCATTCCTCCTCGGCAGTGAAAGTACAATGCGGAACGTCTTCGGGTCCGCTGTCACCATCGCTATCTGAAGAAGATTCTTCTCCAGAGCGTTGTAAATTGTAATGAATCGTTCTCCAAGTGTACCTCTCATTCAAGAGTTTCGAGATATTCGTGTAGTGTTCCTTGTCTAAGCGGCGAAGTTTCTCACTAAGCTCAGCGTTTGATTTTTGTCGAACTGCCTTGTACGTCTTCGTACTTTGTCGCGATAGTCCCTGGTCTTGGCTCGTGCAATATTTCCGTGTCGACATTTCTTCTTCGTACAATAAATCACCCTAAACTGAGATCATCCAATCCAGAATATAGTTTTGTGTCCTCACGAGTCTAAAGTTCTAACATTCCGTACAACGTAATATTTGTAAACAAAGAAAAAGTACCAAAAGTTGCTTTTCGGACTCGTTGTTTTTTTCCTCTCCTCTTCGAAATAAAGGTATTATTGTTTCATAAAGGTAAGTCCTTTTGAACAGCGTCGACCTTGTACTCAAACAGAAGCGGAGTTGTTATCATCAATTTCGCCACGCTGCGTAATTCAAGAAAGCACCTCAACGACTGCGACTCGTTCAAGTTTTGACGCCTTGAGTTGTTGAGCAAAAACAGACCAATCGTGTCAAGTAGAATTGTTTAACCATATGAACCACGATCCTCCTTACGAAGAACTACTGCAGGGAATTATGCTCTCTAAATTTGTAACTCGAAAAGGTCTAAAATGCATTGAAAACCATTTTCAAATTCTACAGCTTCCCCTTCTCCCGAAACGCCGCCAAGAAATAGTTTTAGGTGATTAGAAATTCGATGACAGATTACGATCAAGTGAAACATGAACCTAGAAAAAGTACGTCGGCTTCGTAAAGAATTATCAAAGGGATATTATTATGAGTTCGGAGATTATTCTGCACAGTTATGTCTGTCATGTCGTAATTTATAGAATGTTATTCTTTAAATTACGACACGACTGCCACGGCAGTCGTCCCGTGTGAAATTTAATGGTAAAAAAGATTCGGAGATGAGGAGAGAACTTTCATCGGCCTCCTGAGTGATAAACATTTTCAGTGACCCCCTCTGAAAGAAGAATCTTTCACGCTATACACAAGAACTCACGAAAAATATTTTGGTTCTTGCACTTCGATCTTTGAGACTCTGGCCAATTTCTGGCCGACTATCGCTACCTCGAGGGCTCGAAGGTCTGCAATTTAGAAATGCTTTCGAAACAAACACCGATAAAGAGCACTCCTAAGCTCTATAGAAATTTAAGGGACAAATCATATCCAGCTACATCACGTGCAATTCAGGGGGTCTGCGTTTCGTGATGTGCGCGCTCGCCGATTAGACGTGTACACACCCCCAGTCACGCATATCAAAGCTTCATTAACACTTATCAAAGAAAAGAAGAGTCCCTCAGAAATAGAGCGTCTACCCATTAGAAGCAAAATATGATACACTGTCCAGATGGAGAATTGCTAAAGAACACTTAACCGTTCTTAGTTCATTGTGTCAGCACAGGGGCCTTGTACACGGAACCGACATGAAAAGGCGTATTAAGGTTTTTTTCACCAGCATGATTGGGTTTTGATTTTGATGAGTGCCTTGTTTCATATCAAGCGCTTCTTCCGGAAGTCACCGGAAACCGCATTCAAGATTCGCGGAAGGGGTCTTAATCAAAACAGATCGAGTAACCGTTCCCTATGTTGCTACATGACACCTCATAAGAACAAATTGAAATAAACTTGGAAAATGTCTGGCAAGTTGATCACGTTTAGTAGGAGCCGTAATCGAATATGAGGACCGTAATAATTTTAATCACTTTTATTATCTTTCAATACCCTTCGACGAGGGGCTAATGGTCGAAACGCCAGCTTTACTAACTCTTTCCGGAGGCCAATTTACATCATCAACTCGCTCAGATAAAACCAAATTATCATGTTATACTCCCCATCGAAGAAACACTATACGGTTACTCTAAAAACTTACCCCCTTTATCTGTTAGTACATGTAAGTAAGTTTCGAGCAGCTTTTAGCCAAAATTGAGTCATCCCTTCCCAACGAAACGCGCGTAAAACGCAGTCGCATTTGATTTTGAATAAATTCAAAATTTCTCTATATTCCAAAAAGAAAATAAAAAATGATTAAAAAAAAAGGCTTGCATTTTGGTTGTCGGGTGCATTACTGAGAGAGCAAAAAACTTATTTCTGAGATGCCGTTGGTTTTTCTGCTGTTAGTTGATGTGGAGGCAGTAATGCACTAAAGGCGCCAACATCTATCTGTAGACTCGTAAGTATTTTTCTTTTGGTTTAGTCGTCAAAGTTGCGTCCTAAAAAGGCATCTCAGTGATAGCTACTTTGTGTGGTGACCTCCGTGGTTAGGCTAACCTGGCTGGTGTGGGCATTTATGAAGCCAAGCTAATTGTTTTTAATTTATTGCAGTTTGTTCTATCATGCTGATGATTATCAAGTTACTTTGTAACGTGTTAATTTACACGTGATGAAAAGTTATTGATACTGTCGTGGGTCCTTAGGCATATGGAGTACAAGTTTTTGTCCTTTCACCAATGATTGTCTTTTGGAGGCAAATTATTGAATAGACACTAAGCAGACACGAAACTTGCTTTCTTAACGACCATAAACTTTTATAACCTAAAATTACAACGCAGTTACTTCATCTACTTTTTACTATGTCTTTACAACCTTAGAAATTACTTTTAAGGTTTCGGTTCATTCACTTTTTACGTGGTATTTGAAGAGAATTGTTCGTTATTTTGACGTCCGTTTTTGAGTCTACATGTCTGTCTTCGTCATCAGACGAAGTAGCAGAGAGTTGGGACATGGATGACCTGGTAGGATCTCGGCGAAACAACTCACCAAATGACAAAGCTCTGTCGTCCTTGCTGTCCACTGAAGGATTATTTTCTTCGGGTGATGAGTCCTTATCTTTACTAGTGGCTTGATTGTCTTCACCTTCGAGGTTCAAAAAGGACAGCTGCTGTACAAAGTCTTGCACCATATTCTCTTTATCTTGGTCGTCATTAGAGCACTGAGGATTTTGAATCGTTTTTTCTATGTCAGAACTGCCACTGCGTTTAGTTCCCTTCTTGCTTGCAGTCGTTTTTGGCGGAGAGTCGAATGACCAGGCTGGTCGAGACGAGGTGCC